CTCTATTTACCAAAAAACCCATTTACGAAAAAAGTTTCATGGTTCAAAACACGGCTCCCCCCCCCCCCCCGGCCACCACGAATTTTGCAAAGGCATACAAACTTTCATCCCGATTATCAATCATTTTATTGGCATTTGACCTATGTCGCGTTTTCTTAAGTGTTCTTATAATATATGTGTACCAAATTTACATTTGTAATCAGTTCAATAGTTTCGGAGTTAAAGCCGGACAGACAGCCAGAGTTACTTTCGCATTTATAATATTAGTATAGATTAGCTTAAATACTGTCTTTAGTTTACGCGAGTAGTACATACGGTGGTCACGGGGAGACTTGTGACCACGGCTGCTGCAGGGCAGACGTTGGGCAGTTAAAAATCATTTTCAAATAAGTTTAACTAATATAAAGCGTTTAAAACCGTTACAAGTGTTTTATTCAAATAGATTAGCTCTACATTTTTAAATGGGTAGATACATAAAATTTATTCAATTAATCTTCTATATTAATTTAATAATTCATAACAATATTTTACAACATAGAAATTTTATTTACATTGTTATCATTTTTCATCTAATATATAACATACTTGCTTAGTTCTATGTTTGCAAAAGTAGTTCACCAGGCAGTTAACAAAGACACAGAATTGTGTCTGTCTCTTGCCGCAGACAATAAAGGACTTCAGCTTTTCTATTAGGTTGCTTACAGTAGTAAGAGTACTGTGGAATGTGTGCATTTCTACATATGACGCTGAACTTAGTGACAGCTACACACTTATGTTAAAATGTCGCTTAGTGCTTTTCAGTGGAAACGTCAGCGTAGCCGAAGTGAGTAAATGAATAAATTTGAAACGCTGCTGAAGTTTTCACGACTTATGTTAGTGACATGTTGAAAGAAGTTTTGCTGACGTGCTCGCGTTATTCATATTTAACATGTCTAATTAAATAGAACCATAAAAGAAACTGTTTATTTTCTATCATCTGCATAAGCGAAATACTATTTTTTTTGCTTGAACCGTGTGACATATTTTACTCTTTGAAAACTTTAATATTTTTCGAAAATTATTGCACTATGTAAATAAATTATTGATTATAAATTACGATTGATAAAAGTCCTGTCCGTGTCGTAAGTTTTTTAAATTTTTAATTTATATTTTACTGTTATAAGATTGATTTTATTTACAGTAGTTTTTTGACTTCTCTGTCCTCTCGGACTGTAACGATTTATGTTTCCTCGAGATTCAACCTTAGATAGACCTTCTAAATAGACACAAAAAACTAAAGTTACCTATAAGTTAACGTTTAATAATATATTTCGCGTTTTAAACCGTTAAAGGTGTTTTTTATTACCTTCTATTCTTGGAACGGCAAATATGATTTCGTATTATATACATAATTGCAATCAGCTTCTGTGCTCCATCCAATTCTAAAATATTTTGTTTTTCAAGATTAAACCTCAAACCTCTCAAACCTACGAAATGCCTGACAAAACATATTCCACCACGCCATGCGTATAATAAACGGCAGCTTTCTGGTGGAAAAAGCTTTTTCCAATATTGGCCAATAAAATGCAAAAACAATCCCAACGTATAAGGTTTCATTTACAAGTGAAAGCTTTTAAAACATCTGACGTCACGAATCCCTTCTACAACTTTAATGTCCCCGATTTCCACGAAGTATCCCTTTATAACCGTGCATAATAAACCAGTAACTGAGACACCGTTTTGTTTTTCAGCAGCGAAATTCGCCATATGTGACGCGGTATGCCGAGGGACTCCTATTTCCATATTTTATATGGACAAACAAAACCTTAACACCAGAGTCGAATTAAAAATGACAGATAAAACTATTTTTATTAAGTTTAAACCGACACTACTGTGTAACTGTAATTAACAAGTTGACATATTCAATCTTAAGTATAATTAGCGTGAATATCAGACACTGGCGGCGTCAGCGACTTCGTTCGCGAGAATCGTTATTGTGGACATCCAAATCCGTTTTTGGTCCTTCGTTTTATAGCTTACAGCCTTCCTCGATAAATAATCTAACCAACACAAAAGTAATTTTTCAATTCAAACCCTTAGTTCCTGTGATTTGCGCGTTCAAACAAACAAACTATTCAGCTTTTTATGTTAGTATAGATATACAAAACTATTATAAACAACTAGACTTAATAAATAGTTTTAAACGTCATAGATGGGCTACAGAAGTATCTATTGAACATCTTTTGTTTATACAATGACTTACTTAACCTCTCCACCGGCACATGCACTTAACTTACGAGTTCGTCCTTCGCCTTCTCTCTCTGATTTTTAAAAAAAATAAAAGCTTATTTTTCTTTGTTATTGTCTGATTATTTTCTAAAAGTCTAAAAGTATGTACTAGCTTTAAACTTTATAAAGTGGCGGTAAGGAGTACAAAAAAAAGGATATCCGAAATTTCCACAGCTAAAATTTGTCCACAGCAGATCTTGTTGAGATAGGCTGGGACGTTTCATCTACCATCAAGTGATCGCCAGCTTGTCTGTCGTCCTCAATCATAGAAAAAATCCACAACGGAAGGGCAACTACTACGTCGTTTGGCCTTGTCTTTAATCTAAATAATAATCATATAATTTTGATTTTCCCCGCTCTTGCTGTAGACTTCCTAAAGTACATAAAAACAGTGCTTAACGTATTCATTTTAAAAAGGTATTAATAAATAAAACACTTTAACGGTTTAAAACGCGATGTATTACTTAAACTTATTTGAAAATGATTATTAACTTCGGCCCGACGCGGATGCTTCGCAGCAGCCATGGTCACGGGGAGACCACGGCTGCTGGCTCAGAGTTTAACTCATACATCGCGTTTTAAGCCGTTAAAGTGTTTTATTTAAATGTGTACTACTCGCGTAAATTATAGTCAGTATTAAGGTATTTTTTATGTGCCTGGTCGTTAATCGTATTTATTCATTTCATTCCATGGCAAATACGCCCCTGCTCCCGCTCCCTTAGGTGACCTGACACAGTCGAAGTATCAATAATTCACGTCACAATCTCCCAAAGTTTATTGTTTTAGTAAAACCCTTCCTGAATCTGGTTAAACTTGGATTTAATCCCTCGGCAGTCGAATACGGTAAATGTCAGTTCCGGTGTAAACTCAATTAACGTTTTGCATTAATAAAATTTCAACAAACTAATTAACTCCTAATTATAATCTTAATTGTAATTATCGTCTAGATAAGATACAATAGGTAATTACAAATAAGTACAACTTTATTAATTAAGATAAAAATAAAATATTATAATATTATATTTACATACTCGGAAAATAAATTGTGTAAGCCTTTCACGGCCATCGTTCAGCATATCATTGTTTTTCGGGCAGTTCGGCCGACGTGAGCGAGAAGAGGTTATTGACGTCTTGCTATCACGAGTGGACGGCACCATCAAGAGACGATGTTAGCTTCTTGATTGCTCGAAGAATTAATGTATGAATATATCGAGGAGCTAACATCTCCTGATGTTGTAGTCCGCTCGTGAAGGCTTAACGCAGAGAACCTCTTCTCACGTCGGCCGAACAGCCTGAAAAGCAATGATATGTACTCTTGTTTGCCAGATTAATATTAATTTTCTTCGTTTTTTTTTTCAGTTTGGTCGCAGTATTATGTATATAGGCTTAAAGCAATTCTCGATAAATGGTCTTTCAACACAAAAAATATTTTCAATTCGAACGGGTAGTTTTAACAAGTGATCTGTCTTGATTAATGTTACATCAGCAAAGATAAGTACAACAATATCTTACCTAGATAAAACAAGAATGTTTGAACATAAACATGTTTTATATTCAAGGTTTCCTCGTGAGAAAATGACATTAGAAGTTTGTTATTAATCGTGCCCATATCGATATCATATCATTATTGAACGATAAAAGGGAAAATTTAATTTTGTTACAACAGGATAAACCTTTTTCGAATACTTCAGAAACAATGTCAAAATATTAATGGAAAAACGTATTTGAAACCTAAATACTGTCTATAGTTTACGCGAGTAGTACACTTTTAAATAAAACACTTTAACGTCGTTTAAGACGCGATATATTACTTAAACTTAATTTTATTACTTGATAATGATTTATAACTTCGGCCCGTCGTTTCGTTTGCTTTGCGGCAGCCATGTAAAAACGTAAACTAGTTCGGGGTAATAAAAACATTTTTTTACTTGTATATACTAAACCGTAACAATACCCTTGACTTGTAAGCGTGGATTAGCTATCTACGGTAAATCAAATTTTTTTTTTTTTAAAGGATCCACGACGTCGTTTGTTCTACATTTTTTAGAATGTTGACTCAAACTGTCGATATTTTTCTTAATGCCCATCTAACGACAAATAATTCTTATCACATGTATCGTGAACGTTAACACACGCATAAACAAACGGAAACCATCTAAGATAAATACTTTTCCGCTTTTCGCCTTCAAAAAAAAAAACAAACTTTACAGCTTTATAATATTAGTACCTATAGGTGTATAAAAATATTATTTTCCTAAAATGTATTAAGCAATTGACAACCATTTTATAATCAAAAATAATATTTATAAAAGATTATCTATACCAGATTACAGAAATGTATATAGCCATTTCTGTAACAAAAAACAATTCGTCTAGATAAACAGACCGATCAACATACATGCATGAGGATGATAAATGAGGCCGCTAGAGGCAGAATAGCCGATCTGCAATTTTTTGACTTGAGTTATTTATATTTTTATAGTCTAAAAAGTGTTAAATTACAAGAGCTCAGTTGCCGAAAAACGTTAACATAATTCTTACACAAATAATAGTACCAATTCATTTTCGTCTAAGTTACTTGCGCATATACATTTTCTCCTTTTTATTGAAACTCATGCTTTTTGTTATTAGGCCATTCTGCCTCTAGCAGCCTTTAATGTAAATCGAATATTTTTGAAGGTTTTCTTCTTTCTTTTCAGGTAGACGGCAAAGATGCGGTCACATGCTGAAATATGGAGATGAAACGGCACGAAAAGCCGGGCAGTCTTTCGCCCGTGAGAGTAAGAAGCGAGGAGGCGCACACTTCCCGGTCGGGTAGTAAATCTGAGAAGGAACAGAAATTACCTCCAGAGAAATCCCCCATCGATGATGGCATAAGGCAGCGCCGTCTTTCGAGGGCCAGCGAAGGTTCGAAGGAGGCGCTTGATAGGTAAAGATTCAGCTTCGGGTGTCTTAACAGCCTTCAAATATTTAAAAAAAACTTTAACAGTTTAAAACGCAATATATATTTCAAGATATACCCTTCGCCCGTCTCCCCCCAGGACAACTGCTGCAAAGGATCCGAAACGCTGAGCCTTAGTTAAAGTAATTTTCAAATAAGTTCAACTAATTTAAGGTTTAAAATCATTAAGAAGATGTAAGGTGTTCTTAATTAACTGTCCTCTCGTTTGTGGGTGTGGCAATGTTGGTACGCGTTTTAAATCGTTTAGTATTTATTGAAATTGTCATAAACTGATTTTGACGGCTTCAGTTGTTATAATTCCGTTTGCAGTATTTATAAATAAACGAACATAAATATGATGAAATTACTGCTATTATAACTAATTTTGTTTTCAGAATGTCAAAAGAAATCGCAAGTAAATAGTTCGTAGACCGTAGGCTACGAAAAGTAGGGCGCAGCATCGTAGCACGTAGTTACTCAATTTCAAACAAAAGTAGCCCCTTGAGAGCCCTAGATTCCATTTTTACTCTGTGGAATACATACTTTACTAACAGATCTACATTATGAAGATGATAATAGACGTAGGTGTTATAGTGCGTGTGAAATAAAAGAAAGAAAGAAATGTCTTTCTTTCTATTGACACTAAGACACGGAAATTTGACGATGATTGCGAGGTCACGATTACTCAATTGATTAGAGCAACGACACGGAACGCTTTGGATGTTGGTTCAGGTCCCGTATCGTAGAATTTTAACAATCCTAAATTGATTTTTAATTTATTTAAATATGAGCTATGATATTAAAGTTTTCATATAAGGAAACATGTGTACCTCAAGCAAATGTAAAGTTCGAAGATGTCTCCCCCACGTCGATACTCTTTGAACAGACACAGCTAACTAAATCTAGCTTTATAAGCGATAAAACGCAGTTTATCGCGACTTTTTATGCACATAGACGTTTTGGGTGTGTGTTGATATATAAAATTAACAATACACGAGTTATTATTGTGCAATTCACAGTCACACCGTGCATTTATAAATATACTATCTGCGTGATTTCCACTATAAATTGGTAGACGCTATGTTTTTCGTTAATACAATTATATTTAAGCGAGTGTAGAGTGTAGTAGTGCGATAGTGATATTGGTGAATTATCTCTACTGTTTTGCACAGTCAATTAAAACATTAAACAAACAAATTTAGGTACTTAACAATGTTTTTTCACTATTCATTTATTTAAATTAACAAATAATGTATAGAGCTGGTAACAAAAATAATTGATTAATTTAATTAACAAATAAGCATTAATATTAGATTATAAAAATAAAACGCTTTTAAAAATACTGTCTATAGTTTACGCGAGTAGTACACATTTAAATAAAACACTTTAACGGTTTAAAACGCGTGTATTAGTTACTTAGTATATTTTTTATATTCAATTTAAATTTTAAAAACAATTTCAAAATATATCACCTCTATTTTCACTACGGCTGCTGCGAAGCATCCGAAACGTCGGGTCCTGGCTCAAAATATGCTTACTTATATATTCTGCATTAACATTGCGCCCGACACGGAATTTGATTATTGGACCTCTTTAATTGCAGTTTAATTTACTGACTGACAGACCAATGAGCTACTATTATTGTTAATGTTATTATTGTCATTGGTCAACTAAATGCGGGAATTCAACGATTTCTTATATCTTTTTTGTGTATTCCTCAAATCCTTGGCGAATTCGCAATTTACTTGAATGAGAAAACATATTGTTCGTAGTTTACCTTAATTCAATCTTTAGAATTCCGCGTCCGGTACTATTTACCTAGCAATATCCAGTAACAGTCCGCATCAGAAAGCAGAAATCGGAAGCACGTTAGGCCGTCGGTTTCGGTTATTAACACTAATTCAGTGGCTGTATCACTTACGTTATAACGTTAAAACCTAAAAGCACTGTAGTGTAGTATGTTAGTAAAGCTGTAAACCTCTTTTTTCCCATTATTTTGATAACCGTCTTCGAGATAATCGAACTGTCTGTACTGGTCGAGCAGCCAAATAAATAACTATGTAAAATTATGTTTCGATTGAGGTAACTTATCAAATATTTTTATGTAAATTTTGAATTTACATTGCAACATAAAAAAAACTTTTTTAGTAAAAAATACTTTGTTATTGGTTTTAAAGTTCCGAAACACAGTACCACACAATTTTTTTTCCGCGTAATGTTTGAAAAACAATACCATCCTTGGCCGCAACTAGGCGTTGATGGACTTAGGATACTGCACACTTGCCGTGTTTAGAATTATGTTTGACTAGCTGTGTCAGCGACTTCGTCCACGTAGAATAGTTATTTTTGAAATCAAAATTTGATGAAAAATGAAATTTTGAAAGATAGATTATAGTGTCGCGGACATATTATTTGTACCCTAAAAGGAATTATTTTTTAATATATATTTTTTTGAGTACCTTCGTTTTCGGAGCGTACGCAACGGAAACCCTCAAAGATGAATAACTTTTCTCACTTTTCACAATTCTCTTTATTTTATCGCTGCTATGGGTCGCAACCCATAGCAGCAACGATGCCTGGTGTTGTTTAAAGGTATCATGAATAAATACTTCTACTAACAAAAAAAATTCAATTCGAACCAGTAGTTCCTGAGATTAGCGCGCTCAAACAAACAAACTCTTCAGCTGTATATATTAGTATAGATATAGAGTAAATTTAAAATTTCCCTGACCGCTGTAAGGTAATAAGCAAAAATGTCGATAAATATTTAATCAGGGCATTCAAAGTCATTATCACCTACGCAACAGATAATTCGCACATCTATCATGAACTGTCGTGACTTACAACAAAAACAACATTGTTGATTCATTTGGTTATCATGACAAATGTGTTAAAAGATTAGATTAAATTCACATACAAATACAGACACACCCACACTTCAATTATCGTAATTTTATAATAAGGCACATGTAACATACAGTCATACATACAAAAAATAATAATTAGACCTAATTCTAAATAAAACAACGGCTTAAACGGTTTTAACGGTTTTAAATGCATTATTTCAATTCTCAGTCTAAGTATTGTTGTTCATTTTAAATATTTGGCTAAGAATATGTCGCTGGTTCAATTCAATTAATTCTGTTGGTGAATATATTTCTAAAGGATATTTTATGGTCTAAATGGCTATAATTGCCTTCCATCAAGAACCTCAAGCTTCTCTGTCTTCTATTGTCGCAAAAAAATATAAACACCCTCTGTGCGCATTAAATATCAATGAATAGTACGAAAATTACATTCTTTACATGTTAATTATATCCAGCGAGAATGTGTCGTCGGCTTTTATTTTTAAATAATACTTGAAGCATTCATATTTCTATAAATATTTATTTTTGGCATTTGCTTATTCCGCCATATCCCGCTTCTTCATTAAAACACTAACAACGTTTCGTAATTAACGTAATTAGCTAAGTCGTTATAGCAATTTATGTCGTAAAAGAATTAGGAATTAGGTATGTCTCTGGGGGGCAATTCTTCAATTCAAAAAAGTGATATAAGATTTTCGCCGATTATTTATACAAAACTGACATTATCTGTGATTTAAATAAAACACTTTAACGGTTTAAAACGCGATATATTTGTTAAACTTATTTGAAAATGATTTTTAACTTCGGCCCGACGTTTCGGATGCTTTGCAGCAGCCGTGGTCACGGTTAAAGTGTTTTATTTAAATGTGTACTACTCGCGTAAACTATAGACAGTATTATCTGTGATTAGTTTTTTTTATGATAGAGGGGACAGACCACTTGATGGTTGGTGAAACACTCCTTCCCCATAAATTTCCGTAGTCTTAAACCGTATTCGTTATTTGGAATCGTATATATTGACCCCGACGGAATTTGATTATTCCTACCACCAATTTAATATCAAGATTTACAGACGAAATCTACCATATTTCATAAACAATATAAAATGTTGGACCTGGTGGAGATCGTGTCCACGACCCTTTTGATTTTTGTTAGTCGTACATTGCTAGTATTACACCATCCAGCCCGTTAAAAGAAGCTATGACAGTATATATATTTTTTTAATCTAATATAACAACTAAATGGAACGTAAACATTTTAACACAATTCTCAAAGAATAGGTAAGACGTAAATTTTATTTATACATGGACTGTATAATTGAATAGTATATACCTACGTTACTTATACAAATCTCATACTCTAATCCAACGACATACTTTTAACAAGTCATCAGCAAAGTAAAATGGAAATCGATGCCGAGCTTCATTCATTTTCTTGCGAGATTTTTAATCAAAGGATACTTTTATGTAGAGGGTTTCAAATAAGATTGAATTAGATAAATATTACGCAAAAAAACTTACGCAAATCAAGCATAAAATGCTTAAGATTTGTCCGTTTGTAATAAGGATGAACTGACTGAAATTATTTTTTACATATTCCCAGGATTCGAATCTAAGACCCTACTCGCTTAACGTTATGCATTTGACCATTGAATTACAACGCTGACGTTGGTGGGTGTTCATAATTTCAGTAAAAACACACTAGCGCCATTCGCTTCGGTGTTTTTGATATTTGGAGAGTTCAGTTCAGTTCTGCAAGGACACTCATCAGTTCTGCTGTGACCACGGCTGCTGCAAAGCATGCGAAACGTCGGTCCGTAGTTAAAATGAATTGTAAATAAGTTATATTTCGCGTTTTAAACCATTTAAAGTATTTTATGTTTAATGTGTACTATTCGCGTAAACGACAGACAGTACATGAGCATAGTAATAAAGGTTTCATTCGTGAATGGCAGTACAAATAATTCCTTGTCCACAGACAGGATTCGAGGACGTCTCTGAGTCCGAAGGTGTCTCGTAAATACTTCACGAACTGGAAACAAGCTTGCGATAAGACGAAAGATAAGACCAAGGAGTTGTTGAAACGGTGGAGGACGTTGCCCGAGGGGGAGGCGGCTCAAATGGAACCCACTCACAGTGAAGACGAAAAGCATCATGGATGGAGTGTGCACGTTTGGAGTAAGTATTCGTACACGTTTGGAGTACACTTTGATTCTCCTAAAATATGGAAGAATTATAAATATAACCCCTGTCAGTTTAATGTAGCGGTCTAACCTTGGTTTGCGTTGTGAAAAAAAATGTACATTTTCGTAAATAGGAAAATGTCCGTAAAATTTAAATGTCACGAATTCTATTTTTTTAACCAGGACATTCTTATAAAAAAAACATACATTTCGATAGGTGAGGTTGAAATAATTATTGCAAATTACATTTCACGATTACATTCCACAACATTTGCCACAGTAAAACTGTAAGCTGTAGTTATTTAAAGCCATAATAAAGTGTTACGATAAATAAATCAATATTATATGCATTGCATTTTTATGATGGGAACAGACAAGCATATGATTATCTTGATGGAAGTGACCCCATTCCAAAAGACGAGTTTTTGACATATTTTGGCTTTGATTATTTCTAAATCAACAGTCTGAAACTGAAACACTATTAAACTTCACAGTTTTCTATCTGTGGACAGTAGTTCGTAACCCGGGCGGAAGATTTCTACGTTTACACCCAATTAAACATGCAGATTCCCAGACGAAGTCCAAGATTTTTTATAAACATGTTCGCGCCGGGGGGGATGGAACCCCCGCCCCGCGCTTTCCCCCCTCTTAGCGAATGATGACACCCACATTGTAAAATATAATAAACCTTTTTATAATATAGCGCTACGAACGATTGAACGTTACAATTAAAAATTAGATTTAACCAAAAAACTAAATCGCGTAGGCTGTTTTGACGGTTGAATACCAGATATTTTAAAATGAAAGAAACAAAGTTCAAATCTGATAACGCTAAGAATCAATCTAACACAATAATCAGAGAATCAATTTAAATAAAGAGACCACAAAACGAACGAGACCTAGCAACGATAAAGGAAAGGGTTTTTATAATTTTAAAAACATGCTAACACGTAACATAGCATCGCAAGAAACAGGCAAGAAAATAAAGAAGAAGAAACAATCGAAGAAATCTCGTTACAGTTAGATTCGATTACAGGGTAGTTAAAAATAGATTTGTTATCATGTAAAGAATAGAATAAATATACAATTTATTTGTGAAACGTTTGTCGCTACATTTAACTTATTTATATTTAATAACTGACTGAATTTCTCAGCCTCCATAGTTTAATAGTTAAACGTGCTCGCTAGCATTTCGTTAAGCACTAGTGGTCCTGGATACAAATTTCGGGTAAACAATAAAATGTTACGTTCACGCTGTGCACAGAGAAGTCTGATAAATCTACTAGCGTATAAATAAAAATTGATCAGTGAATCGGACACAGAAATGTGTTCGCCCCATGCCCCACAAGGGGAAACGGGGTTTTACATAACACATATGAGAGAATAAGTATAGCTGCTTTACATTCGAGTTATTATTTTGTACTATTTTATATAAATGTATTAAATAAATCTATTCATTAATCGCTGGATATTTATTAAGTAAATTTTATTAATTCTAATAATTTCTATTTTTTACATGCACAACATATCGCGATCTTGAGATCGAATCCACAGACATAATAAAGCCTACAGATACTATACTAGATAGTAATTTTAAAGACACTATGCGTTATATACAAAAGCAATAAACATTATAATTTCAATTAAACGGTTTAAAACGCGAAAAATAATAGGTAAATCGTTAAAAGTGTTTTTTCAATGCGTACTTAACGCGTAAACTACTGACAGTACGTAATAAGTTTCTCGTAATTAATAAATGCAATATACGATTGTAAATTATCTGAACACTTCGCAGCGTACGAGATATTGCAATGTTTTATTCGTTTACCATTTTCATTCGGAACGGGACGTGGTGAATAAAGGAATATTCGAGTCGAGCTAACGTTTGATTCGTTTGTATTTGCATTCATGAAATATAAATCAAACTGCGGCTTCCGGAATCGGTCTGTTATAGCTTGAATCGACGACATTTTTATTCTAAGAAGTTGTTTCTCCAGAAATGTAATAATTAGGATTGTGTATTGTCCGTGTTAATATATTTTAATTATCATACATCAGCCGAACATTTACATATAATACATTTTACTAAATATACAGCGCCAGCGGAGTAAGTAATTAGTAAGTAACAAATTATCATAGTGAAAAAATTTAATTTGAATGTTAACACATTAACATTCAAATGTTAAGGCAGAACAAGTTATGTAAATAAATAAATAATGTATTGTATGTAGAAATGTAAATAATTGAACGGTTTAAAAGCAATTTATAGAACTTTGATAAATTTACTAATATGTCGCGTTTTTAACGCTAAAAGTGATTTATTTAAATCTGCCCTTGTTTCTGTCATTTTCAAGTTTGACGTTTACACTGCGTTTACCCTGTACGTACGCGGTAGTAACCTATAAATGAAGATAAACTGCACTTCAAGCACACACCGGTATAAAAGCATTTGTAAACAATATTGAGAACCCCTGTCCGAATGTCAAGATTTATCGTTATACACGTTTGCAACAGCAAACAAAATAAGGCTGTGGCCCCATATAGAAGCTATGAGTCTAGCGTCCGAATGCGAGTTGAAACGCCGCATTGCATCCGAAATCGCAGGTGGGCCGGGCCGCCAACTACACCGTGTCTGTCAACTCCAGCTGGAGGAGATTGCGAAATGTAATCAACGACTTAACAAACGCCTTAGTCTCACTTGTCTCGACGCTATAATTAATAAAATCTCAATTGGTAGAGCAACAGCACGGAACGCTGACGATGCCGGTTCAAGTCCTGCCCGAGTCGAAAATTTTGTCAATTTATTTTCGATGTGCAATGTAAATGTAAAAACATGTAAAAAAAATAATAAAGTTTTCAATCGACGCTATAAGTCGAAAAATACTTTGTTCCTCGTACCCCTCACTTCCACCCACATTACGCTCTAAGCCGGGTACCGCCCATCTCGGGGCATCCTTGGTCTAGCTTTGAAAACGGACTCGCCAAAACATCCGGTTGGTATTTTGATAGTTTGTTTAATCCATAAAAAAATGCAAATAGCGACTAAGAAAGTTATTTAAAATTAGAATGCAGAAGCAAGCTAAAATAGTGTATTAATTACTTGTTAAGCTGAACACAGTCGCTTTTTATGAGACCACAGCCTTACACTCACGGCTTGAAATATACAAACCTTTGCAATACTTTGTGTAACAGCGGTTTGTTTCCAAAATAAAATATTCTTCATAATCCTCTGGAGATATTTGGTGGAGAGGATAGTGGTTCCTTTGAGAACGGAGCCCTTCCTCGTTTTTTCATCAAGATGTGACATATTTTCCTTTTCGTGCTTGATTTTAAACCTTCTTATAGTGTAACTATAGCTATAAAGATCATTAAGTTAAGCCGTTAAGAGCGTTTTATTTAAAAGTCACTTTTCGCGCTAACTACAGACAATATTTAATAGGTTAGCTACCTTCGTTTATATTTGTCACAGATTTAAGGTATTTCATTTGAACGTCTGCCCCACGAACGACAAGAACTATATATTGTGTTTGCCCTGGTTTTGAACCCAGAACTTCACGAACTCCTGGCGTTGCATTACCTAAGTACGGTTGTGGCATTTTAAAATTATTACAGGTTATAGTATATCATTACTATACGCTAGTTTCCAACCGATTCTAAAAAAAATTAAAGTACAGCAAATAAAATTATTGTAGCCTTTCCAAAAATAAGGGTTAGTTAAACTTAATACTATATCTCAATTATATAAGAATAAGTTTTAATAAACAATGACACGAAATATCCAACGGTTAGACAATCCTAAAGAACAAAAGATAACGTAACAAATAAAAGGCCGTTTGCGTGTATCTGCATTAAATGTAATTAGTGTAACTCGCAAATGTCAGATCGTGGTGATAAACACGCGAGGGTTATATCCTGGAATCACGGCAATTCAGCCACATAATGCCTGCTACAATATGCAAAGCAGCAGGAATTACGGTTGACTAAGACGTTTTCGCTGTTATATATTATTAAGCAAGACCCGACAGTGTTTGCAAGTACCTAAAATATTTTGCTACAATTTGTAGCAAAATATTGACATTACATACATCTATACTAATAGATTATACAGCTGAATAGTTTGTTTGTTTGAACGCGCTAATATCAGGAACTGCTGGGTCTTTTTATGTTAGTTAGAGAGTGCATTTATAGAGGAAGGCTTTAGCCTATTAAACGCTGCGACTGCTGGAGAGAAGAAACAGTAGGAAATATGGCACTAATAAAGGGAAAAAAGTAATCTTAAGGATTTGTTGCGTTCCGTTAAACCATAAAAATTAGCTTATATGTGAAAGTGCGTTTAAAACCGTAAACCAGAGTTACAATGCTAAAGTTTAACTTACCTGACAAATATTTTTTTTTAAATCTAAAACGTAAATTATACTTTTGTTTCTATTAAGGTTTTATTTATGAAATTAACATCTGATTTTAACAGTATAATATATCTTTTAACAGCGACCTGGGTAAATCGATGCAGTGAAGACTTGGAATGCTTGGATCTCGAAGAGGAGCAGCCCCTGGCCCACTTGAGTGCAGTGCAAAATGAAAAGTTGACACTCTTTTTTACCGAACTTCTAGACCACGATAGAGACGACGTTATATGTGATCAAGATTTTGATTGTTTTTTTGAGGTAAGGGATAACTATTTATTTATTTATTGCACAAAAGTACATCCGCCGGGCTCATGGTATGTATGGCAAATAATCAACGGGTCCAGGATGTTTTCAATTTTATTTTTTTCTGAAACATGGACTTAGTCTGGAAAACTGAATATTAAATGGGTGGTGGGAATATCGAAATTCCGTCCAGATCACAAATCACAGTCCACAGATGAAAAAGCCGTGAAGCTTAATCGCGTTTCGGTTCCAGTCTGTGGATTTCCGAATATCCAAAGTCAAAATAGATCGACAGCGCATTTTGTCAGGCTGGGCATTTTGTCAACCCCGTGTTTGTCTGTCCTCCTCTGTCATAAAAAATGGAGTGCAATGGGCGGCCTTATCGTAACAAGCTATCTCGTCCAGGCAACACAAGACGAAAGATGAGAAAGTTTACGGGAAAACGAGATGTGCAAGGTTAATAAGCTAACAATAGTATCTTATGGTAGTTTCAGCTTTCAAGAAAATTATTGTAAAATAATCGACTTATATTTGACACGATACAAAATAGTATAATATTATAAATTTTAAACTAACAATACTTATATTTACATATCCTAACAAACGGATACGTCTCAACGCTTATTCAATTAACTCAAGTAAGGTGCATTTGCGAAAACATGTGGGAAAAATGTAGGTATAAGTTTTAAATTTAATTTAAGTAAGCCCCGCATTTTAAATTAAGTATTTATTGGCCGTAGTTTTCATACGACTTAAAAAACTTAAATTAGAGACTAAGAAACCGTATAATAAAATAATTTCGACTTCAAACAGTAAACTTAAAAACAAACTACCTTGCACAAAGTAATACGTTCATAGAAATATTTTTACGATAAATTTTTTAAGTCTAGTTCCTTTTTATTTCGTATATGTGTATGTGTTCCCGTTTCCCCCTTGGGGAACACATTTCTGGGCCGTACACATCCGTTCTTTAACAGGCAAGTAGTTGATTAGACTTCTGTGCCTTGCCCGACCGAAACATTTTTTTTTGTTTCCCTGGGATTCGAACCCAGAACCTCTCGCACGTAACGCAATGCTAGGCAGCACGTTTAACCATTTGGTTACAGAGGCGGTCGATATTTTGTATATAGTGTTGTATAATTTCTTATTAATTACCTCATTAAAATCAATTATAAATTGAAAAAAATTCACGACTCGGGCAGGACTTGAACCGGCATCCTCAGCGTTCCGTGCTATTGCTCTAACCAATTAAATACACGTCATTGTCCATTTTTTTAAGCTATTGATACATGCGCCTCTCGGGCATAGTAGTTAATAATAAATAAATTGAAAAAGCCACAAAGTATTTATACAGACAGCTCTTGATATTAGAGCCAAATGTCCGAATATAAATAAAAATAGCTTATACAGAGACTTAACAAACGCAGAAGTAAAAGCTTTATTGTATCCGGTGAAGAAATGGGACAATTAAATGAAATTTACAGAAGCTGGCACACTTTGCCGACTGGTCGCCCAACTCGTCCGAGTTCCACATACTGTTGGAAGTGAAGAGAGAATTCATCGAACATTTCCTCAACCCGTTGCCCAGCAAGTAAGTCCACTGATCCGAATTTTTGCTCGATAGACCGTCATAACATTGTAATAGTCTCTTATAGCGTTGAATATATAGTGACAATTATTCGTTATATATGTATAACGTCGATTTGTCTGCCTGTATCTAACTTCAGTAAAAACCACGTATTAACTATATTCGATTGTATTTCTATACTAAACTATAAAGCTAAATAGTTTGTTTGTTTGTTCGAATTGAAAAAATATGTGGAAATACGAAAAAAAACTGAGAAATGTATTTATTTATAAAAACTTTCATAGAGTACGCTGCGAAAACTTTTAGGAAAAAAAAAAATTATTTAATCTTAATTATCGGTCCAAAACAGTATTTTTCTTTCTTTTTAGAGTACGACGCGCAGAAAACAGCTAGAATCATACACATCACACAATATAAAAAGTGCGAAAACAATGTTAAATTATTTATATATAAATGATTACTAAACCTTCTTTTCCTAATAGTAAAGATTACTGTACTGAAGTTTGGTAAAACGACACAAAATCATTCTCCCTTAATTAAAGAAGAAATGTGTATTAATTTGGTTCTTAAATTTAATTAAAGAATCTAATTTTAACAATATGGACATTTTACCCTTTTCAAACGGGTGGAATACGTGATCGGAACGTGAATTGCACTTTTTCAGGTAAATGAGGAATAAAGGGTTTACGTGACGCTAAGATATTGCTCACTTTAGTTTTCGTCGAAGTTAGGGAATTTTCAAATTAAATAAAAAAATAGATTTCGTTTAATTTATAAATAAAGGACAGTAGTAATATGCGCACGAATTTTCGTTCGGGAGGTTCAGCACTTAAGGTACAAAACTTATTTTAATCTTAAGTATTGGTCTGTAGTTTACGCGAGTAGTAGACATTAAATTAAAACACTTTTAAACGGTTTAAAACACGAAATGTATTAGTTATCTTATTTACTATATTTTAACTACGGCCCGACATTTCGGATGCTTTGTCTCCCCGTGACCACGGCTGCTGCAAAGCATCCGAAACGTCGGGTAGTTTAAAAATAAATTTTAAAAAAAGTTTGGCTAAAATATATCGCGTTTTAAACCGTTAAAGTGTTTTATTTTTATTGACTTGACTTGTCAATTGCGTTCGTGGAATCTATATTAAAAGGATAATCATCAATCAATATTCCATCCGAGTCACGAACCGCCCACAAAAGCCGTGAAGTTTTATCGTGTTTCAGCTTCAGTTTGTGAATTTCCGAACATGTAAATCTAAAATAGGTCGACAGTGCCTCGTGATGCTATATGCCTATAAGGCAATTTACCTCTCAACAAGTGAACTTTCCACTTGCCACTTTACTTAAAATATCCAATTTATATAAATCCTCTTTTCATGTCAATTTTGTCTTCGTGAAACTAACATTACAGTTTGGTACAGAATTTAATATCCGGTGCCAAAATGAAAGAACATCGATGAAAGAATCGTAATTTATTAAGCTTCGAGATTTTTTTTTAGGCAAACATTATCTGGACATAGTGCCTTTACAATAAATATGAAATATCTTTAACATAGCCGTTTCATTAGTGAACATATCTAAGTGATAAAATAAGTTATTCCCTCCAATGTAATCGGCCCCTGTGTTGTATATTATCTGTTGTATGATTCGAAACAAACGGGCAAATATGTAAAAAAAAGTAAAAGAAAAAAATTCTAATAAATATATGCCGCAATGGTATATTGACATTTTGATCAAATTTTGCCCCATTAGGCATCTTTAACGTATAAAAATGCAGTTAAATAACATACTTCTACGGTTTAAAACGCAATATATATTAGTTAAAGTTATTTGAAAATGATCACTCCCCGTGATCACGACTGCTGCAAAGCATTCGAAACGACGGGCCGTAGTTAAAATCATTTTCAAATAAGTTTAACTACAATATTTCGCATTTTAAACCGTCAAAAATGATTTATTCAAATGTGTACTTCCCTCGTAAACTACAGACATTACTTATATATTGACAAAAAACCAACGTCCAATTTTATTTGTATTTTATATGGTGTTATGTTTCCGTCAGCTATTACTTCATATTAATGTTAAGAATTATTTAGATTTGCAGAGCTCCCTTACTATCGGCGCGTTTGTGGGCCTGAGGCAGGAGGCTTACCGGGTCGAACGACCCTGGAAGGCTGGTTAGCCAGATGGGCCTTGCTGTTGAGCCAGCCGAAGAAGTTTGCTGATTTACCGCTATATCTGCAGTACTTCTGCAAGATCCTGTTTCGTATTGTAGACAGAGCAGGTAATTTTTCCTCTTCAATTTATGCCATACTTTCAACGGCCAATATAATATAGCTGCGTAAAATAAAATATCGTATGTTATTCGACTAATTTTTGTGTGTTTTTTGTTTACCGTGGAGACAGTGTGTTCCTGACGTCAGTATTAATATTTCTTATTAAATATTGGTTCAAACGCGTCTTTCTTGAGTCTAAGCTAAGTCCGTGTTTACTGTAAACGCATTATTGAAATAAACTCGCGAAAATTTTAAGAGTACCCACCTGATATATTACGCAAGTAGATTTTTCCATAAATCTTGTTGGAGCAGGTTGATGAATGGGATTAATTTGACGTAAGTGTACCTGTCGGGTAGCCTTAGGCATTGAATCACGATAATTAAGAACCATGGCCGCGGGAATAGCAGCTTTATTGCGTTGTGATACGATATTACTTTCACTCGCAAAATAAATTTAAGCCTATAACAACTCGCTCGTTCAGGAAATTGATTGACAATTAAAGTGTTCATTAACAACGATTTTCTTTTATTGGTAGATAATTTAATATTTCGTGCGCTCGTTGTCCCACTGCTGGGCGAATCTCCTTAGCACGGTGGTGTTTATACTTTAAAAAACGGCGCTGGTTCTAGATATTTCTTAGATATACTCTTAATACCGACTTATCTATTTATAATATATGCTGTACTTATTGCCTTTTTGGATTATAAAAACAGAACGAAAACTTACATTCGTTTACGTTCAAATTACATTTCATTTATGTAATTTATTTATAATACATTACTAATCTGACCTTTTAGCTATCATTACAATTCAAAACATGAATGCTACTAATAAAAGATTTAGCTTTTTCAATTCTTGAGTAATACTTCGAGGGATTTCCAAGTTGGCAATTGAATTGAATTTTTCAGCCAAAAATCCTAGTTCGTACGAGCGTTCTTATTTCTTCCCATTCCTATTATATTCTCTCGGCCTCTTTGTTTCAAGTCTAAATCCGACGGCTGCTATTCACAGAATAAAATATAAAACATACAATGCACTGCCAAATGCATGCAAGACGCAGAAATGGTAAAAGGCTTTTCACTATTTGAGAATACATTTTATATCAAACTTCTAAATGTGGATGGAATAATTCTGCTCTGTGAATTATATTAATGAATCACGTGTTTGTGCTGGAATCATAAAACCAGAGAACAAAATAATATTTGCACTCCATTCTTGTATAATATACGTTTTATCTCTATGATTATTATTTTTTGTGCAATAAAGAATAACTAAATACAATTTTAAGTTCTAAATTCTTAGATTATTATTACGTCTTTAATTTTTAAATAAGTAACTTAATATTTTATTAGATCCGCCAGTGTACTTTTATAATTAATTTAATTTAATTATAGATTGGCTATTAAACATTATCCGATTTATAACATCAGTCTGACGGTTGCAAAGACCAATTCTTCCAAATATTTTATTTTTATTCATTCAGCAAAAGACAGTTTAAAACGCGAAAATTATTTCACTTAAAGGCTTTTACATTTTTCCTATTCTTGCAACAAACTTTATTGGTTCTATTGGTTCTACACTTTATAATGTTAGATTTCTTTCCCATAGGTGTTGGTGAAATCACGAAGGATGCCTTAGCTGCATTCTACCGATCAGTAATAGGTCTACCAATTAACAGAATAGAAGAAATAATAGATACGGCATACGATCGAATGACTAGTGTAAGTGTTTAAATTTTCAGCATTAAATTAAGGGGCCCCTCCATTAAATTTACCAAATAGAATTTCGGATCTTTGTCAAATTCCTCATCCTCCTAAAATTTCTAATATCTATTTGGTTTCATAATCACTTAAAAATTGCCGAAATCGAAGGAGAACATTGTTTATTTTATTTCTATTTTATAAACTTCTAAATCCGTATCCGTCCTGACTAAAGTTTTCCGTTTTCAATGCCTCACTGACTTTATCGTTTCTATTTACAGAACAGCTTTTTGATTCTCGACTATGGGACGTTTGTTCACTGCTACATAAACTGGCTCATGGGTAAAAATCCGAACGGGCCAGGTCAGTGGGTGCTAGTTCCACCAAAGGGATCTTTACCACAGCCACCGTTCCCCGTAGATTATAGCGCTTTGAACACAGATAGAGATAAGTTAGAAACATATGCGCCAGATAAAAAAACTAATCGACACTCTGTAATTGTTTAAAAATAGCATTAAAAAGTGACTATACTATTAAAAAAGAAGCAAATTCAGACCATTAAATTAAAGCTAACTTAAACGAGTCAAAACACGTAAATTTTAGTTTTATTACGTTGACAACTACCCCCGCGTACACTTGATATGTTACACTGAATATCCTCTATCTAAAAAACTTCACAAAAGAAGTCGAATGTTATTAGTAAATATATTAAATAAAAATATCGTCTTTAAATACTCCTGCGCAAGTGTCATACTGTAATTAAGTAAAATTATCTTTTATGTTAGCCTAGATTAAGCTATAGGACTTCTTAGTATTTTTTACAATTAAATCGAACAGAACCGTCTTTTTTATTCATTGTGAAAATACATTAATTAGGTTGTAGTCGTAGATAATATGCAACGACTGAGTTACAAAAGTAAAGTCTACAAAACCTTGTTCTACGTAATAACTAAGTATAAAATATAAAAAAACGTTACGTTATACTTCAAAATATTATGTAATAAAACCTACATATAACCTCTTTCCTAAGAAAACTTGTATAAATGAGGGTATGTAGGAAATCTAAGGCAGGTCAAATAGATTTTATTGTTCCATTTGGAATAGAGGGTAGATTTACAGATACTACTTTATTCTATTTTTTTCAATGCGTTGCAAATGACAGCTAGTTAGCCGATGTTAAGAAACAAATATTCAGTCTTAATTTAATTATAATTAATACATGAAAATTTCATATCGAATAAGTCAATTATGTTTGTATAATTAATTTTCAATTACTACTAAGTATCATAGTGTAGATCTAAAGAGATTTGTTTTCCCAAAATGTAACGCCTTATTCTTCTCTAGACCTTCAAGTTCAACTTCGCTTAAATATTGAAATGAAACGCTTTAACTTATGGTAAATTGACCAATCTATTCGCCTAGGGTACGCTGTATCGTTAAGGATATTTTGTAAATATAAGTAAGTAAAGTCGTGCACACACGGTAAGGAAGAACTGCCTTAATGTAAGCCTCCTCACATTTACGTACAGCCTTATTTTGTACCTTAGCATAGTTTACTCTGAAGTCGCCGAATAAAGAGTTTAATAGAAAAAGTTTTTTTTTACCTGTCAAGCCAGATAGAAAATGTTATTAAAAAAATATACGTTCTCGACGGGCTTGTTGGTGTTATCTAAGCAATGTACGGCTAATAGTCAACGTATCGTGGATTCGATCCATACCAGGTCGAACATATTTTTTAACAATTTATAATTTTTCTGAAACATAGGACTTCGTCTAGAAATCTAGATACTAAATGGGTAATATCGAAATTCCGTCCACAGTACTTTCAGTAATTATAGATTTCTTAAGGGTACAGGTAATAATGAATGCTTTTTGTATTCCGTTATCTATTATTTTCATTATTATTTCCTTAGGTATGAACAACCTTTAGGTCAATATTCTTTACACGTTCTAAGGAAAGGAAATCTTCTTTAACGAATACGAACACAATTTTTATGAATTATCTCCAGTAAATAACATCTCAATCGTAAAAATACTCAATAAGTAATAATCGTTAATCTTTTGAGTATCCATTTTTTGTCAGCAAAATGTCTGTGAAAAATTTTAACATAAAAATGATCTCTGTAACTATGATTGATGTCGTCGTAAAAGACGTCCTTTGAAAGTAGAAAAAACTGAGCTGTCATTAATCACGTTAAGCTTGCCCTGTTCAAAACAAATTATACAACCTCAAACATAAAAGAACCTTTTAAGGCGTTGCTTGGGGTAAAAAAACATAGGCTTATATATATACAAATTTATTAGATAACTTATTGTTTTGGATATATAACCCAAATTGGTTAATCTTTATTTAAGTTTTACTCTTATCATAGAAACCTGAATCTATATATTTACATGAAAAATAACTACTTTAGAGCTTACTATTTTTTTGTAACAAAAAATGTATCTATTGTTTGTAGGTCTGCCGGGCAAACATTGCCATGAAGAAAATATAATTAACATCAGGAAATTGAAATAGATTCTTTCTACTTAACAATATGTTTATTTTCTTAATAAATAATTTATTGTCTATTTATAACAGATTAATAAAATATAACAGCTGTAGATATATAAAAGAATAGTTACTTTACCAGCTATAAAACAAATTATTATTTATTTTTAGATTGGTTTAATAATCTCAACCATAGACTTAACAGTTTTTGCTTCTGTCACAAAGCTTTCCTTAGACCCCATACCCAAGTCATTTGCAATCTTTACTCTATCTTTATCTCTTTTACAAGAACTATGAAGCATTTTGAATCCTATATCAAGAAAAGTCTTAGCGTTCTTCACACATACACCTGAACCGGGCATAATCTCTATTATACCTCCAAATTTAACTTGTAACTCTTTTAAAAGTTCTATTGCATCACAATCAGCTGCTGAAATTTTTTGACCACTTGTAAGGACCCTGTTAAATCCAAGATCTACAATTTTTGACATAGTATCCCAAGGATTGGAAGATACATCAAAAGCTCTATGAAATGTTACTGGAATGGGACTGGCAGCTTGAATAATTGCTGTACATTTTTCTACATCAACTTCTTGCTTATCTGTCAGAGCACCAAATACAAATCTATCAACACCCATACTTTTGTAAATTTTGACATCAGAGATCATTGTTTTCATTTCTTCATCCGTATAACAGAAATCAGGTCCACCTCTACAACGAATCATTATATTTAATTTCACCTGAAATCACAAGTCAATAAAATTTTATTAATACATGTCCAATAGGATTTAGTTGAGATTTTTTAAATGTTCATTTGGTACATACATTTCTATCCTGAGTAGAGTCCATTGTTTTTACCTACAACACATTTATATTATTACATATATTATTACATTGTTTATCAATGTATGGAAGAATAAACAAAGAACTTTCTTACATAATTTAAAATAAAAAAAGTGTGCGTTTTCTATTTTTAAACTAGTATGACTGCTTACTATATTTAATATTTCTGTAACTAGACCAGGAGATGGAGTCAGTCCTCCTTCAACAAGAGAACTGCAAATTTCGAGCTCATGGGCTCCGCCACGAATAGCATTAGCCGCTGATTCTAAGCTATCGATGCAAACTTCCAGCTTTCCTGAAATATAAGGATTTACCAAATATCGTGCACTTTTTAAGTCCTAATAAAGTAAACCTCTCAAAATTACCATTTATTACAGGATTTCCCATTTCGAAATATGTAATTTTGTTTACTATAATAAAAATTTTAAACAAGTTTTATTTTTCAAATCGCCGCCACGAGCCCTGCCACCTGGCATTAGAATTTGACATTTCGGGTTGGGTTCAGTGTCAGTGTTATTTAGAAATATAATTTAAAAAGTAATCGATATAGATACATTTTTAATTAATCTTCGTAATTGTACTATCAAAAAATCACACGAGTATGACAACAAATTTAGTAATCTTTTATTTCCTACTCATATTGTTAATGAGGGGATAAATAACTGTCTGACTATACTTAATTTCTTAATTAAGAGACTTTCCTTTTCTAAGGATTCTGTCAAGGTATTATTAAAAGAATCAAAAAGACGAAATATAGCCAAAGAGAAATCGATTTTCTAATCCTCTTCTTCTTCTTAATTTACTTTCCCACTCTAAATAAAGTCTGCCAATGTTTAAGACATTGGCATTTAGAAAAATCATGGCATATGTCAAATCCTACATTTCGACTCTGAGGCTAACTTCACTATTGATCCTTTTGACATTTCCAGATTTTAGGACACGCGAACGTAGGCAAGGATTTGCCCTCGTTCGCATTTCTTAAATAGGTATTTCCTTGATATTCTTTTCTAACCCTTAAAACAATTCATTGTTTACTTTTATATAATACAATACACACCTTAACGCTTCAAATTTAAAATATATTGCTTCTAAAACTTTGTGTTTTTAGAGGTTATTTTTTAGTAGAAGTTAGTGCCACATATTTAGCGAAAGTTTTGACCTCAGGCTTTAAAACAACTATCTGATTTATGGTAATTCAGCGTTATCTGTTTGGCAGTTATGTCTCGAAAAAAAGCTATCGAGGAGACCGACAAACTCACTCGTATTGCTATAGTCAATGCCGATCGCTGTAAGCCTAAAAGATGTAGGCAAGAGTGTAAAAAAAGTTGCCCAGTGGTGCGTATGGGAAAACTGTGCATCGAAGTTACTCCAAATGATAAAATTTGCACTATATCTGAAGAATTGTGCATAGGTTGTGGTATCTGTGTTAAAGTGAGTAATATCTAACTCTTGTAAAATATCTAAACTGGTTTTACACTACTGTAGTAGTAGAAGTCAGATTTTTTTATTATATAAACTTTATTTAGTTAATACTCTGATCTCAGGAAAAGGTAGTTGTTAAAGATTTAATAATTTTCAGAAATGCCCTTTTGATGCCATCACTATAATTAATATTCCATCTAATTTGGAGAAGCATACAACGCATCGTTACTCGAAAAACTCTTTCAAGCTTCACCGCCTTCCAATCCCTCGTCCTGGTGAAGTTTTGGGTCTTGTCGGTCAAAACGGTATTGGAAAATCAACAGCTCTGAAGATCCTTGCTGGTAAACAGAAACCCAACTTGGGTAGATATGTGGTAAGTTAGTGAGTCTTTTTTAATTTACTACTGATGTGTATCAAAAATAACAGCTCTGTGTAGATATTAATAAATAAATGTGAAAAATAGACTTAATAAAAAATGACAATAGAATGCAGATAGGGAATTCTTAATTTTAACTACCAAAGATATTTTGTAGGACCCTCCAGACTGGCAAGAGATTCTCTCTCATTTCCGTGGATCAGAGCTCCAGAACTACTTCACAAAGATCCTAGAAGATGATTTGAAGGCCCTCATAAAACCCCAATATGTGGACCAAATCCCTAAGGCTGTGAAAGGAACAGTAGGTCAATTATTAGACAAGAAAGATGAAATGAAGAATCAGACTGAAATCTGCAAGATGCTTGGTAATATTTTAAATAAACTTAAAACTCTACATATTTTGCATTAGATGCAGTACCATTGTGACTTAGTAAATCTATTTTGATTCCTTCGATTGTATTAAACAATGGAGTTTGATTCAGAGATAACACAAAGCAATGTGTTGTGGTGCAGTAAACCTGCTTCTAATTAAAAGTAGCACTGTTGTACAGCTGCATACAAACTAAATATCCAATTAGGAACATAAAGAAATGTCATATATAAATATACTTAATGAAATTTTTGAACAAATATTAATTATAAAACCCATTTTAATGTAGATCTTTCCCACATCCGTGACCGTGAAATTGCTGCATTGTCGGGAGGAGAGCTACAGCGTTTTGCCTGTGCCATGGTGTGCATTCAAAATGGAGACATTTTCATGTTTGATGAGCCATCCTCATACTTGGATGTTAAGCAGCGTTTGAATGCTGCCCGCACCATTCGCTCTCTCATACACCCAGATAAGTAAGGAATAAAAAATTTAATTTAAAATCCTTATTTCAATGGTTTGTTCCAAAAAATCAATAAATGATCTCTTTCAGGTTTATTATAGTGGTGGAACACGACTTGTCAGTGCTGGACTATTTGTCTGACTTCATCTGTTGTTTGTATGGAGTGCCTGGTGCCTATGGTGTAGTTACTATGCCCTTCTCAGTCAGAGAAGGTAATCATTGTTTTAATATATTAAAATAATATGTTGGCTGCAAGCAAACCGGAAGGCTTGAAGGGGAAACGGTGAGAGTTGGATAACCCAAAAAACCTCTGCAAGGAGGAAGTGGGTGAAATGGTCAGCTGATGATGTGGATTGATCACCCCGCCTTCTATGGGTGCCCCCAATAGAAAATAATAATAATGTGACAATATTAAATTTTCAAATCTTTTTTAGGTATAAATATTTTCCTTGATGGCTTTGTACCCACTGAAAACATGAGATTCAGAACAGAATCACTAGTATTCAAAGTTGCTGAATCGGCCACTGAAGAAGAGGTGAGTTACTATATTACACAATATTTTCTTTTAACAATAATTATAATTCTAGTCTTAATTGTATCATTTTATTTCTCCATATAGATAAAACGAATGAACCATTATGAATATCCAGAAATGACCAAGAGTATGGGCGATTTCCACTTGCGTGTGATGCAAGGTGAATTCTCAGATTCAGAAATTTTGGTGCTACTTGGTGAAAATGGAACTGGCAAAACAACATTTATTCGAATGCTCGCTGGAAACTTGGAGCCTGATGAAGGTATGTGACTGTAAAAAGATATATTGATCTAGGTGTTTTTAAATAAAAGTAAATGTTTTTTTAGCTATAAACTATAAATTATATATTATGATAGAGTTATGTTGATGTTCGATTATGAAATAGCAGAAATTTTCTTTAATCTGGCAATAATTTTATGTAAACGTCATCGGTCGATACGTCAAATTGTTAAGTGTCAAATAGATGTCAAACGCATTTGTTGTAAAAAGTTAAAACTTGATCTTATTTTTTTATTTAGCCACTTATATTTCTTAGATTAAAAGCCTCAAAAGTATTGTTATCGAATAATTTCTAATGCTTCTTTCACATTAGTTCACTTGTCTTAAAAAATGAGGTTATAGTGGTGTTTAAACCTAAGTGTTTTAATGTATTGTTACGTGTTATAAATCGTTCCTGATGGCTAGAACAGAATTGTTTGATTTGTTTTTTCATCCTGTATTCCAAAAATGCTTGAAGCACGCGGAATCGAATATGCCCACCGAAGGTAACAATTAGGTCTTTTTTCTTTTAACAACCTTTAGGCAAATCATGCAACTGGCCTAGATTCTAGATTAGTTTTCTTGGCATAAAAAAATATTGATGTAAGTAGTTTGCAATAAGATTATTGCATTGTAAAGTGTTCTAAATTGTGTCTTGATACTAGGGAAAGTATAGTATAGAGTTCATTATGCAATTAATTAGCATTTAGTTTTCTATTTATTTAACAAAGTTAGGATAGGAGTCTCGGCAAAACCAATTTTGGAACTGCAACGGGAAAACCTCCAGTTGCTGAAAAGCATCTTAAACAATGGGCCGTAGATAAATTAATTTTCAAATGAGTTTAACTACTATATATAGTAGACTCTTTTAAACTGCTAGTGTTTTCTTTAAATTTTGTACTTCTCGTGTAAACTACAAACAATATTTAACCTCTGAAAGCTATGATTTTTTTATTTAAAGTTTATTTCTAATCATAAAATTACTTTCTTGTTTTCAGGTGCAAATCAATTACCACAGTTACATATAAGTTATAAGCCTCAGAAAATTTCACCCAAATCGCAGGGCCAAGTGCGTAACTTGCTGCACGATAAAATAAGAGATGCCTACACTCACCCGCAGGTAAACTATTTATGAACTTATTATTAATTTCTCAAATTCTTTATAGCATTTCATCGGTTTTCATTATATTTATTGTGACTTTCAAACTCCATAAGAAAATAATATGTTTCTACAGGCTAAAAATTCAGTATTTCCCAGAAACTCGGTTTCAGCTATAAACTTACTTCACCTTCAACTTCACTATAAACTATACATTATCCCTCACTTAACTTTACATATTATTGAATAGAAAGTTCAAATCAAAGTTATTTACTTTTTAATCATTTTTTATTTTATGAAATGCATAATAAGTAAGATATTGTGTTTAAATATTGTCACAGTACAATAGTACAATTTTTAATTATAGTTTATCACCGATGTAATGAAACCTATGAAAATAGAAGAAATAATGGACCAAGAAGTTCAGAACTTATCTGGTGGTGAATTGCAACGTGTGGCTCTTGTCTTATGTCTTGGTAAACCAGCTGAAGTGTACCTTATTGATGAACCTTCTGCCTACCTTGATTCTGAACAGCGTTTAGTTGCAGCTAAAGTTATTAAAAGGTAAGAATCTTAGTAGTAAGTTTAGTAATTTTAGTAGTAGTAAGTAGTATATAATAATAAATGTTACTTGTTACATTGAAATATCTAAGCAGATTCAGAAAATATTTATACAATTTTTGAGTTTATTCTTTTTGGAGTATTGTTGGGGATTTATTTCCTAGGAATTCTAAGGGTTTTCAAGATATACATTTTTAAACAGCTTTTTTACCAATGGAATTATGGAAAATAGTTTATATTTCTTAAAATTTAGGAGGATAATCAAGATTATCCAGTCACTGCAGTAAAATAATATGCCTATCAAATAATATAGGACTACAAAAACTATAGATAACAATGCCACAGATTCTAAAATCTTTCTGTTTCAGGTTTATCCTTCATGCGAAGCGAACTGGTTTCGTAGTAGAGCACGACTTCATTATGGCAACCTACCTTGCTGACAGAGTAATTGTATTTGAAGGCGTTCCATCTGAGCACGCAACAGCTAATGCCCCACAATCATTGTTAAATGGAATGAATAGATTTTTAGAACTCCTGGGTATCACATTCAGAAGAGACCCTAATAATTTTAGACCAAGGATTAATAAGCATTCATCTGTTAAGGTATGTTATTATTTTAATACTATAGTACTAGCTCAGCCCCTTAGAAATGGTTTAATATACCTAATTCTAATTAATACCCTAAGAATGCAAGCCCCAAAAAAAGTGTAGCAGCTTATAGACATAGAACTTTATAAGATAAAGATGTCTGAATATGCTCTATTTTCAACCACATTAAACCAACCATTTCATTTCACAATACTTTAAAGGAATGGTTTTTGGGTAACTTTTACTATATGACAGCCATTTTTACCTGAAACCTAAAATATTTTAAACATGGTGGTGTATGAATAAAAACAATTACAATTCTGGAAGTATAAGAAATTTGTGTTTATCAATGTGTCTTAAAATTTATTAAAGACGTATTGATAAACAAATTAATAGAAAAATCACCTATAAAATTTAAGGAATGTAGTCAAAATATTCAACTACTTTTCTGGAGCCTTAAACAGAGCAGTTGTTACTGAAAACAAATTATTATTATTTCCATTTCCTTACAGGATATTGAACAAAAGCGAGCAGGTCAGTACTTCTTCTTGGAAGATTAAATGCAACTTTTAATTATTATTTATGTATATTGGAGCTATTTCTATAGTCACAACAGCTGTGTCATCTGTGTATTCCAATGAAAATGTATTAATGTAATAAAATCAGTTTTATACAAATTTTATGTTTTTATTATGATGTATAAAAATATTCTTTGCCATGTCCAGGGCATGCGCTGGTCAGGGTAAAATTCATACTCACCTTAGGTTCTGACACTAGATGTTATCTTGCAACAAGTAGGTACCCAAGTATAAATATTGCTGTTGATATAATATTCTAGGAATTATATAGTACCATGTCCTACCAACTATAATATCCTTCAGTTTTTAGTTGCTCGCTACGTCTAGTACAAGATGGACAGCAGCAGTCAATGACTAAGTGAGCGAGCGGGAGAGTGTGGTTGACTTCCTCGCCTCACCCTCTCGCGTCTTTTGACTCGCGCTCGAAAAACACACAGAAAGCGGAGCGCTAGCGAGGCGACGCGAGGTGACACGAGCGCACCGTCCACACTCTAGCACTTACATTCTCTCGTGTCGCCTTGTGGAGAGTGTGGATCGGCCATCAAATGTAAAATCCTGTTTTCCCCATATGGTGCAAAAACATTCCTGTTTTATTTTTACACATATAGATCAGTCTTTTGTGTCCTAGCTGACCGAAACAATAATTATTTATTATTTGGGCTTTCCAACTCTCACTCTGTCCCCGTTAAACATTCCGGTTTGCTTGCAGAATCTGACTATCTGTCCCATCTTTAATTCTTTGGTGTTATATTCTGTTACTTCGTCTGAGCCCATATGCATTTGTCTTAGCTTCGAGTACGCAGAGCATTCAGTGAGTAGATGGATGCTTGTTTCCTTACTTTTTAGGACATAGAGGGTCGCTTATAATTATTTAGACGGAATTAGAACTGACCTTTAACGTTTATCTCGATGCTCAAGCTTCAGTGACGAGACAGTCAATAATTATAGGCACTTATGTGTCAGAGCTACGTTGAAATAGTCGTTACGTTACAAAGCTGTAGACTCAATGATTCATTGCTTGTAGTTGTTGATGATCTAAGAATTAGTGAATAAGATCAATGACGACCAAAGTACATGGATCGCATGATTAATATTTAACAGATAACCTATGTTTTCTCGACCTTATCGTCATGGACCGGTTTAAGGGAAGCAAGATCAGAAGATTATGATGCAGATCAAAGACAAGGAATTACAACAAATTGTTATATATTCTTCGACAAAGTGAGTCTTTGGTGTGATCTTAGTTTCAATCTTGCAGGTCACAAGTATGACCGTCTGAAAAACTTATCTGCGACACGAGCACACAAGTGTGTCTGCCACATGCCCGCTCAACATTCGAGAAATTACTTAAAGATTTTCTGCATCAAATTAAATTTTTAACTATTTCGTTGTAACTATTAGCAATAATATTTAGGTGCTCTGGTATCGTGTCAGTGCAATTTAAGCAATGCACCGCAATGCAAAATACTGTAGGTCGAGCGCAGGTTTCGAGAACCGCTCCGCAGAGTAACCGCGGGACGCGGGTCGTTGCGTCGCCGCAGGGATGACATCATCGCATTGAGATTACGTGGACCAGATATCATCAACTTTTCTAAAAGTTATAACAATTAGAAGCCAATAGCAAAATAGTCTTATGAACCTTTCTTAAGACGAACGTTAATGGTCAGTTTCCGAAGTCACATAATTCGTTAGAATATCGTACGGACTGTCAATAAATAAGTGTATAGAACTTAAACTGCTTGGAAAGGGTTATTATGACGTTAATTAATATTTAAACGATAAAAAGGCTTGGAGTTTCGAGGAATCCGCTCTAACTCTCTCTTTTAGCATATTAGCCCCCATTTTAGCTTGAATTAAACGAACCTCCATAAATATAAATAGCAACAAGAATGTTAAAAAATCCTTTTCTTCTACGCTTATATCTTCTCAAAGATAAGGTTAGAGGGCCGAAAGTTAAGTTCCGGGGTTCTGGTGCACAGCACCACCTGGCCCTACGATAGCTGGGTATATTCGCTGTAAACATGTTTAAAGCTGCAGACTTTACTGATAGTATTCTAGTTAATATATAGGACAAGATTTATAATGTTTTATTGCACTTGAACAGGTCCTCTAAAACAAAGTATTGTGTAAGTAACGTAGACGATATTTTCGGTAACTGTAATTTGTGAAATTCGTGGAATCTGCCAAAGGTTGGCAACTCCGCATGGCTCAAATGAGTGAGAGGGCGAAACAAAAACGCCACGAAGCCGACCGACCTTATCGACTCGCCGAGCGTCAGTCGTACGATTTATTTTGGATTTCGCCTCTTACTAGATTGGGTGTGTCGTCTAATAGGAAACTAACAAGTACGTATATTTACCATTTTTAATACTCAAATAAATTCACAATAACTACATTGAAATATTTCTCGTGAAATAACACAAATTTTATATGTATGTAAGTAAAACACAGTGTAAATTATTAGTTAAACACCGGCGTATTTGTTTGTCGGCGAAAAGCCGGTTCGTGTGTTTGAAGTGTGTTTATTTTTAGAGAACGTACAAGTGATTGCGAATTGTTTTTCACGCATTTTTCATTCGTTCTAGGACTTTTCCAATATGAGCGGACAACAGTATTATCCGTACAAGGTAAGTTTCCATTTACGCTTATGACAGCATTAGGTATATTTCTGTGGGTATGGCTATCGATTCTTGGGATGATGTCATCTTTTCGGCGCAAGGTTGTTCTTATGAAAGCGTTTTATTAACAGAACTAATGGGTAAACAGGTTAAATTTAGTGAGAAAATTAGCCATAGATAGATACTTGCTCCAGTTTTATTCGTAGATTCTTTACATTCACTTGTCGGTTTAGACGTTAGAAGTTTAGAAAGGAACAATGCATAAGCCAGTTGGTGACAATGTGGGTATTTCGGTTTCATGACACTCATAACGTAATTGTGCCTACTGCCTATTCGAAATTGGTTTGAAGTTTTTTTTTATTTATACCTACTTAGTCAAAGTTACAGAAGTCTGACTACTTGCCTGTAAGTAAAACCGATAAAACGGGCATACAAATGTGTTCGCCCCCAAGTCTCACTAGGTGAAACGGGATTTCATTTCATCTTCGTCAAAGACTACATCTTAATCATTTTTTGTTTACTTACCTCTCAGAGATATAGACGAGCATATGTGTCATACTACTTCTTTGTATGTGTATTTTAAAATACGATACATTTGCTGATAGGGTCACGCGATTCAAAGCTTAGGTCATGTACCTAGATAGCTAAAGTAATTAATGAAACTTTTAAGTGGTATTCTTTAGTATTAAAAAATAAATATATCTATATGTTATCCTTATTTTTTTAAACGTAGGACTTTGCTATGGCTAGCAATTCCCGATGACAAACAGTTTTATACCAAACAGTATAAAAAGTAGGTTAATTGCGAATTTGGCATTTAGGGCGGGGGATAGGGAACGATGAATAGGCCCTTCTTAATAAATAAAATGGATTTTTGGCATGTTTATAGTGGCAATGTGATTTTGTTTGACTAACAAATATCTGCCAATTTCATTCCTTGTAAATATATACTTATAAAAGGCATAATTACGTTATCTTAGTAGCAATTGTCTATAGCTTACGCGAGTAGAACACATTTAAATGAAACACTTAACGGTTTATAACGTGAAATATATGTATTAGTTAACTTATTAAACGTTACAAACCGTTAAAGTATTTAAATAGTTAAAAGAGTTAACAAATGTATTTCTCGTTTTAAACTGTTAAAAGTTTTATTTAAATTACGTTATTTCCCATGCTGTCCAGGGAAAGTTTAAGGTCTGTAAATAAGTATTCGCTTTAACACAAAAATTACGATGTTCCGCCCACCGTTTAAATAGATTAATGTTTTAATTTATCTTATGTCTTCATTGTTATTGTATTTATTTATATTTATTGACTACAGATAAAAGAAATAAGCATGGCATGAACTATTGTAGGTGTTGCAACCCACTAATAGAGTATGCACGTTTTCTTACATTGCGATGAACCGAATACGCACGCCCACAGATTATATACATATACTTTATATATAAATAATATCTATATTTCAACGTAAAACCATTTTAAGTGTCTCTTCTGGAATGCCTTGTATAATCAACTTTTTCCACTATCTAGATAAGTTTGAGTATTTGTCATAAATGGTTTTGACGATACCGTATTTATAGAAGTATATAATTTATTTGTATTGATAAATTAAATTAAAATGTATAGCTATTATTTTTTACTTAACCATGTAAAAAAGAAAATCATATATTAAGTTCATTGTAACTAGAACTAATATAATCATTATTTTGTTAATATGTTTTTAATATTATGCCACAGTGTACGGGTATTGCCAAAATAAGTAATTAGTTAACAGGTAATTGTGTAGATTCTATAGTCCTTGAAAATAAACCTAGCTGGCGCCCATACACTAGTGTTATTAGGAGATGTACCTACGAACTACGTAGTTAAATAAACCGAGTGACTCGGAAATAGATTTGATAAACAAAACTACCTACTCTACTGATCACTAGACGATACTAGGCGCACCTATAGTAAATCTTAATCGATCTCCTTTTAAAATTAAAAATCGATTTTAGATAAAAAATAAAGTACGACACGGGCAGGAATTGAACCGGCATCCATAGCGTTTCGTGCTGTTGCTCTAACCAATGGAGCTACAGTGTCCTACACGTCGTCGTCGAATTTTCTCAACCTTGATGCGTTATTGCATATAATGGCATTATATAAATGAATGTGAAAAATATTAAAGTTTTCAGACCTCTTTTTTAATAAAGTTTTATTTCTAGTGTACCCCAACCGTGTACCCAGCGGAGCCCTTCGATCCCGCTGGCGATGCGGAGACCCTTCGCAAGGCCATGAAAGGTTTCGGCACAGATGAGAAGGCCATCATCGATGTTCTGTGCCGAAGGGGAATCGTTCAGCGTTTGGAGATCGCTGAGACGTTCAAGACCAGCTATGGAAAGGTAAAAGATCAATTGAAAGGTTTATTTGTACTGACAAATTCTAAGGATATTCCACTTCAAAACAACGAGATAACTTGCAAGATATGAAATATTTTTTCAATCAGAAGACGGTGTTGATTCTTTGTGATACAGTTTAATATGCCCGAAATAATTCTGACAGTAAAAATTACATCAATGTCTACGACAATATTTAAAAAAATTGTTTATTGATTGATGGTATAACGTAGGTATTCTAGCTAAAATAAAGTAGAACATTTAATTTGTAGCACCTTCAAAATAATCAATGTAACGCATTTTCTGATTTCATTATATTATTACTATTTATTTATTAGTTATTAGCTATATTTAACGACTATAAATAGACTATAATCTGTTTATTTTTTTTACAAACCGCGTTTTTTTATTACATAATAGGACTAAGCAAAAAATGGTTTATCATACGATTATTCTAGGTTCAGTTCTCATTATATTTAATTAAATCAAAGTTTCAACAGTAACCAGTTTATTTAATTGTTACAATATTATTATCGTTACCCTAAAGTTATTAATTTTAATGACTTCACCGCTCTTGAGTCATGGGTATTCAACAAATTATTGCCCTAGAATAAGAAGGATATATCAGTCACAGTATTTGATTTTTATTTTAGAGTTTATATGAAATGTAGAGTAACGAATACAACTAATATACTAGTTGTATTCGTTACCCTGCGACATAATAACTGGAAAGTGTGATTAGCACAACCATATTTTTTATGAGTAAATACTATGACAATGTTAAAACTAACTCCGTTATTGGAAATCGTTTGACACATCCTTAATTAAAATTGGCTGAGTATTTTAAGTGCTATATTGTGATTCCCTTTATCGCCTTTAGGCAAATATGGCGGACTCGTTTTCCTTTAGTTTGTATTTACAATTATTTATTAAATAAACCATACTTGACACTTGCAACATTTGCGATGTAACAAACAGACACTTCTAAATTTAAATAAGGTCACATCTTCGCTATCTTATCTGTTTATGTTCTCTCTACATATCTGCAAGGTAGTATAAGATACAACATATCACATTTTGCATAATACGCTCAGATCTGGGATTGTTACTTAGATTATGTCATAGTTTTGTTTTCGATTATTTTGTCTTTATATATTATTGTGCAACTTGCATATTTATATAAATTAAATTTAAATGTTTGTTAAAAACATAATCGAAATTTAAGAAATTCCAAGTTTTGGTAATCTCGACAAGGTACCTACCATCAGTATATAAAGACATTTTTCTGTACTTGTCTAATTTCTTTATATGTATAGCTTTAATTTTAAATTTCTTAATTTAAGTTTTGTGTATATACATATATTATATACCTAAAATAACTGTTATTTTTATGTTTGTTAAATGTTTTAATCTAATGTGAAGTTTGTACGTGCAAATCGATCAATGTTTGTCATGAGTCAGCTATGCAGGTGCCTATGAATGCACTAATATAAACTACATCATTGTTTATGCATGACGTTTGGCAAATATTTTATAAGGAAATCAACGTTTTGTACCTACTCGTCTAAATGTACAGTAGGTGTAATTTAGTAACCTTATTCTCTAAACTTTTATTATTAATTAGTAAAAACTTCAATATATACGTAAACGTAACGTAAAATTACTAAGGGAATAACAATGTTTATTTATTTCTATAGGATCTGATCAGCGAACTTAAGAGCGAACTCAGCGGCAACTTGGAAAATGTAATCATCGCTTTGATGACGCCCCTCCCACACTTCTACGCAAAGGAACTGCATGATGCCGTAGCGGGACTCGGAACCGATGAAGAAGCTATCATCGAAATCCTCTGCACATTGTCCAACTACGGCATCCGCACAATTTCTGCCTTCTATGAACAACGTGAGTAGACGTTCAATTTTGAGTTAATTTTTTTAGTAATCACCAACATGAGTTAATAGAGCCTTGTCTCTCTCCCACAACTGTTTAAAAAGAACAAGGACAAATAATGGTCAACGTCGATTACCTATTAACTCGTATAAGTGATAAAAGTAATGGTTAATGCTATTTTTGCGTTAATTTGTTCGCAGCTGTGATTTTTATTTCAAGTTGGATAACAACTGGAAATAATTTAAGCGATAACGATGTTAGGTAGGTTTATTATTGTATTAGATGTAGTTGAATATTACTGAGTTACGGCATGTTCAAACTAGCGTTTTCAATAGGTACTTAGTTTCAAGTTAAATCTAGAAAGCACTTTATTACTTAGGATTTGAGTTTTTTGCTAATTGTTAGTAGGCATTAAATAGATGTCATCCATATTGCTGTGATAAGATAGTTTTATCATCCCGACATCTTATTGCAATATATAAGGACCAGATTTGTATGCTTATTTTTAAACGGAATTGTGTTTTAGTATTATAAAAGTGGTCGACTTGTGCAATTGCGATAGCTCTAGACCAACAGCGCCCCGTGTCCCTTATGGGGCAGCGTTGGTCTATAATTTACGATTGAGTGTGGATGTTAGTACGAGGAACTAGACTAACGTTTATCCAGTTGGGCTTTGTACATGTTGTATATCCGATCAATAATATTCGGCAAACTTATTTATTAAAGTTTTTCATACCATTAATACATAAGTATTTAGTTTATAATAATCACATTTCTACTACATGACGCCTCCATTAACTTTGCCTACATCAGGCTTTTACTAAAATGTCGAACGATAAAATATAAATGCATAGAAATATTTAGGCCACTTCCAAATAAATTACTATTTAGCATGCGAGTTTCAAACTATTAACGCGAAGTCCTTATCAAAATGTTTTTAATCTATACGAGTTTAAAATTCTAAAATTTTAATTGCATCATATCAACATACATTTTACCTCGTTATAAACATTGTATGTTCTTCGAATTATGTCGTTGGCCTTTATATCTTGGTTATGTTACTGGTTTAGCTTTCCTTTGTTTATCTATGTGTTAAGGACATAGGTATATGCTGAAGTGATTTATACGTCTTTGAAGGTACCAAATTTGACTAGAATTTGCGAAATCACTCCATCTTAAGTTGTACGTAAAGTTTAACAATATTTAATAAATAGGCATTTAATGACTTTCACCAATGGCTAAGTAGATAAACGCGTATCTAATAGTTTCAAATTACATACTGCCCATGAGGCATAGGTAAAACAATATTTTTTTTTGATGCATGTGAACGTCTAGCGTTATGATAGTATTTTTTGACTCTGCAGCTTAATGGCTAAACGTGTTGCCTAGCATTGCTATAAGCTCGACAGTTCCTAGGTTCAAATCTCGAAGAAACAATGTTTTAAAACCTATCAGTGAAACGCACACAGAAATATGATCGCCCCGTTCCCCACGGGGAAGCGTGATTCACTACACACTCTACGACTCAGGGTTCTAAAGAGTTTACCGACATTTATCAGAAAAATCTAGACTTATGTTGGCTCTTAATGTCCGTGAGCACATAACGATATTAGGTCACGAACTGAATTCGCTTGAAATGTGATTATTATTCGTTGCTTGTATAGAGCCTTTGTTAATTGAACTGTTGGCAACGATGGCTGTTTAACGATTCTATTTATATAAGATGGAAGTTACGTCTATACTCTAGGAGTGAAAGTAGTTTTAGAACTGGATTATCGGTTTTCCAGGAAATATACCTTAGATGCACTTGGATATTCCACTTAGTGGTATATACGACGTGATAAAAACTGTTTAAAATATAATCATATGTTTTGTTTAAGCATGTTTTAATGCATCTTTATAGATATAGGAATAGTAAAGCACCTGTAGGTATTTCATAGTTAGGTAGTTGAAACTCAGGTCTCGATTAAAAACACTACATATAAAGAACAGTAGGTACAAAAACTGTTTTTTAATCGTCCGTATTTTACTCACCAAAGCACGCCTATCGTTTTTTAAATAAAATACTTTAACGGTTTAAAACGCGGTATTTAAGTTAAACTTGTTTGAAAATTATTTTTAACTACGACCCGACGTTTCGGATGCTAATAATACTAATACGAAAAAACGGGATATAAAGTCGTGGCTGACTTTAGTGTTTTATTTAAATGTCATACTTCGCGCGTAAACTACAGACAACACCTGTCGTTTACTATTTCCCTCAAAAGCACATCAAAGATACGAAAAGTATAAAATTAATGTTAAGAAAAATGATTGTTTGCAATATATTCATATAATTAGATATAGTCGTCATTTGTTTTTAACACCTTGCTTAATATTGGATATATGATTATCATTTATTACTTTTCGTTTTGTGTATCTCCCTTCAGCAATTCACAAATTGTACAATAGGGGCCGCTAGAGGCAGCGTAGCCTAACTGCAATGTATGACTTGACTTATTTATATTCTTATAGTCTAGAAATGTTCACCTACAAGAGCACAGTGACCGAAAATTGTTAACATAATTCTTAAACAAAGTAGTACCAAGTCAAATGCGCAATTTTATTTTCCTCCCAATTAAAAATCATGTTTTTTTGTTATTAGGCCACTATGCCTCTAGCAGCGTCAATTTGTAACCTTCATTGTCATCCCTATTAGTTTGACCATGTTGCTTCAAGATCTTAGATTATTTAAATATCTATTTCCTTCAGTATACGGCAAGTCCTTAGAATCGGACCTCAAGGGCGACACCTCGGGCCATTTCAAACGCCTCTGCGTGTCTCTGTGCATGGCCAACCGTGATGAAAACCAAGGTGTAGACGAAGGCGCTGCTAAGGCTGACGCGGAAGCTTTGGCCAACGCTGGCGAAGGTCAATGGGGCACCGACGAGTCGGTCTTCAACTCCATTCTTATCACTCGCTCGTATCAGCAATTGAGACAGGTAAATACTTCAACTTGGACGAGGTCAAATGACGTTAGGCTTTTATAGAAGTATTATTTATTTAAATAATACACTTTAACGGTTTAAACGGTTATTTGTGTTTGTATTAGTTTAACTAATATATCGCGTTTTAAACCGTTAAAGTGTTTTATTTAAATGTGTACTACTCGCGTAAACTATAGACAGTATTTATTTATGTTTTTTTATTTACGTTGCGTTAAGCGAAAGATATCCTTGATTTGAATGTATGTAAAGGAAATAAGATTTTCCATGTTTGTTTTTATTTTTATGATAGAGGAGCATAAACAAACATGGGGATCACTCGATGTTAGTAACATATAACATTTAATCAAGATGCGCGATCGACCTTTCATGACTTTGGATATTCGGAAAGTCACGAACTGAGACCGAAACGCGATCAAACTTCACGGCTTTTTCATTTGTAGGCGGTGATTAGTGATCCGGTTTAAATTACAAGAAATATTTATTTTTAGACATTTTCGGAAATCCAATCTTTTTTTCCAAACAAGACCAACAGTTTACGAAAATATTAATGTTGATTATCAGTAAAATACTTTAAATTTCTAATTCTATTGTTGTAGGCTATAGAACGAAACATTCCTATGAGTAGAATGTTTCGTTCTTGATTTGCTTGATTTGTTAATAATAGGAACCTCTCGGTGATTCATACCTGTGTACTTGTAAATAAGTACTTCATTGGCAATTTCCTGACAACATTTTATGCAATTTCAGATCTTCGCTGAATACGAGGCCTTGACTGGCAAAGACATCGAAGATTCAATCAAGAAAGAGTTCTCAGGAAGCGTCGAGAAGGGCATGCTAGCTATTGGTAATATATTTTTTCTTGGTTAAAGAAAATACTTGTTACATTTATATAGAAAGCGTATGCAACTTAGATGGGATTTTTCACCTACCACGAAGTGAAATTTGTCTGTACATGGATTCATTTGATTCACTCTCCTGTCATAAAGAAAACATCTATAAAGCGAAATTTATTAGTTTGTTTATAATTGAGCAGGACCCAACATTTCTAGCCGTATATTTGGCGTTTTATGCTGTTTTCATTCGCGTAAACAACAAATAATACTTAAGAAGCTTTTCCGATAAATTTTATAAGGGTAAATCAGACCTGTAGATGTACCTTTTCTTAATTATAATTAAGTTATGGCCTTGCAATGGTAAGCAAAGACAAATTACCAGTATATTAGTGTTTTTTTTAAAAAATGTACTTTTTACGTAGCAAATAGACTAGAGCAACTGTGTTACTTTTTCGGCTGTTCCTCAAACCTACCTACCATAGACAAAGAATAAGTATGGATCTTCATGTTTTAAGTTTATAATTACCGACACATTGTATTATTTTCCCGCATTCGTACGGACTGAGTCACAGCTATTAAGTTACATGAAGGTCAAACCTATGTACAATAGGAAATGATGCGACCTTGTTTCAGTAGACAGTGATTCATTTTTTTGAATGCCCGGAATTAACCTTTATCTTGCTCATGGTGATTAATTTAATGCCAATAATATCATAGATCCACCGTTGGTCTATTGGTAACGGTCTTACTAACAGGTAGATGTGTTCAATTCCTACCACCTCCAGCGTGTTTTTAGAAACTAATATCATATTTAGTGTCTTCTGTGTGTTGTTTCTGTATGTCGGTAAATTTTAATATTCCCTTTAATCACGATAACTAGCGTTCGTAACACTTCAATCTAGTAATCTCTATGTCTGTATCCTCTTTTGCCATAATACAAAAATACGTTAAGTTTTAAGCACTGCGTAATTTCACTGCGCATTAATGTTTTTAATTTGGGTAATGTGTTTCATTTATATTCAATACTATCTAAAACGTAAATCTTTAGTTGTTAATTTTAAAATAACCGTCATTTTGTTTCCAGTTAAGTGCGTGAAGAGCAAAGTTGGATTCTTCGCCGAACGTTTGTACTACTCAATGAAGGGCATGGGAACAAACGACAAGACCCTCATCAGAATTGTGGTGAGCCGGTCTGAGATAGACCTCGGTGACATCAAACAGGCATTCCTCGAGAAGTATGGAAAGCCCTTGGAAGACTGGATTTCGGTAAGTTTTTATGACCTTAATATATGTCTGCTTTTAATGTTGGAATAATAGATTTATTTATTTCAAATCATATAGTATACTGCCTTGACTTAGCTATAAATAATAAAACAAATAGAAATTTTTTTATGTATTTAATCTAGAAAGTAGGCAAAAAATATTTGAACTCAAGACCAATATAGAATATTCATGGCGAAAGGGACTAACTTTTAAATTTATTACTGCTTGTTATCTATATTTTATGCTACAATAACAACTAACAAGATTGTGTCATTTTAATTAATGCTTCTAACGGCATGAGTCCGCAATAATCGCGTACATATTTCAGTAAGCAGAAACTGACCCATAATTTTTATAGAAAAAACATGCATGTTACTAGACAACTAGAGTATCTAGAGACATATTTATACAATTTATGTGCATTGTAATCATTCTTTCGCTGTATATTCTCATTATATAAACACAAACATACAGATCTATACAATTTTGTTAGGATACAAAGAAGAATAAGATACAAAAATGTTTGTCCTAAAATACTTACAGACATTTGTGATGACCTTTGTAATTAACACTGGCTCTAAAGGATAAAAAAAGCAAAAATGCAAAGCAGTTTTAAAACGATTTATTCGCATTTTATCGTATAAAATGTATGCATTCAAATATATCGTTCTTAATATATTGTAAATAGTCGTTGCATGTTTTTATTATGTTAATGGCTTTGAAACCCACAACCAAGTGGGCATACCGTGTCACTATTGAAGCCATAACAGGAAAAAATGTGTTTATTAATTATTTTGCTAAAGGTTAGCTATTAAGGATAAAAAATGCGAATAAAACGTTGAAACCCGTACATTTTGCTTGCAGGGCGACACTTCTGGAGATTACAAGAAGGCCTTACTGACCGTTGTTGAATAGACGCGCGGGGTCAATGAAGCGTCGAAAGATCACTTAAGTTCTATTAAGTTCGTCAATTGTTAGGTTACAGATTAGGTTTATAGCTTGTCACTCAACGAACACAGTTAGTGCCATAGGCTGGTGTAAATTTCTCGAAAGATCTGTATATTTTGCTTGTTTCACGTAACTTTCTTTGCACAGTAGCTAACAACTTATTATCAAGCACGGGATGGGATGTGTAGTGTGGTTCGCGTCATGTAAAGAAAATGCTGGACTTGAAGATGCGAGAGAGATTCGTAAAGCCTATTTCGTAAGATACAAATATCATCGGGTAGAAGTGAAAATGAGCTTAATTTTCTTTAACCATAGACATACCAATGTTAGTTGGTAAAAATATTGAAATAAAAACACTATTTTTAATAATCTTATATATACTTATACGCTACTATTTCTAAAATCTCAGAAAAAACAACTAATACCCTACGCAAGTGTGCATATGCGCATGCGCAATCATACATCAGTCCAGCGTTATTTTTACGTGATGTAAGAGCTAGTTTTACAAGTAGTTGTGAATTTTTCAGGAGGACGTAGGAGGCCCGCTCGGTCAACTCCTATCTACAATGTGTTACTAAGGCTTCTTATTAATTCCGAGCGTCATAATCCCCGTTTCAGCTCGATTCTAAGATACTATTGTACACATTTCACGTACAGTATACTTAATGTTGCATTTCAAGTATATTTAAGTTTTGTAATCTCGAATGCACGTGTGATTTATAATATATAGAAATAATGGGCCAGTTTCTACACGATTTTTATTTTGCTGCCGCTATAGACTTTGTATGATCTTTGCAGGAAGACCTAACCGGTGACTTCAGGCGTGTGCTAGTCACACTTTCCGCTTGATCCTGCAAAATTTTATCTAATCGTGTTTTGCTAATTGCATGTCTTTCGGATCGTTGTTAGAATAATGTATAATTTTGCAGGATGATACTAAAGGGGACTACAAACGCGTGTTACTCACACTTGTCTCGTAGGAAAGAACAATTGAAATAATCTCAGTATGAAACTGCCTTAAATGTTGATGTTTTAAATATATTCGCTTGATATTTTTGTGAAAATGAGATATTTATTGGTGCTGTAGTTTTGTTTATGATGTATATTTATACCGATACATTCGAATAAAACTATGTATGTTTAAATTATTGTTTTTTATTTAAACATCCCTTATTCCTCCGTTGGTGATCTGACACAAAAAAAGAAACGGTTTTATTATTACCTATAGGCATAATCATAATGTATGTCAGTATAACTAAGGAAAAAATGCTTGAAACATTTTAACGGTTTGCGAGTAGTACACATTTATATAAAACACTTAAACGGTTTAAAACGCGCTTTATATTAGTTATAATAATTTTCAAACAACTGAATATATTATATAACGCGTTTTAATCCGTTAAAGTGTTTCATTTAAACATTTTAACGGATTATTGCATGAATTACTTAACCTATTAACTATATACTATATTTCCCCGTTTCAAACCGTTAAAATATGTATTGAAGGAAATGCGTGAAAACTCACTTGGAATTTTCCGGCTGTCTCCGGCGAATTATTACTCTTGATTAGCGCGGCTAGTCTTTCCTTGTGTAAGGGTTCCGGAGCAGATAGTAGTATTCTTTTGTTGCACCTATGCGCCCACGCATCTCCAAATGCACCGACTAGCGAGCCCGTAGATAAACCTATGCGCGTGCTCATTTCATTTGTTAATACAACCTGAAATGTCATTATTGAAGAGAAACAGGTACACTTACGTATTATATGTTACTCCCATTTTTAAAATGGGGGACAAGATAAGCATGAGATGGAAGTTGAAAAGTCTCAGTCATAAAACATTTTATTGATTTATATAACTTTATTATTTACAAACACCACAGGAATGGTTTAAATTTATAAAAACTTATGGACTAGCTTTTAAATAGAAGGCTGCCTTATCGCTAAACAGCGATCTCTTCCAGGCAATCTGTGAAAATAAGAACGAAAGGACTATAAAACATCTTAATTAAATGCGGTCGAACTTTGGCTTTGAACATTCTGTACTCACACACGTGGACGATGGTTTTTGAACCGGACGGAATTTCCGATATTCCTACCACTATTTTAATATCCACATATTCAGACGATGTCCAAAATCTTTGAAAAATGTGTAAATCGATTAGAAGCATGTTGGATCCTGTGCAGATTGAACAAGACCCGTTGATTAGAAGCCAAAAGTGTTCTGACCAACACAAAAATAATTTTCCATTCGAACCAGCAGCTTTCAAACGAACACTTAAGCTTATAATATAATGTAAAGATAATTAATGCACAGTTTACGTTATACGTACCGCGATTCGTTTGTCCATCGCAAGCTTTTGAACCTCAGCTATCAACCGGAACAAGAGCCCTGTTCGGTGTTTCACTGTTACACCCTCTTTAAATGGGAATGTTATGGAATCTATTACTATGAGTCTCACCTAAAATAGAATGTATAGGCTCAATTGTTAATGTGAATCATAAGAGATCTCTGGTTCGATGCCTGCGTAATAAATATTGAACTTAGGTAAATACTTGTCATTGTTTTGAATCACCTCCAAAACTTAATGGTTAAGGGTTTTGCATCAAGGGAGAGGCATTCTAGATCCAGATCCCCACGACATAGTTTCGTTTACAAAGTACAGAAGTCGACAAATGAAAGAGACACATAATTATGTCTGCCTCGTGCACAATATTCACTGGCTTCTATCTTACTCCTTCAGATGTTGAATAATTTAAATAAAACACGAAATAAAATAGTTAAACTACAGACTGACGTTTCACACTACGTGATCACAATCTCCCCGTTTCAAACCGTTAAAGTGTTATATTTAAATGTGTACTACTCGCATAAACTACAGACATTAAAAGTAAATAAGATAACTTACATTGGGTCTTTCTGATATTATATCTGGTAACATGTGAATTAAACTGCAGAACCTTTCTAAGCCAAGTGCCTTTACATAATGTAATCTCTTTAAAGCAGCATTTTCGTCATACTTTCTATCACTTAGCATTTTTCTACACCTTTCTAGACTAGCTGATAGAATTTCTACAATATGTTAAACACATATAAAACATTACATACAAACATTTGTTGCTGAAATAAATTGTTTTATGTATAAAGTGTACCTTTAAATCTTGTTTTTGTAAAATTTGTGTTTGTATCAATATAAATGGCTTCAGCGTTTAAACCTCCTAGCTCTTTGGGTATTTGTACTGATGCACATAGCTGCAAACTGCAGAAACATTAGATAATATCCAATAAGCTAAAATAAATAATATTTTTTACATCAAGTATTATTTTATTCCTGAAATAAATGTGGGAATAATTTATTATTATCTTATTTCTAAGTACTGTGTTAATAAAATTTGTAAATACAACTTATGGAACATTCCTTCAAAAGAAAATCATTTAAGTAGCCAGTTTTTATGTAACTATTGATGATTATAAAAAAATGTTACATTTAATATGTAAGTTGTCGTTAATGAAAAGTTGTAAGAAACACAAACCAAATTTGAGTCTTTCCTGTACCAGGCAGCCCTAAGAACTCATAGATAGACCCTAATTGTATACCACCATTGCCTAACACACCATCTAAAGTTTGACTGAACGTGGGTACAGAAGGCAAGCTTGTTTCTCTCTGAAAAAAAAACATGTTATTACACTACATTGTTAATGTACATTGAATATGGATTATGTACAAAATAAGGACCTGCCATATTTCAGTTGCATTAAATATTTTGAATTCTGAGCACATTTTTAAATGAAATCTTTGATCTACTAAGTACTCCGACTTAAATATTTTGGCTCCTTTATGTTTTAAATAAACATTGTACGAAAAATTAAGATTTTGGCGGGAAAGGGGATGACGGTTAAACGAACAATTTTCTAATAACTGACAAAAAAATTTTAGTATATTTTTCCGTGATTGTGAAACATGGTAAACAAGGAAATGAAGACTTACTTTACAAATCACAAACAAAGTAACAACTTTGAAAGTTTTTTTGACATAACTGACAAGACATAGAGAGACTCTCTTTTGTGACATTGACATATACCACAACTGTCATGATTGTTGTGCTAACCTTATAATGTAAACAGGGGCAAATTAAAAAATAAATCCATATTGTAATATTCAAAGCCAATATTTTACCAAAACATGAATCAAATGAACATGCACGCCGGGATGAACCCGGGCCCCCCAATGGGTGCAGCACCAAATATGCAGATGCCTGTATGTGGACAAATAATGCAGCAGCCTCCTCACCAAATGGCTCCAGCAGCTATGCCGCAGCAGACTCAACAAGATAAGATGGATAACATTACTAAAGTAAAAACTCTCATGGGTTCCTTGAGAGAGTCATTGCCTGTAAGTAATTGACATCATATTTCAGTCATTGAAAAAAAGTGTGGTAAGAATGTTTCTTAAGACAAAACAGTCATTAAATTGACACTTGTTACCTGACTTAAAAGAATTTAGTAATCATCACTATCAGCCTATTTGGGTCCACTGTTGGACAGAGGAGTCTCCCAAAGTATGGCACTCTGCTTTCTCTTGAGCTCTATTTATCTACTTGCTGCCAGCTACTTTCTTTAGGTCATCAGTTTGCTGTACCAATGTGCTGTTGATCGTACTACACTGGTGTTTTATAATTATAATTTTTAAATTTCAGATGACTTTGAAATCTGCAGCACAGATATTACATCAAAATCACAACATTGATTCTAACACTCAGTGAGTATATATTCAAAAAGTGTTTATTCTGTATTTCTGTACAGCTCTAGTGCCACCGGGCCTAAATGTTTCTATATATTGCTTAGTTTAGTTTTAGTTAAGAGCAATGTGTTTTGGGTTTCAAGCCCTAAAGAAAGTTAAAAATTTTAATCTCGCGGAAAAAATAAGGCAACTAATTTATGTGTGGTATACAGACTAGATATGTGTTTTTTTTGTCTATGCCCCTTTCCTCAATTCATTTTGACTTATACTTTTAATATATTTTATTTAAAATTAAATAATAACCTTTCGTTTTCAGAAAAGCTGCTGAAACACCAGCAGCGAGGTTTGATAAGAATCTCGAAGAATTTTTCTCATTGTGCGATCAAATGGAACTGCATTTAGTAAGTTATGATTCTAATCTAAATTTTACTCTTTCATGCTCTTAAACAACTATAAAACTTGAAACTTTTAAGAATTTCGCTGAACTTACAACCCTAATTTGTCCCTGCAACATACTATGTTTGAGTTTTTAGACAATAAATAAAGTTTTACTCACTGTACAAATGCCTTGTGGCCTCTTGCATAGTAATTATTATAGTCTATGAATACTTCATTGTAATATTAATATTGTCGTGGTCACGGGGAGACGGAGACACGGCCAAATAAGTTTAACTAATATATCGCGTTTTAAACCGTTAAAGTGTTTTATTTAAACGATATATATGTTTTTTTTTCGTTTTATAAGTTTGGCGCTGCAATATGTGCCAGTCTTTATAATTTATGAATAAATTTTAATATTACAATGAAGTATTCATATAAGTATAATAATTACTTTGCAAGAGGCCACAAGACATTTGTACAGTGAGTAAAACTTTATTTATTGTTGTGGTCACGGGGAGACGGGAGACACGGCTGCTGCAAAGCATCCGAAACGTCAGGCCGAAGTTAAAAATAATTTCCAAATAAGTTTAACTAATATATCGCGTTTTAAACCGTTAAAGTGTTTTATTTAAATGTGTACTACTCGCGTAAACTATAGACAGTATGTATATATCGTTTCCATATCGTAACTTAATTTATTGATTGCTACTGCTACTAACTTAGTGTACTTTTTTTTATGGCATTGCATAAGAGTAAACCACCCACCTAATAGAAACGATAAATTCTCTTCACGGTTACATCTGTGGACGGTGGTTATGACCGTGAAGGTTACGATATTTCTACTACCAACTCAATGATATTCACCCCAGATGTTTATGTTTATAAAAATTATAAATTTATCAGCAACATGTACCTACGTAACAGGAATAGATCCCACGCCCCTGTCGTAACTACCGCAGTGCTACCATTGGAAATCGTATTGTTGATTAGTTTTGTTTAAACAAGTACACAAGATATATTTAATCCCATACATGTTAAAATTTTTTTGAATTGGTGAGGTTTAAAATCCTTTTAGGCATTGAGTGTGTGACTCAATATACACTGACCTTTTTGTTTTAGAGCTTTACTTTACCAGAAAAGTAAGTGGTCAATTTCAACCCCGGGATCGAACTGTGCTTTTCGTTCTTGAGAGGTCCAACTGTTTCAAATCTAATCGAAGTCTAACCTAGCCCAATCAATAAGCGACAAACATTCTACATAATATATCCTTAACATAAATACACTGTGCAACCATTAACGTCACTCGTACAGATTATTAAATAATCCTATATAGATAAGAGACATATATTAATTTAAATTGGTTGTTTTCCAGTGTGATTACATCACAGTATGATTTTTTTATTTTAAACTTTTATTGAGATCGCGTGTTCGATATTTGTTCACATCCCTAGAGAATTGATTAAGTTAAGACTTCTATGTGCTATGGTAAGCCATTGGAGACTTACAAATCATCAGATATCAAGCATGTAAATAAAAAAAGTCTTAAAATTAAGCCTACAGCTGGAAAGTCTTCAAGGCTTGTCTTGTATGGGTTGTCCAAAAACTTTCATTACCTGCTTATTGATTTCATGATGGTGGAAACGTCTGGGGAGTTTAAAAGTCATACGAACGCCTACCTAGAGTTTTATGCTAGCGGTTGTGTATAACCACTGATGTGACTCAAGTCGCTTACTTGGTAAAGATGGCGCCTCCTCGCTCGAACGTAGAGGCGATTTACTGGTATCACGTATATAAACGATAGGCAATAAGAGCTACACAGACATTATTTATGAATCTATCGATTATCGATTTTCAAGATCCTAATACATATCGGAATAAAAAGAACAGGAGATAAGCGATACCTATTTGTAACTATGTAACAAGTAAACATGTATGTTCAGTTACGTCTAAGCAACCATTAAACTATTGACCCGCCTATCTCAGTCATGGATATCACTAATGTCTTTGCTATTCCATTTATTGTAACTAACAACAATCTTCGGTAAAGCTCTGTTCACAGTGGACTAATGCTCCAAACAATATAATATAAAATTCAAGCGATGTAAGAGCAGAATTTTTCTTAACGATGTTTCATAGTTGGTTGGAGAAATGTTCTGGAACTTTTCGATAACTTCATCAAGAGATGTTGCACGTCTATTTTTCAATCTCAAATTTTATAACGCCGCTATAGACAGAGTAGCCTAACTGCAATTTTATGCCTTGAGTTATTTATATTTTCTTAGTCTAAAAATGAGAGAGCACAGTGCCCAAAAATGTTAACATAATTTTTACACAAATAATAGTACAAATTCTTTTTCGTCTAAGTTAATTGCGCATTTTTATTTTTCTCCTTATGGAAAATCAAGCTTTTTGTTATTAGGCCATTCTGCCTCTAGCAACCTCATATATCTATACGTCAAGGTATTATGTCATTATTAAAAGACTGAACGTCTCGATATTAAAAAAAAAAATAATCAAGTTACGTTTACAAAACCGCGGCTAAATTGATATACAATTTAAGGTATTCTGCTTACTTTAACAATGTATGCCTACTATTAGTCTTCTGTCACGTTTATAAGTAAAAAGAAATTCCAGTCCCTGTCGTGGAACAGACGAACTACTGTGTCTGGTTTACTTATCGATAGACCGTGATTACGGTTACTGAAAAGGTCCGAAATGTCATGTCATGGTTAAACATACTTTATCACTTACGTATTGGACTTCTCAATCCATTAAAAGAATTATATATAATACGAGCAACTAGTGAGACGTCTATTCTCTAATCAACTGACACTATTATATTTTCCAGGGATGCGAACCCTGGACTTGCCCAGCTACTATAACGCTAGTTTCCAAATTCTAAGTTCCAAGCAAATGGCACTACATTTAGTTTTGTTTAAATTATAGATCATTATAATTAAATAATAATTCGTAATCATGGTGCAAATATACACGAAATTATTGCCTTTTCCACATTTACAATATATCGACTCATCATTAGTGTTTTTTTTATCTTTTGCTTAATTGAATGAATTTCAAATTTGTTAGTTAGCAGTTGTTTAGTACGTTTCATGCATCAAAGTGTCATTTATTTTTGAAAACAAAAGTACTGTCCTAAGATGTAAATAATTCATCAATAATTCATCGTGTATTTATAATCATTAATGACCAATGCAATTAACATAAAACAGGCCCTTCTCAACATAACGCGTTATTCCTGATGTTATACACCGCACAATTGCATAAACAATAAAGAATTATCAATATTCAATAAACGATTGATAAGTAAGTATGTTTACAGTATGAATACGTAAATAGCAACACCAATGTACCTAATGTCGCCAAGACAAAAGAAGCTTATCATTAGGAAACTTCTTGATGCACATATCTAGTACAAATAGTGACTTATTCAGTGATTATTGAAATCTATAATGATTTCCATCAGATCGTGTGATTTATGTATTGCGGAAATTTTGCTTCCTGCTTAGATTCCTATATGCCCGCAATTAAATCCCTTATATCATCACACTACTAAAAAATTTGCACTACTACTAACGGCAGAGAGCCGTTGCAATAACTTCCTGCTAGTCACGACACGACATCTACACGTATCTATGGATTTTTATACTCGTATTATCTATGGTCTAACTTTGTCGGTATTTCTATCAAATTTTGAAATGCAACAATAGCTAAACGCTTGATACATCGTAGGAGCTGGATATATCTCGAGGTTTTTTGTAGTAGGTAGTTTTGTTCTCCTTTAATATTGTAGAACATACTTTTAAATAGTTAAAGGATTTTTAAAATCGGCACATCCTTACTTAATATTATAAATGCGAAAGTAACTCTGTCTGTCTGTCTGTTACTCTTTCTCGCCAAAACTCTTCTTTTCGAAAGAGGGTTGAAAGGGGTTAAAAGGGGGTGAAAGTTTGTATAGGAAATTCGTGGTTTTTGAAGCTAGAACAATGAAACTTTCTTTTTTCGGCTTTTTGGGAATAGGAGTAAGTGGGAGTGGGAGTTACAGTAGGAGTGACGTGAGTTGAGAGTGTTGCGGCAAAGTAGCACATACAACATAGATTGGTTGCGATAAATGCGCAATTACATAAATTAATAAACAGCCTAAATAATTAAAGCCCAAGTCACTATTCCACGCGAACGAAGTTGCGGGCACCGCTAGTAAGTTTATAAATTACAAACATACAAACAACAATACGGCTCTTACTCTGTATTATATGTAAATACTAGTATAAATAAGTCGTAACCAACTTTCGTACGATGGAGATCAAAGCTTTCCAAAATTAAAAATTATTACTTAATGAAATTCTAACTGCGGCCCTACATTTTGGTTTTTCAGTATTTCTATTATTGTTATTTCATATATAGCCTTCCTTTGACTACTACTAAAACTATGTGTACGTTCGTTCGATTGTATTAAAAATTAATGAATTTTTCAGCGAACGGCGATAACATGCATTCAGCAAGCCCAGTTGGCTGCTCATTATCTACCTTTGACCGTGATACCTTCAAGAATGGATTCTGGGCCGACATCCCAAGTAAGTACCCAAAAGAACATATTTATTTTAATTTATGTAGTGGACGTGTAAAGCACAGTACGATGCAAGTTGTGTCTGGCCTGGAAATTAATTATAAGCAAACCTTCTTTAAAAAAATAAATAATGATGTCAGGTAATTCCTGAAGATCGATCCTAGAACCAACGAGACCTAAGTTTATCTTATATATGGATTGGACAAATTATATATCACACCAATTCTTGTGTAGTTGTAAGCAGATAAATACTAAAATATATCGTGGTCCTTCAAGCCGGGTCATTCCAAATAAATGTAATTAAAAGCATTTTTTGTTTACCAGGATACAACTCTAAGCTATCCACAGTATCTAAACACAATAAGGCTTCAGATATCCTACGCTAAGGACATCCATGACACGCTTGTAGCGGCCGCGCAGAACATCTCACCAACGGAATAATTAAACAAAGTATATGTAATTTAAGCAAATTTATTTATTAAGGCATACTATTATAATCTCTTAAAGTACATCTTGTTTAATTGAAAGTCTGCCATTCTGCGTAACATATTATCTATGGCACATTATTATCTATGTTAATGTTGAATCAACATTCTTAGAATTATTGTAAATAATATAAGATTCATAATTAAATGTCAACGATTAAAAATAAGGATTAACTGGAAGAACTATCGGGAGAATATATTTTTGAGATCAAATTTTTATATTATTTCCTCAAAGATTCATATTACTCGATTATCTTATTTAAATAAATCATTTCATCAGATCTTCAAGTTGTACATATAATCGTAATATTAAACCTGTCTTAGGACCTGCCCTTACACAATAATTGGTTATAATTTAAAACTTAAACTAGAATCACAATATCAAAATCGTAAAATACTATCAGTCTTCAATATTAGATGTTGTTCATGAACTCGATTATCAATATAACACTTATTGCCAGATGGTGAAATCTGTAACAAAAATAGAAATTTATTATAGAAGTATCATATAAGTTGGCAGTTTTTCCTATAACCACTAATTAAAAAATGTATACTAATATATAAAGCTGAGAGTTTGTTTCTTTGTTTGAACGCACTAATCTCAGGAACTACTGGTTTGAATTGAAAAATTATGTTGTGTTGGGTAGAGCATTTATCGAGGAAGGCTATAGGCTATAATACATCGCGATGTGACTAATAGGAGCGAAGAAACAGCGGGTAATGTAGAGAACACGGGAAAAATTACTTGTCATTATGGGTTTCCGACGCGTACGCTACAAGAAAGCTTCAAGATAGACAAAAAATATGTTTATCTTTTATACGATGATTATGATTTCTTTTTTAAAATATCTAAAAAAAACTCCGTGACGCGATATGTCTATATTTTAAGATTAACTTGCAAGAACGCGAGCAACGTCGTGGGTTGTGGGCAAAGTTGATGCTCAAAATAACTATTGTACGCGGGCGAAGTCGGCTGACACAGCTAGTAATATATATAATAAAGGCTTTCCCTGCCATGCTACTTGAGTTTTCCGGCTGTTCGGGCTATTGTAACTAGAGATGGTTCTCGTCGTTTCCATACTATTTAAAGCTTTGTTTTAACAGCTGGAAAACTAAGTACTAGTATAACAATGGCGAATCCTATATTCACTCTCTAAATTTTTTAAACAAATAGACTTGTGGGGTGCAGTGTCACATATTAAATTTTAGAAAAAATAAAAGCTGATTTTTACTGCTATGAGGTTTATAAAGGACAAAAGGAAAAAGGAAGTGGATGAAATATATCAATAAGAAATAAGGCCTATTAAAATAAACAGAGATAACAACATCCATAAATTAAAAACTACCAGTAATTACAGGACGTACGTGAGCCGAGGTAAAAAGCCGGCAGAATAGTATTATACATTTAAATAAAACACTTTTAAACAGTTTAAAGTGCGAAATGTATTAGTTAATCTTATTTAAAAATTATTTTAACCACGGCCCGATGTTTCGGATGCTTTGGGGGCGCCGTGGTCACAGGGAGTCTTCCCGGAGTTTAACTACTGTATTTCGCCTTGTGAAAGTGTTTTATTTGAATGTGTACTACTCGTGTTAACTACAGAGACTATTTAGTATTGTGCATCTTTGCTATGGGCGTGCCCATCTCTGTCCATCGTGTCTTCACACTTATTCTGTAAACTGTAAGCAACAGTTGGCCCACAAAACATCTAGATGCATCCACGCGAGGCAACGGCGTGATTTATTTCTTTGTAACCGGGCTGCCTGTGGCCCTTTGGTCTAAGCGCAGCGAGAGATTGGCTATCTCCGGCCCATCCAAGAGTTGATTTATGCCAGCCCTTGGGGGTAGACAGTGGAAAGAGCATAAATTGCCACTATCACGCCGAGGCCTCGCCTGTTTACGAATAATACCCGCGATAAACTTATTATTGTGACATAAATAAAATTATGTGTCCACTGCCGCTGTGGAATAATACTCGTTAAGTGCATCTTATAAGTTCTTTATGCTTTTAAAATAATAATAATAAAAGCAATACTTCATTAACAAGAATAACTCAAACTAAGCCGAACTTCAAAGGACCGCTTTGAAAATTGGATTATTCGAACTCCTTAGCGCATGACATTCTACGCATCTAGTGCTTATATATTAAAGAATAACTAATTAACAAAATGGCATAAGTCTGTGGTAACATAACTTCATAATCACAGATATCGAAAAAAATATATTCTACAGATCTATTCTGGATATATCAAAGGGATTTAAGTGTTGCCTGATTAAAAAAATGGAAACTTATTTTTTATTAAAATCCATTATAATGCCATGTAACACGAGTATTGTAAAATGGAGGAAATCGGGCTATTATATATATTATTTTTTTTTAACACTTTAATGCACAAAAAATACAAACGAGACAAATATTGAAAATATAGAACGGCTTTATCGCTAACGAGCTTTGATGTAACTATCTCTCATTAATATTAAATTGACTAGGAATACATCCTGCCTGGGAACAGTTGCTAAGCTGCTGATTAGAAAAGGTCATCACCCGTTGATAAGTAAGGACAGTGTCCTTGACAACTGAAATCGCCAAAACCGCATGCCATTGTGGTGTCATTCGCAAATAGGGTATCCAATTCGTCGTAACTAAACTATCAACACGTTTAGCGATAAGGGCTATGTAATTTAAGGAGTGCATTGCCCCGAAATAATAAACATTCTATACTATTGTACTATCTAGTTTTGGTCATCTTATACGTTATAGATATATTCACAACTAGTAATCTGATCTGAACTAGTCATTTAAATAAAAATACTTTAACGGTTTAAAAGGCGATATATTAGTTATTCAGCACCTGACGTGACCACGGCTGCTGCAAAGCATCCGAAACGTCTGGCCCAAGTTAAAAATCATTTTCAAATAAGTTTAACTAATATATCGCGTTTTAAACCGTTAAAGTGTTTTATTTAAATATGTACTACTCGCGTAAACTATAGACAGTATTTAATGAACTAGTCAACTAAAATTTTTAAGTTTTATACCTTTAAAGAGGTAATATTTAAAATACATCTTTAAATACAAGTAATTAAACTGATAAATCAATTTTAGATTAAATAAAGTTTACGATAAGGGCGGGACTTGAAGCTGTATCCAATGCGTTGACATGGTAACTGAACTGGTTAGAAAAACAGCATGGAACAATCTAAAGTCGATTTTAAATTTATACCATGCCATCATCAAAATAGGATTGTGTGGCTAATAATCGAAGTGTCGTGGGTTCGATCACTCCAACGTGTTTCAAATTAATTTAAATTCTTAAGCATGTCAGACTTCGTCTGGAAATCTGGATATTAATTGGGTGGAAGGAATGACGTCCGGGTGAAAAAGTCATGAAATTAAATCGCGTTACGGTTTAGTCTGTGGATTTAAAAATATTAAAGCCTTTAAAAGGTCGACGGCGCATCTTGTTGAGGTGTTATATGGCCGGGATATTTCACTTTTCATGTCTGAAAAAATAAACTCGTTTTTCTCGAGGAGCTTAAAAGTACAAAGTGTCACGATCACGTGATAACTTAGATACAACTTAAAATAAACAGACAAGCAATCACAATTATTTCGAACTGCCCAATTGAAATATGGTCTGTAGATATTTGTCTTCGCACCCTCAACATTGTAAGCGCGCTATTTCATAATAACAAGTTAATAAATCAAGTTATTATATTCGCCATTTGTATTATCGCGACGGTGTTTATTTTCGAACTTAACACTTAACATCCTCCAATAAGTCTTCGACTTTGTAAACTATGTTGAAAATAATAAAAAGTTATTTTATGTTAATGCCTTATATAATTCCTTGTTATGTAGATGATCAATAACAATAAATGTGATATAAGTATCTCATAAATTGGTCAATGACTTTTCGGCCGGCGTTGAAACAAAGTACAGTTATTTACAGAGAGATGCATGCATACAATATCGCCCGTGTCCCGACGTTCTTGCATGTTATCTTAAAAGATAGACATACGCGTCACGGAATTTTTTTAGACCATTTTACGAAGTATAATTCTTTAATAAATATTTTTTGGTGACTTAACCGTTTTCATAGCGCACGCAATGGGTGCCCTCGATGATCAACAATTTTCCCCGTTTTTGCCTACATTTTCCTCTGTTTGCTTCGATCCTATTGGTCAAAGCCTGATCTTTTAGCCCTCCTCGATAAATGGACTAACATTCAATTTGAACCAGTACCTGAGATTAGCGCGTTTATACTCTTCTTATTTGAAATTAGTACACCTAGATGCAAAGAGGCTATATAACTTTGTTATTTAAAAAAAAATAAAGGAAGTGCGGGTCTTCTCGTTAGTATTTTCGATATAAGCTGTTATGAGATGGTTTTTAATCTTTGAAATTACTATCTGATAGATTAATATAAAAATATGCGTAAGTACCATTAAATATATATATATACGAAAGGTTATCAGTGTTTTTACCAACTATATGTAAACCGTCTTTTATCAACAGTCATAACAAAAAAGTGATATTTATGTCGAAAATAGTCATATTGATTGTCTATGAGACTATGACACATAAACATACAGTTCTCTCGATAGAAGAATGTGTAAATGATCTTAACACTCCTTGGTTCTCGTTCTTCATCCATTTTTATCTAAATTTCAGCCCTCTATTAATTGAGGCCGCTAGAGGCAGAGTGGCCTAACTGCAATTTTATGACTTAATTGATTTAGATTTTTATAGTCTAAAATGTTAATCTACAAGAGCACAGTGACCGAAAATTGTTAACATAATTCTTACACAAATAATAGTACAAATTTTCGCCCAAATTAATTGCACATTTTTATTTTCCTCCTTATTCAATATCATGTTTTTATGTTATTAGACCACCCTGCCTCTAGAAGCCTGAATTGTACTAGTGGGATACTTATAGCCTTTTTTCAATAATTTTAAAACTTTTTTATACTAGACTAAATAGTTACTTATTGCTAACTTAATGAAATTGAATGTATGGTATTTTTACACTCCTATTAAATTATCGACCGGCTGTTGTTTTAAAACTCGTGGGAGAAAGTTAGCAAGTTATCACTAGGGACATCCGCTTAGAAATTATCACTTATCAAATTACTACTTGCTAATTACAATTGTACTTTCTAGAAAACAGTCAACTGTAACTCTACAGTAGATGCCCGATTTGGCTACCTAGTCTTGTATTAGTAACTACTTGACTGTAGAATAGACGAAAAATAAGAGTGATTTGGACGCTGACTTGTTATTAGCGACACATGCGCATGCCAAAAAAAAGTGCAATAAGTCAATATGGAGCGAGTTACAAAGTTAATATAGCTGAGATTAGGGAGTATGGGAAAGGAACTAGTTTCCTATCAACTGCTCTAATCAGATTCGTAAATATTTCTATCCTTATGCATTTGAATGCGCCTATAACGCAAGATTCAAACACTTTTAATTTATAATATAATTTTTACGTTTTGGCCCCGTGGCTAGGGCTAACAAAGTATCTGAAACGTCGGGCAGTAGTTAAATTTTAAAATGATTTGACTGATATATTTCACGTTTTAAACTATTAAAAGTGTTTTTTTCGTACTAATCGCATGAACGCGCTTTGAGCATGATAAACTTCCTCATATATAATATTAGAAGAAAAACTTACGAGCACTTTCATCCGAAGACTTGCTGTGCAGCGTAGGTGATGTGCAATAAGCCGTCTGCCCCCCGGAACTGTTCGTAAGCCTGGGCCATTGTCATGCTATGGCTCACCAACACTTTGTCGTTCACTAGCAGGTACAATGCCTAAAAAAAAGAATTATAATTCAGAAAAGAGGTCAATACTGCCTCTTTTCTTATTCTGGACACGATAAATGTAGGTGAACGCTTATATGCTCTGCTTTATTACAGTTTCTTGTTATCTTCTGACTTAAACCAAAAGTTTTGATAAATTCCAAGTATAAAATTCGAGAAAGATATTTTACATATTCCGTTAACGTGCTTATAACTGCATTACACTTAATCAAATAAAACATTTTTAACGAGTCAATATGCGATTTATTAAGTAATTTAAGTAAGCAGAGGCCCAGTGTTTTCATCACTGCCACTTTTAAAAACATACTTAAATTAACAGCAAATCTTTTAATCTTTTAAATTAAACTAAAAGCTTTCAGAAACTAGAAATTACATTTAAACTATAAATACACACACTAGACATATAATATAGCGTTACATATAGGTAATATCTACCTAGTTAGTAAAAGTTACACAGGATCCGAAGAACACTCTTATTTGAGAGAAAACAATTTTTAATTGTACGATATTATTTTATCTGCAATATTTATTTGAAATAAACATCGTGTTATCACACGGGCTTTAAATAAAAACTTGCCGGAAGACAACCTTATCAAACGGGACATTTTGACCTTTTATATATATCTTCAGTGTCCAATTTGGGGCAAGTCATATTAAAAGCTACGATACATAAAAGTTCTGGTGTCTGATTATAGTAATGCGTCATGTTATGTGTTTATTTAAGAATAATGTAAGAATATATATAAAAGTCAAATGTAATTTCTTCAGTAACAATATGAAGACTAATATAACTAGAGACTATATATATTCTTATGTACATTAATTCTTGAAAAGGTAAAAATTACGAAGACTTCACGCTCCATTGTAATAAATTTGTACGAAGAACGTACCTGAGAGTCCCTCAATTTCATTTTCGTTCTTATGATGTACAGAAACTGGGACATCGTTAGTTCTTGCGGTACTAAAAACTTGTTTCTCCCGAGGACTGGCACTTCTTTTTCTCTTGCGTATCTCTCCACGTACAGCTGGTTACAAATAGAAGTTAAAGTTTAAATTTAAAAAAAAGTTTATTTTGTTTATAACTAACTACTAAGATTCTTATGATCCATCAATATAATGTATTTTTGACGCCCCATAAACTTTTTTACATCTAAAGCAGACAAGTATTATTGGTGTTTAATATTACGTTAGTTTATGCATTTGTTTCGATAAAGCACTCAGCGAAGTTATTTATTTGTAATGAAAATTGTATAGTGATACCTAATCTCTATTTTATATCTATCATATTAGAGGACGGACGAGTATGGGTTCACCTAACTTAGGACCTTTTTTTTCTTTTAAATATTTGGAAATCCACAAATTGAAACCAACATGGATTTACATCAGTGGACGGCGCTTCGCGACCCGGACAGAATTTCGATATTCCTACCACCCATTTATCCAGATTTCCAGACGAAGTCCAATATGTTTCTGGTACATTATAAATTGTTCATAAACTGGGCGCACTGGAACAACCAACGACCCATTAATTGCTACCATCACGCCAACTTATCAAAACTTAAATACTGTTTATAGTTTACGTGAGTAGTACACACTTAAATAAAACACTTTAACAGTTTAAAACGCGAAAATATTAAACTTATTTAAAAAAATAATTTTTAACCTCGGCCCGCGCCGTTTCGGATGCTTTGCAACAGCCGTGGTCACGGGGAGACTCGTCCGAAAGCATCCAAACGTCGGGCCGAAGTTAAAAATCATTTTTAAATAAGTTTAACTAATTACGCGTTTTAAACCGTTAAAGTGTTGTATTCAAATTGTCAAAACTTTTCATCCTAGATTATACAAGTAAAACATACATACCGGAATCTTGTTGGGAAATCTATCTCTAATGACTTGAACCTCCTTATTTGATCCCGTCATATCTGTACAAATAATTTGACATTATATCAATAAGCGGTTAACGTTTTATCAAAGTGACGTGAATGCATTTCTTATCATAGGGGAAGGGAAAACGCGGATACAACATAATCTCACCTAACTAGTTAACGCGGCTATAAACTTGATTTAGCTAGGTTAGCATGAACTGAAGGCCTGCGATTAAAACAGACATATTTTGCTGCAATAAACAGATACAAAATTGTATCATTTTTTGGGAAATGACTGCGTTCCATTTGGCACCTATATCATAGCTTGTCAATATATACAAATTACTTGAGATAAAATTGAGTTGAAATACATAACATATATGTATCCTAGCAACAATATAATTAGCAGCCCCTACTTAATTCTATAAAAAAATATTTATGTTGATTTGTTTCAACTCTTATTGAACCCGCAAAATTCATACAATTACAACACAGAGGACACAAAACACTTAAGTGTAGTGCAAGGTCAAAAACAAATAATTTAAAATACACAATTCAACAGAAAGAAAACTGAAAATTTTAAACACATTACATTTTTACACGTTACATTTTTTCTTTTGGATGCTTTGCAGTCCCCACGCGACAACAGCTGCTGCAAAGCATCTGAAGCGTCGGGTCGTAGTTAAAACAAATAATATATATTTATATATTTCGCGTTTTAAACCGTTTAAATGTTTTATTTAAATGTGTACTACTCGCGTAAACTACAGACATTAAACTGGTAAATATATCATAAATACTGTCTATAGTTTACGCGAGTAGTACACATTTAACTAAAATACTTTTACTAAAACGGTTTAAAACGCGATATATTAGTTAAACTTATTTGAAAATGATTTTAAACTTCGGCTCGACGTTGTCGCCTCGTGATTGATAACCAGCACTTACCGTCCTGATATCCGAAAACTTCCTGTGATGCGTACGTGATGTAGAGGAACCCGTCTTCATCACCGTAGGCCTCGTAAGCTTGGGCCATAGTGAGACTCATGCTAAGCATGGACCGATTGTTGATTATAAGGTACAGCGCCTAAGGAAAAACATAATGACGTATTTACGTACGTGACTTAAGACAAGTGGGTGTAATTCGTCAGTTTTAAGGAAAAGAAAATATTTGAAATTATGACGAAACGATAGCGCGGAGCTTACGTTAAAAACGCAAATGTAAAACGGGTTTTTTTTCCAATGAAACAATAAGTTCATCAATGCTATAGTTTTACTATGTTGTGCTATGGATATCTTTTATGTTGCTACAACACAAAAGCTAATCAATACTATTTAAACAATAAAAAAACATTTAAGTTAAACGGTTTTATTTTTTGTGCACTGAAAACTAAAAAAAAATTGACATAATTATCGTGTTTTACTAGTGTAGTAGTCGTACATTTAAAAAAAATCTATATTTGATATTCAATACATATATGTACACTTAATTTACCACAATTCACTAATTATTAAGGTAACCTAACATACTTGTGGCCTTACATACCAAAATCTTTAGGTGTTGGTTAAGTTGTATATCTACTTGACTACCGTTTTAAAGGTCGATAGTTCGGTTCCCAGTTGAGCACAAAAAATATACGTGCTCTCAAGTGAAGCAACATATTATAATCATCTAACAAAGCACGTCTTAAAAAAGACAATTCAATATTTGTCATGTAATAACTAGCGCCTCTAAAGACCTATATACCGTCTAAAACTCGGATCCCAGCTGTGGGAAGTAATAAAGGGGCTGATGTTCGATAAAAGAATATGCTTTCATCTTATCTATACAATTACTTTCAAGCATCCATTACTTAATCTATCATTATCTAAAAGCAATAACAATTAGATATCAATTAGATGTTTATGTTAAAATATTCCAAGTGAAAATATCTCTGACCTTAATACGACATTATAGATGAAAGGTAGTGATATCTGTTTAATGTTTTGACCTCTCGCAAAAGTTTGCTAAACATGTGATCTAATCAAAGTCGAACTTTCTATAATATATAGCATTGAGTTCTGACGGGTCGGTGGTACGATTTTCCATTAAGTTGGTTTCAACTACCGTTTAATTGTTTGAGCATTTTTCTTTAATACATTTGTGTTTAACGTATTATAGTCAATTTATTCATCACAGTATTTTTTATTGTTATTTGTTATAACAACTAATCAATACTTATATTACATCTAACTTAGATTACTATTTTGTATTATTGATAAAATATGATTTTCAATTTGTATCTATCTACTTCGTAATCTAAGTTCATAAATACTTAAGGATTGTATGAAATACCATAATGTTGTTTACCTATGCTTGTAACTAATATTATTAACTTGTCAAACTACGCATTTAATTTCATAAGAACCATTTGTATTTTGTCTAATTTTTTATTTATGATACAGGTGAACAGGCAAGCACGAGGCTCACTTGACGGGTGACTAAAATACCCCAGCCATATACCATCTAAATCCGTCGACCTATTTTGGATTTGAATATTCGGAAAAAACATGTATTATTCCCAAAAATAAACATTTTTAAACCTCATCAGGTGCAAAGGATAAGTCGTGCATTTACAACGCCTGATTTTTTTAAAAATAATGAAGCACTTACCTGATTTGGTTTAATTTTGATCCTATTGCGAATAATAACTAGAAACTGTGACATTGTTATGTCTTCGGGAACGAGGAATTTCGTCTTGTCTAAAGTCGGCAAGCTCCTTTCTTTGTGGTATCTTTCTACAATTAGCTGAAAGTTTTAACATATTATTTTAAATACTGACTGTAGTTTACGCGAGTAGTACACATTTAATTAAAACACTTTAACGGTTTAAAAACGCGATAAGTATTTTAGTTAAACTTGTGTAAAAAAATATTTAACTACGGCCCGACGTTTCGGGCCTCCACGTGACCGCAGCTGGTGCAAAGCATCCGAAACGTTGGGCCGTAGTTATATAAATAAATTTTCAAACAAGTTTAACTATAATATATCGCGTTTGAAACCATTAAAGTGTTTTATTGAAACCACTTAAAGTTTAAAACGCGATGTTTTATTTAAATCATGATTATTTAAATTGTTACTAAATGATTTCTTAAGCATATTATGGTGCAATGGTTTAACGCATTGCCAAGCAGCAGAAGTCTTAATTTATTGCCCGTAAATTACATCTATCAATGAAACAGATGAACGGATTTCCCTATGCAGAGAAATCTAGAGCTCACTTAAAAACAATACATTAAGAAAGAACTAAATTTGTACTCACTGGTATTTTAGTTGGAAATTTACTTTTTATCGCCATCACTTCTTCTTTTCTGCTAACTGTAACAATTGGAAACGTTTGTCATCAATTCATGGGACATCTGATGATCATGTCAAAATGCGTCAATGAAAATGTCTAAAATCAATCAACTGCCTAATAACGAGTTATTATCTACCTAACGAGTATTTAAATGTATAACAATATTTGTACCAAACAGCATTAAGCAATAAAAGGGATATAAAAGACAAATTAATAATTGCTAAACAATTTAGTTCTCTAAAGATAAAAGTAAAATAGACGTTAATATTTTGCAGGATAATCGGGTATCCAACTATAAAATTTATTCCATCGATACATCCGACTTTCGATGACAAATATTACTTTGTAATTACAAGAACAATTATCTGAATTGACCTATGAAAGTATTAATTAATTTTAATGTATAATATTATTCCTAATATACTTAGTAGTACCTCAACCTAGAGTTGTGTTGCAAATGATTATACATATTAATGTTGCGTCTAGTTAATCTTGTAGCTCTATTGATGGATTCGATGTGTATTTTTTCATTATAAGTACATTAATTGAAATTAAAATCAATGCGATCTCTGCATTTTTATCAGTTTTCATAAAACTTCACGATAAATCCGTGAATAGAGATATCAAAAATTTTTACTAACAAGTATTTTTATATTTTCTTTAAATTGTTTTCAAGTAGAATAATTTTTGCGTACCGACACTTATTAAACTGTATTTTACGATTAACCAGTTGATTTTAATCTGCATTAAAGAAGAGATCCCAATTATTCTACTATAATAATCTACTAGCAAATTCTGCATTATTTTACGATAGGAGGACGAACATGGGTTTTACTAGATGGAAGTGTAAAACTCCAGCGATATATGGCTTTGTGCATTCGGAAATATTTTGGATTCAAATGAGAATGGTATCAGGACGCGGATGGAATTTTTATTTGCCTGCTTAAATGTGAGGATTTACCAATTTATTTTTAATATATTAAACAAATTTGAATTCACAAAAATACGACAATTTATTGTGTTATGTAGTGCTACCACTGGACTGACAAGCCCGTTAGAACCCTTTGCGTATTGTTTGCTTTTCTACTATCGTCAGCGCTGAGGACAGTCACGTATGCTTAGAATGAGTGAGTTCGTTAATTAGGTAAATATTTAGAATTGATAAATACTCGTTCCCGTTTTTATGTTAGCTTTTTGTTATTTTTTATCATTATTGTAGTACGATGTTTTTGTCTTTGTATTATTTCTAATTCGCATAGGTATTCTAAGCAATAATTAACATAAGAAAATTTGGTTTTGAGTATCTTATCATTTTGTTCTATATTATAGGTATTTTTTGTATCTGGATATATTCAAGGATTAGAAAACTACATGAAAGTCAATTGAGTTAGTTAAAAGAGCATCACTATACGAAATCTATACGTAATTACGTATAAAAAATATATATAAAAAAATTATTAATTATATATATTAGTTTTTTCCTTCGTTCCTTTTTATTGGTTCATAAAATAGCGACCAACAGCCAAAGTTTTAATAAATCCCCGATTAGCAATAATTATTGACGCATTTTGTTACAATTTCGATTTAATTCTTTTAAATTGTAATAATTCTTGGTAAACCCAGTCTCGTTTAGACAACAGTTTAAAAGGTAAATGTAACATTCTAACTACCTACGCACACTTTTATATCAATGTTTGTATTGAATTATTTTAACAATTTACCCTTGAAAGTCGGAAAAGAGATTCCTGCTGACAAGACTGCCATTGATACAATTGAAAATATGGAATATTCCTTTACAAAAAATGCAGGTAACGCGCATCTACGTGTTACCCCGTAGTTTTAAACAGTTTGTTTCATTTAACTTAAAAAATACTGTCATCATGCACAATCGTTTTTTAGTTTCTGCATTGTCAAGCACGAAATAATTTAGCTCTTATTAAAAATTATAAATAGTAATAAAAATAAAAATTAGGCTACTTACTAAAATTCTTTTTGGACTTAAAACACTGTTTCACATTGTGATTCACGTCATGTTTAATAAGCGTTGTTAAGAAGTTGAGTTCCATTATCACCGGTATATAACACTGGAATATCGTAATGTCAACTTGTATGCCACCAACGTCTATTCACAGCGCCGCCAGAAGCCTCACTAATCAACGTCCGTTATCATTGTAAATAATAATCATATGCCCATTGTCGCAGTGGTTGAAGTAATTAAAAAATAGCCTTACGAGATACTACTCAGACGAACTAATCAATTGATCAAGATCGTTGACAGATTAATTCTGAAAGTTGGTAGTTTTTTTAATAGATCATATTTTATATACGTTTTATCAATGGAAAAGGGAACGAGGAAACATCAACGAGAATAGTTTAGGTATAAGTATGTTACAATTAAGGAACTCCCTTGATACAAGTTTTTACTAGGAAACGTTGTATATTTAATGATTTTAACTAATAATTCATAAACAAATATGTCTGAATGTGTTAAAACTTAAAGTATATTAATTATATACTTTAAGTTTTAACACTATAAAATATAATTATATCTTAAACTCAAGATACGTGTTAAATTCTTATATTATAACTTTTATTAGATTATATGTATACCTTCTCAATAATATTTTAAGGAGTTATATGTTACAATATTAAATAAATCGAAAATATGATAACTTTGTAAGAAGAGTATATTATGTAAAGACCAAGAGTTTAGAAAATATTTTGCTTGTAGGTAGTTGGAGAAAAGTAACTACCAACATTGATAAAAACAACGTAATTAATAGATAACGAATAGTAAATTATGACGCAGATATAACTTAGCACAAAAAATAACAAAAAAGTTGTTTAACATAAAGTGAATAAAATACAAATCTTAACAACCGTATAATATAATAGAATTTGTATAATGTTAATAATATCTTATCTGTACCTGAAATTTATCAACGATACAGATAATTTTAATGTTTTAAGGATGTAAGGTCAAATTGTCAATGTCAGATATCAAACAAACTTGGCGTATGTCTGTTGTCAATTCATTTTGCGCAATTTGAAAATTCGTTCGTCGCGACCGGACGGAATGGGAAATGCAAATTGAAAAATTGATTTCGTAATATAAATTAATTGTATGGCTTTATATATTATAGCCATGTCTTTGACGCAATACATTTATTATTCCCTAATTATACAAGTCTCGTGAATATATAATTTTATTAAATATAAACGTCTTATAATGTACTTCAAAATCGATTAAATATTTCGTAGAGTTGATAGACTTAAACCAAGTGGTTAAACAATCGTACCATGCTTCTGTGATATGCAATAATCGTGTACAGTTTAAATATGCTGTTTACTCCGATTTACATCGCTATGACATTCATAAAGACCTGGCGCATCCGCTCCTTTAGAGCTCGTCTTTTGGAGTTTCTGAGTGGAAACACAAGTGTGGCATTTTGTAAAGTACCGGAAAATGCAGCTGGTAAATTCCCTCGTTATCTGTATTCGCACTTTGATTGTGTTAATTATTAATTAAACTTATCTTCTGTATTTTAGAAACGCCAACTTTAAGTTCGAAACTATGCACGAATCCTAAGAATGCCTATCTGTGTGATTTACTTGACTACACAAATGCGTCTCGCATATGCAGTATGAAGCCCACTCAGCGAATTGATGTTAGCGACTGGGTTTCATGTGCTGGTGGTCTTCCATTGGGATTTAGTGATATGTCACCTGTAACTGATGTTGATATTGAAGTTCTGTTTGAGTGTGAAATGGATCCACATGAAGAGAGTTCATATTATGACATAATTACAGTAAGTAGTTTATGATATATAATTTTTGCCTTAGGCACAGACTGCCTTGTTTAAACTCTGTCAACCTGGTAAATTTGATTTATGTTATGCTGTACTGATCTTAGGATTAAACAAAAAGATAATTTTATGTTTGCGCCCCTTAATAATTTCACTTCTTGCATCTCCTTAGTAATTTTCATATTTAAAGTGTGGTTTTGGTTACATTAACACATGTGTTAATGTATGAGAAATAAACATTTGCAAAAGTATTATGTAACATCAACTTGTAATTGACCTAAACTTAGCTTTGTTATTACATAATTAAGGTTGTACTCATCTATTTATAAATGTATATATAATGTGTAAATGCTCCTAATAAAGAACTTCAAAATCACTTAGATCTGTGGCGACTTGTAATACTTAATGTTACAACAAAAGATTAAAACATATGTAAACGGTCTTACATTTTGAATAAAGATCTGGTTATTATTGTAGCTGGAGTCAATGGGTCAACCGATAGCATGGAAAGCTGGATCACACTTGGCTATTGTACTAAAGACAAATATGGAACATCTTAGTCTTGTCGGATTTAATTTTGTCGGTGGTGAATTCATTATTGATCACAAATTACCTGTTGTTAGGATACAAAGTAAATTGTAACACAATTTGGTTTGTTTTTTACATTAGCTTACCTGTAACTGCATTGTGAATGATATGTCAAAAACTGTAAGATATTGGTGCAAAAATGTTTTGCTCATAAAGCAGCACGAGTTATAGTATTTAAAATTTTAATTAATACATTCAGTATCTGTTTCACTGATCTACTGTGCCATGTAGGCTTGGACAGGATCTTTCAATTATAATGATATGTTTAACAATAGAGGTATGCAAACTGTAAATTTATAACCTACTAATGTTATTTAAGTTAATTGGCCATAATACAGTTTAGTATACATAAGTTCAATATTTGTACAGCTGTTCAACTATCAGGAGAACCCAATAAAGCGACAGATTTATCTATGAGAGGTCTTCGCAGTGACATCCAACATGGCCTCAAGTTGCCAACCCAACAATTCCAGTGGCCAATCCACGCTTCCTTACTCAGAAAGCTATCAAAAGTTGTAGATATTAAGTCAGATAGAAACATTACAGTTATGAATGGTGGTAGTGAACAAGTAGATACAATAGGTAGGAAAAATGTTACTTTAACAGATGTCAGTACAATAACAACAAAGTCCTTATCTGCTGATGATGACTCGCCAGAAACAGAACCTAAAACACTAGAGAATACAGACAAAGAAGATAACCTTGATGCTAGTCTAGTAGTTGAAAATGTCACAGTGGAAATCCAACACAACATAACGCCAAAGAAATCTAGTCTCAAACTCGATCTGAAGAAAGGCACAAGTCATATGTCGACCTCTCTCCTCAACATATCTAGTCAGATTAAATCTGTGACGACGCATAAGAGAATCGTCAGTACTACTGGGCCGAAGAAGACACAGGAGTCAACCTCACAAGTGAAGGATACCCAGAAGTGCACTCAAGTGACGCCCAAGTCTCATAAAAGTTCCCGTCCGTTAGTTAATACGAAATCGCCAAATGTTCTTATATATTCAGACAGTGTAGTCGCCAGGGATAATCTTGAAGCTTCACTGAAGAAGGTCTTGGATTGTGATAGGTGAGTGTACTTATAATTATTCTCTGATTGACTGAGGCTTATGGAAATTCAATAACGTGTTCAAAATCTTCAACAAATCTTATGCTTACTTATTACTACGGATTTATTACGAGAAATTTTTGAAATTATATAAGAACTTTTATAGGTAATTTTTGCATGTAACCCTTCAAATCATGTTAAAACGTTTTTTAGCAAGTAAAATGTAATTTAAAAATTGAAAATAAATTGAAAAAATTTTCGGCTCGGGCAGGACTTGAACCGGCATCGTCAGCGATCCGTGCTGTTGCTCTACGAATTGAGCTACCGAGTCCTACACCTCATCGTCGAATTTTTTTAACTTGCACATACATGCACCTTTCGCGCAATGTAATAACACTTGCGTATTAAGGTTCAACGTCTTATGCTTTGCAGCTTAAGAAATCATTGAAGATGAAATTACAAAGTTATAACATTTGAAAACTGTATTATCATTATTGCACATCTTTAATCGAAAAATATATTTTTTTTTTCAATTTATTTTCGATTTAAATTTTAAATAAAACACTTTAACGGTTAAAAACGCGGTATATTAGTTAAACTGATTTGAAAATGATTTTTAACTTCGGCCCGACGTTTCGGATGCTTTGCAGCAGCCGTGGTCACGGGGAGACTTTATAGTATTTATTTTCGATTTTTAAATTATATAGTGCCTTCATGTGTAAAAAATAATAAAGTTCTCAAAAGTAAAATGTAATTAAAAGAATACTTTTCAATGTATCTGTAGGGAAAGAGTTCATCCTTTTCGTTTAAATATACATAGTCTTTTTTATTTATTTATAAAAAAAGGTACTTCAATAGTAAAGTCATTATATACAGAGATTGGGTCTAATTTTAAAACTGTCGATAATTAGGTTTTCTTATAAATTGTATTATCTATGAAATCTGACTACGAAAACGTTGGTGTGTATACCAGGTACACAGTATACAGCGTGACCCGCGAGGCGCTGTGCGGCGGGGCGTGGCGCGGTCGGGCTGCGCTAGTTGCAGTCGCAGGGTGCTCTGGCAGAGCGGCGCCTTTACTGTTAGCACATCTGCTGGATGGTGGAAAACTGCTTGCTCTGTGCTCTGACCTTCTGCACACTGTATTGCCACACTATAAAACAGCTGAGGTAAATACGAGGCTTTTTTTGTACCTTGTCAACAAATCAAGAAATTCAAAATATTGAAATGATCTATTACGTGTATACAGACACTTTTTTAACATGTATTTTTATTGGTTTTTTCAAATAGGAACTTTTTTTATAAAATGTCATCCTTCTCCATCCACATATTTTAAAAGGAGCAATATAAGATTTTTGAAAAGTGCGTATTACATACTGTCTGTAGTTTATACGAGTAGAACAAATTTAAATTAAACACTTTAACGGTTAAAAACGCGATTAATATACATATATTATATTAACCACGGCCCGCCGATTCGGATGCTCTGCAGCTACCGTTGTCAAGAAACATCGAGTCTTAGTTAAAATGAATGGCAAACAAGTTTAACTAATATATATTGCGTTTTAAACCGTTAAAGTGTTTTATTTAACAATGCGTATAATATGAATACGTTGAGACACACTATATACACACCGACCGGTGAACAATTGATTGTATAATTCTTTTATCGCGAGCGTAATCTTATTTATTGGTAATTTTTCTATAAACCGTATAAACCTTGAAAGTAACTTTGGTTACACAATACATCCTCCGAACACACTTTTGTGACGCTTGCCTTTTGGAAAGGCGCGTATTTTTAAAAATATTCAATTGCGATTTAGTTATTTATTTACAGTAGTAGTTGTATATTATCTAAAGGTTTCTTTTAAATTAAATAAGACCTTATGTTATTAAGTAAAACGTTTTGAACGATTTAAAATGCGAAATGTAGTACCAAAGATTTGGTTGCTGTTTTGTGCTGTAACGCAGCCGTTGTCCCCAGGATTTTGTTTTATAATACAGTAATACCGTTAACGATAAGTTATTAATATATTTTACCTGGTATAACTATCCGCATCAAAACTATTATCACCATAATTTTACTTCCTTATATAAATGAATACGAAACATTTCAGCTAATCAAGCTCTTACATATCCCTTTTAACATCTTTTGTTGATGTCGTTTCTTCATTCACAACCGACGAAATGAGAAAGCCTTTTCTCAAGTGCATAGTATCGATTATGCAAATCCGGCCCAGTGAAGTTTACGATGACACCTCGACCTTGAGTATCTTTTCCAGCCAGTGTCGTATATGTTTGTTTGCCTATTTTATTTCGATTTTTAAAAGGCATACATTCAATTTACATATATAAGAACCTTCTAGTGTGGTATCATAAAATAATTATTGATTACTTACTACTTCTTTTTCGTTAACTTAATTTACAGCCGTAGTCGAGGAGAGACTAGGGCGGAAACGTAGTCAAAATAGTTATATAAAGTAAATTTAAGTTTGCTAAAAAATAATAATTTTAAAGGCAGTTTTAAGCCGTTAAAAATGTTTTATTTAAATTTGTACTACTCGTAAACTATTTTAATATTGTTTAAATTGGACTTTGATCAATTTGCTACTTATCAATTTCACGATTGTTAATCATTTATTGATTTAGACTTGATTTTTGAAGTTATTTCAATTAACTAAATTATTAAACAGTTTTGTATCAGCAATCTGTGTTTTCAGATAAGAGAAAATGAAGTAGTCCAGTTTTCCTACGACAAATGGCATGCTGTGAAGATGAAACACCATATCTTCTGTTATCAAGCGTCACCAGCAAAGAAACAGTTCTCGACGGAAAGTGATAGACAGTAAGTTTCGTATATATGATACTATCGTCTGATTATAAATAGTACTGTTAACGGAAAACAAAACTTACAAAATATACACCCATTTACATATATCATAATCTACTATGGTATAAAAATATATAAAGATATATGTACAAAAACCACTGGCCGCGTGAGCCATATAAGGTTATATAAATGGTGTTGTCGCCATACATCTAACAATTGGCCAGTATCCAAAAGATAGTCATACTGAGAATGTCATGGGGTTTCTTTACCTGCATAAAATCAATAACGTGACGTAAAGTGGCTTTATTCTGTGCTATAAATCAGTATTAGCGCATTTCAAGTTATTTATAAATAGACTTACGCCTACATCAGGATTTGTACAGTCGTAGTGAAAAACACACATATTTTTTCTTATTCAATAATTTCCTACCAATATAAAAACACAAGCCTCTGTTATATATATTTCAAATTGAACAGAAACTGTTACTTACTGATACTTGTTAGGACATTTCAAAGCCCGATTAAATCGGCGCTTTGAAATGTCCTAAGAAATAACCTTTTATGGCTTAATTAAAGTAAAAATTCCTGTTGGCCTAGTGTAGTGGTATATTAAATATTTATAACAAAATCGTGACGAAAGCGGCATGTCTTAAAATTAAATTAGACATATGTCATGTGGCAACATGCTTTTGGCCAGATATGTTTTACCTATATAGAATCCTAAGAGGTTCGTGACCCAGCTATGGGAAGATTGAAAGCACTTGTGTGTGTGTATATTGGAAAGGAAAAACTATATGCGTATGCTAGTTTGAAGAGTTGGATAACCCAGCTGATGATGTGGACTAATCACCCGGCCTTTTATAGGTGTCCCCGATAGAAAATAATAATAATAATGCTAGTTTTTAAATTATTATTATTAATATTACAGAGCCAGTCAGGAGGCTAATATGTGTTGGTACGAACAAAACTATGCTCTCATAGAACAATATATACTTGCTAAAATAGTTTCGTAGCCTTTTCTTACATTTGCACGAAACTATGAAATATAGAGCATGATTATAATTTAGTTTATTTAATGTATTAAGGCATCCTTTTCTTGTTTAAGCAAAATCGAATATTAATTTTATATAAAACACGGTTTCATGCTTTGTTACGCTTTGTCAGTTAATAATTAAGCATAGGGAATTTATTTATAACAAAATATGTATATACCAACATTATTCTCACAGTTCTTGAACGGTTAGTTTTTCGACAGATTCATCAATTATAAATTACATAGTGCATGGTATAATTAAATAACTTAGGCCCAATTTCATTTGGCCCTTTCTCTGATTGCAGATTTTTTTAATGGTTAGAATTTGAAATTCGGTATTTAATTGTCTTACTACAATTTAATACGAATATTCTTAACACAAAAAGTTCATACTTTCAAATTTCGTTATTCCTAGATAAAATTGGGCCTAAGTACACAAAAAATGGCGAATAAAAATCCGTTCCTGTACACCTAAGTTTTTCGCAGGCCTTCGAAATATACCGGCCATCCAGGTCATGAATTAGATGTTCAAATATTGGCTTCTGAGGAGACGTGGCGTACCCCCTCTTTACTTCAAGCTACCGATCTAACCAACCACGGCGTAGCTATTTTCTCACAGGTGAATATTACTGCCATATTTTGAAATTATTGTTTGAGTAAATGAACGAATAAAAAAATTCTTGTTTTCATATTTAATTGCACGTGACAGCACTATATAAATTAAAAATCGATTTCTGTATTTAACCTTAATCCGTAAGTGTTAAGGTTGAAATTACGTTGTTGAGATGAATGTGTTAAAAGGTGAACGAAATTCGATTAGGGCACTAAGATACGTACATAAACTACGTTTTGTATTAAAAATAATAATTACATTAATGTAATAATTAATTATTAAATTGTGGTTGCATTTATATTTAACTTCGCGGTAATTTAAAACTACTACTTGTCTTTTTTATATCAGATCCACTTGGAGTCAGACCCGACCGACTACCTCGGTGAAGAAGGTATTCGCAGCAACGAAGCGAGGCTGGAGATTCTTCACAAGATTCTCGGCGACGTCTTGGGGCTCCACGTCAAAGATCCCAAGGAGTTGGTGCAAATAGAGTACTCGAGGGGGTTCTTCCTCGGAGATCATGTGGTGAGCGACTAAAGTTATCAAATGTATATAGTGCATCCCCATATCAGGCTAGAAAATGCTAATTGAATTAAATAATTCACTATGTTATGTTTAAATTTGATTAGAAATGGGTATTAAATACTAGAATGATTCTGTACATTTCAAATATAAGTAAATAGTTGTAATGCGATTCTTTTTTTGCGATTAGTGGCACCTTCATTCATCATCTAACATATATATAACATAAGTAGATACGAGTATTCTCAAAAGACAAGGAAGATTATTATTTTGTTCACTATTGTTTTTATTTTTTTTAATGTAAACATTTGTAAATACTGTCTATAGTTTACCAGAGTAACTTAAATAAAAACAAGGTTTAAAATTTAGTTAAACTTATTTGAAAATGATTTTTAACTTGGCCCGAGTTTCTTTAATTTAAATTAAAAAGACTAAATTTTGCTCCGGCGCCGCAAAAATACCTTGCAAGAGATAATCAGCTACGTCGAGGAAAGCATCTTCAAAAATGTCATCCCTAAGGAAGATGCGGAAGCAATACGGCAGGATATATCCTGTATCCTACTAAGCTAACAAATTTTCCCTAGCGAGTCGACTGCTCTCAAAAGCGAATGAAATATTTATACTGCGTGCTGACAAGGGAAACCACGGTCGTGATGTCGACAAATGTCGGAAAACTGATGACACGCGGTTTACAACAAGGTTGCAAAGACCCCCCAAAGTAATGAAAAAACGTCGGACTATTAACAATACCGACTCTAAACCGCCCAAAATCTCATCACAGCCTGCCCGAACCACCTAAAATGTACGGGTTACCTAAAATTCAAAATTAAACAATCCCTTACGTCCAATAGTTAGTCAAATAGATTCGCCCACTTATAAACTAGCAAAACTTATCAGACACTTGCCCCCCTCAGGGGAAATACAAATGCTCACGTCAGGGATTCGTATCAGTTTGTAGAAACTATTAAAGGTCTAAAGTACGACAATGAGGTTAGGTAAGCTTTGACATCACATCACTCTTTACAAACACCTACTGATTGTATCAAAATTATTAAGACAACTTATTAAACACAAATCCTAAAAAGCGGATATCTTAGAACATTGCTTGACAACCGGGTACCTACTTTGGAATGGGGATTTCTATGTTCAGGTAGATGGGGTAGCCATGGGTTCTCCAGTTTCACCCTTAGTTGCTGACATTTTTATGGAAGACTTTGAGGAGAGAGCCCTTGCTTCTTCCCCGGTTAAACCTAAGCTTTACAAGCGATACGTAGATGATACCTTCACCATCTTACCCAAAGCACAAGTATCTGCATTTCTTACACACCTTAACTCAATTCACAATAACATTAAGTTTACAATGGAACAGGAGGAAATCACACTACCTTTCTTAGACATTTTAGTAATTCGTGATGAACACGGTAATATTGGGCATACCGTCTTTAGAAAAACAACCCATACAGATAGGTATTTGAACGGTGACTCACATCACCACCCCAGCCAACTTAGTTCTGTCGGAGTATCTTTGTTTCAGAGAGCCCGCCGTCTCTGTGATACTGCCCACTTAAATGAGGAGTTACAGCATGTCAAGCAGGTCCTATGCAAGAACAAGCTGAGAGTCCCTCCCAGCATCCAGGAACAGGAACAACCACCCACAGTCAAACGTCAGCCCGCCTACCTACCATATGTGAAGGGAGTTACAGATAGAATTAGCAGAGTCCTAAATCGAGCTTCTATTGAACAATTTTCAACCGCACAAGAAGATTCAGCAATTCCTGAAACCAAGCAAGTGTACTATCCCTTTACAAGATGCAGGCGTTTACAGACTGGATTGTGATTGTGGCCTATCCTACATCGGCAAACAAACTAGCATCTCAAACAGAATTAAAGAAATGCGGATATAAAACATAAACGTCTCTCCAAATCTGCGGTATGCCAACACTCATCAGAAGGGCCCAATCACTACATTCGTTTTGACCAACCAAAAATCCTCGCAAAGGAGAGTCGATTTTTTCCAAGATTGGTACCGAACAATTGAAATCAAAAAACACCGAAATTTCAATAGGGAGGACGGCCTCAAACTATCAAACACCTGGGATCCCATATTAAAAACTCTGGATCCCAATAAACATCATACCAGCAAACGCGAAGACACCGTTAGTCAATTCTGTAAGGACCCGGCCAGTTTCGCCAAATACCAACTTCGACGGAACAGATGGCGCTAGCGTAGCAATTCTTTACTTTGACGTCTAGACATCCTCATCTTTAGTCTCCCCGTGACAGGCTGCTGCAAACATCGAAACGTCGGGCGAAGTTAAAAATCATTTTCAAATAAGTTTAACTAATATATCGGTTTTAAACCGTTAAAGTGTTTTATTTAAATGTAAACATTTGTATTGATATTTCATGTTAAAAAACAAAAATATAATATTGTTGAAGATAGAACTTTGAGTGCGTAAAGGAATTAAACCTCTCTGTAAAATCTAAGTATGATCTCCCGTTATAACGTTCTTTACGTTTTCTTACTGTTTGTCTGGATTAAATTTAGTTCAAGAGTCTCACGAAAAATTCTACTCGGACTTCATTCTTAGTCACACAGGATATAATTTGGGTTTTATCTACGATGAAGGTGTTTAGCTTCCAGTGACTAGGATCTGTGTAAATTGCGGATATTGTTCGGTAGGATGCGTGGGCGACGTCTCGCAGAGGCCCGGGCCACGTGACGGTGTGATGCCCGGTGAGGCCTACCTCGCTTGTGCTTTTTGTGTTTGTTTCTCGTGTGCTTACATTGAGGAGATTTCAAGGTTTTTTAGAGATGTTTAGAGCGCCCGCAGGATTTTTCAAATGTATAGGTTTGACTTGGCGGTATTTGAATAAGACTTCGAAAAATTCAGCCAGAATCAATATATTGATTGAATAAACTATGTATAGATCTTGAATGCTTGAATTATATAAAGTGGCTTTGATAGCTACTTTATATAAACTTTAAAATAGCATTAAAAATAACATTCTATTAAATCTCATAACATAATCAATTTAATCGATATCCGGCTCGAAGGACCTTAAAGTAACGTCGCATTAGACTCTAGAATATCTTTTGTCTTTTATAGTTTAACTCTAATTGTGTTACATGTTGATAAGAATATGATTTTTTAAAGCCTGTGTAGGAATTGAATCAGTATTGACTTGCATTTATAGAAAACTAATTACCTATATGTATTAAATATAATTGACACGTAAAATCATGAAATCTCCAGTCTCCGTATATTTTGTATTATTAATTGACCACGCTTGCCGGTTTATGTTTAGATTCGCTTTCACTGCTCGCTTCTCGATCAACTAGGCTATTTCCAAAACTATCGGTCGCTTGCTGAGAGATTTTTCATATTGCGATGAAATAGCTGCAATAGTGATTTTATTATCGCTCGTTAACTTTAAGCAAACTGCGCAATGACATCTTAGCTCATCTGTGGCTCGCGGACAAACTAAGGTTGTTAACATAACTTAAGGGTTCCAGAATTTTTTATCGCATGATATTTTTTTTTTTTCAAAATTTACTTATATTGGTTTTTATTGGCTATTCTCTATTTGTTGTAAAATATCTTTACCGAATAATATTTGGGTAATGTTTGCCGCAGCACAAATTATCGCTAGTTGAAGGTTGGTGTCCGTTGAAGGAAGGCAAGCGATCGCAGAAAATTGGAGCCCTTACGCTTCAGTGGTGCATGAGGAACGAACATCCGGCGGACCAACCTTCAGAAACATTTCTTCCCGTTCATTTGTACGAGTGCCCGGAAAACTTCTCCACCGTCGAATATTATGATGTGAGTGTAGTCATTATTATACTGTAATTTTCAAAAATCTATACTTTTTGTTTTGCCAATTTTTGCCAACTACGTTCCTGATATTTTTGCTCTCACGTTCCAAATATAAAACCGTTTACCCAAAAACTAATGGGAAAGACGATTGTTTGTCTAAAATCGAAGGAATATTGTTTTTTTAATATTTTCGTAATTTATACTGTTTGGCTTAGACAACTAGGTTACAATTTTGTAAGGGTATTTAATATCCAAGCGTTTCTAATATTTTATTTTTTATTTCAGAACCTCACATCTACTTGTCTCGGTCGCGTGTTAGTATATGCAGACGTGTTGACGTCCACCCAACATATAATTGAAGGGACATTGGCTCATGGCGTGGGTGCTGTCGCTCGAAGGCAGATCGCCGGCCGTGGACGAGGCCAAAACCACTGGATCTCACCGAACGGTCAAGCTATCATGTCGTTGCAGGTACGGAATCTCTTCTTGAAATTGATGGTAGAGAAGGACAGACAAGCACGGGGTTCACTTCTCTATCTAAATCTAATTAAACTTAACGGCACATCTGTGAACGGTAGTTCGTGACCACCTGTAATATCCAGATATTCCTAGCTTAATATCCAGATTTCCTGACGTATTTCCATCATAAATATTTACCACAAATAAACCAAATAGATATAATTAAAAATGCATTTTATTTAAACCAGCCTTCAATATTTTTTTTACTTTACATTTATCTTTCTTATTTTGACTTTTATCACAACATACAAACCAGACATTTTGTGACCAATGTCAGTTTATGTCTGTCCCTATGTCCCTAGTCAACTTCCACATGCCCGGCATAACAGATATTAATGACAGAGCCTTCTTATTTACAGATTTGGCAGAAAATGAGTCCTACAATCCCTCTAATACAACACGCGACCGCCTTAGCTGTGGTGAGGGCGATACGCTCCGACCCACAATACGAACATTTTGACTTCAGGTGCGTCACGGTTAAATATATAGCTTGTCTAATATTACGTAATCAAATTCCTAGTAGTAGACGGTAGCCTTAAAAAAAGCATAGGACTAGGAATGCGAAATCCTGTGTTTTTAACACATTTGTCCAGTGAGGTAGATTAAGGCAAAAATTCTGACCTGACTCCTTGTTGTTAGAATGATGTTGGAAAAGTTAGAATTATAGGAGGACTGAAATTATAGGAAATTAGCTGTACCCGCGACTTCGCCCGCGTGGAATAGTGACTTTAGGTTGGATTTTTAATTTTGTTGTTTGTTTAAATTTAGGCTGTTTATTAAATTTATGTAAGGGCGCATTTAATCCCTATCAACCCTTTTTTTTACACAGACACGACAGACAGAGTTACTTTTGCATTTATAATATTAGTATAGATTTTGACACCCTGCTATGTTTTTCTAGTGATATTTTCTTACTTTGTCCCTTAAATGACTAATATAGTGTGTTCTATTCGCATATTTAGTCTCAGCCATCATATGGTGCTGTAAGGGTTAAATAAAATGCTTTATAAACTTGCTGTTTTCAGAATTAAGTGGCCCAACGATATTTACTACGGACGGAATATGAAAATTGGCGGAATTATCACTACGGCAAATTGTATAGGCGATGACGTCATTATTAATATAGGTATGTGTGTCATTGATGGAAACAATTGTCTTGCACGATAACATTACCGTGGTTCCTCAAATTAATTGATGCCTATTTATCAATAAAACTAGCAGATATATATTTATCAATTATATAACTTAAGTGACATGTTCGTAACAAAGACAAATTAAAAAATAGTATGTTAGTGCAATTTTTAACGCAGAATATAGAGTATAGGAGAATAAAAAACAAATAATATATCTCAGTTAAAAAATACTTTGTCTGTATTAGTCCTTATTGCCTACTAGCTGTGTCCGCGACTTCGTCCGCGTGGAATAGTGAATTGGGGAAAAATTTTTAATTTAGGCTGTTTATTAATTTATGTAAGGGCACATTTAAGGCAGCCAATCTATGTTGTAAGTGCTACTTTGCCGCAACATTCTTACCTCACATTACTCCTATTCTAACTCCTACACTCACTCTCACTCAAACTCCCATTCGCACTCCTATTCCCAAAAAGCCAAAGAAGAAAGTTTCATTGTTCTAGGTTTAAAAACCACGAATTTCCATACAAACTTTCATCCCCTTTTTCAACCTCTAGTAGCCTATGTCCTTTCTCAGGCTCTAAAATATCTGTGTACCAATTTCATTTAAATCAGTTCAGTAGTTTCGGAGTTAAAGCCGGACAGACAGACAGACAGAGTTACTTTCGCATTTATAATATTAGTATAGATGACGAACTAAGATTTTGTGAGGGTAGATGTAGCTTTGTATATGTGCGTACCTGCTAGGTTCAACCGATCAGATGTTAAGAGCTTGGTACAAGATAAATTTCGTATTTGAATAACATCTAAATTACCTGTTTCCAAAGTACTGTAAATTGTTTGTAGAAGATGTTTCTTCATACTATATTATTCTTAACATTTTTAATTAAATTCAGGAACTGGCGTAAACATATCAAACAGCGTCCCCACGATATGCGTCAACGATATAATCAGCGAGTACAACACTAGAGAGCGCACATCACTAGCGCCGCTATCGATAGAAAAGTTCCTGGCGCGTTATTGTTCGCAACTAGAGCGAATAATCGATTATCTTAATTCGGATGGGGGCGTGGACGCGTTTCTTGAACAGTATTACCAGTATTGGCTACACGAGTAAGTAATTTTTAATATTATATATTTTAAAGCTACAATTAAAGCCAATAAGTTAGTCTTGGATTGTTTTTAATTGACGTTTTTCTAAGCACAAATCCTAGGATATTCAACCTTAATTCGTAAATGTTAAGGTTGAATTACATTGCGTAAATGCAAGTATCAATGGATTAAATATTCAACGATGACGAGAGAGACGTGTGGAATTTAAACAGTCCAACCATAGAAGACATGCTTATAAAGTCAGTACTTTATCTACAATCGCTGATTTCGTCGGAAATCAAACCCACGATACGACATAAAGAGCTATACCATCACCGATCATTTGTTATTTATTCCAGTGGCGAAGAAATACGTGTACAGACAAAAGGCGAAGGTAGCCCAGTCTCTGGTACCATATCCGGATTGGACGAGTTCGGGTGGCTCATAGTGCGCACTGGAGATGGCGACGTCCGAGTTCAACCAGATGGTAACACGTTCGATATAATGTCAGGCCTTATTGCCCCTAAGCTTTAGGTTGAAAATCGCTAAACAGACCTCAATTATGTGCGGCCTTATTTTGAGGGGTTAAGGGCTTCTTTAAAACTACAGTCACTTTCAAATATATTTTTTCGGAGGCTTATGAAACAAGATGAAAACGTAAATGACAGTCACAGATTATTATTACTTAGTACCAAACGTTTTTATCTGTTGTATTAAATACTCTCTATAGTTTACGCGAGTAGTACATATTTAAATAAAACACTTTATCGCGTTTTAAAACGTTAAAGTGTTTTATTTAAATCTGTCGTATTCCAAAATGGCGGCAGTTTTTGACATGCTGTCAGTGTGTGATTCGTATGTACCCGGTTTCTTGACTAATTGTAGTATTTATGCGCTCTTATAATCTATCAAAACGCGTTTCTGAACATCACATTTTGAGGTTAACTAAACAATGTATGAGTTCGTGAGTGCCGTGTATTGAGCCCACAGCAAAATATTAACTTGTTTTAAATTGACAATGACAGCATTTCATGGTTATTCAATAATTATAAATCCTATTTTAAATAACAATATTATAATGGCACAATTTCGAAATTTCTATAATCACAAATTATTACAAATCTAACCATCATTATAATTAGATATTGGTATCAATTACAAATTTGACCATCTAGCCATCATTGAACCGTGGGTTTTTAGTTACTCAGTGACAGTTAAACTTAATATAAACGATATCTTTATCATTAGCTAACTCGCCATAAAAGTTACCAGTGCCGTTGTTGTCAACATTTGGTCAGTCATTTTGAAAAGCCACTTTAACTATAGTCACTTCTAATACTGAACAGAGGTTCTTAAGATTTAATGTTTTGGACCCCTGAACATGTAGATGAACTCTGCATCTTGTTTCTTTGGCTTTTCGTTATTATTATCAAAACTCATGATTATATTCAGAATGATTTCATTGTACGGAGAAGAATCTCGTTACAACTTAAGTTTTAACCTTTAACAATATTGGTTCAATACTTAGATTTATTTCAAACATTATTTTAACAGGTTTATTTTAAAAATGGGAATGTGATATTAGGGTGTTAGGTTCTTTACATTTATTATTGTTAAGGTATTTGTTGTTTTATAATTGGCTGGTTGTTTTATAATTTATTCAGGGTAAAAGGGAAAATGTTTGTATGGTTTTGTGGGTTGAGTAAGAATATTGCTGTGTAATTAGGTAAAAGGTAATTCGTCGCAAACAGTGTTTAAATGCTGAAAGCGTTTCGCGCAGTATCCAAATAGCCAAAATAAGTCGACGGCGCATCTTGTTCAGATGCTATATGGATACCATGGAAGATGATTCCATAAAATGTACACCTTGCTTATTTGTCCTTCTCTATCATAAACAAAAAAAAAATTGAATCGTAGGTTGTATCTGTTTTAATATTATTAAATATCTTTAGCAAAATTTAACAAAAGAGTAATATTTGTGAATATTAAAAATGATAAGTCGGCCGTTACCTATTGGCCGATAGAATTGAGAAGTTATTTAGTGTAGATAGAATTTAAAAAATAGGGTAATTTAAAATTTCAAAAATCATATCATACAGTTTCAGCGACACCACTGCCAGTGATCACATTACTTATATAATTAATAAATTTATTAATAGTCTAGATTAAAAAAAATCGATGACATGAGCGAGATTCGAATCCACGACCATCGCGTTCCATGCTCTTACCAATTAAGCCACCATCATCTAGATACACATTAAAAATATAGTTAAAATTCTTGCATTTAAAATTTACTGAAGTGTTGATATATATGTTTAGTTTTTCCTCGGCCATTTTAATTGCAATAAATATATGAGATATACAGTTTGGTATATTAACAATATTCGGAAGTAAAAACAAAATAGTATAGCTAAGTTATCTTTACATATACTATAATTATTAATTACGTCGTGTGTTAATACCTCGGTTGCGTTAGCTTCCAAACGCTTTACAACCAGTTTCATCATGAAATTAAACTTGATTTAGGTAAAACGCTTTACAGTGTCATTCTTTGAGGGACGTTTTAGATGCTAAACGTGCTTTCGAAAAAGACAAATTACCTTACACCCTGTTATCAGAAAGAGATCCTATTCCTATCCAAATATTCAATAACATATTAGACTGATTTATCACTGCAAACTAACATTCCATATTACGTAAGTACAAAAAAATATTAGCTTTAAGGGATTGAAAGTTTAAAGAACAATAATTATTCTTGTTAGGTTTTGTTTTCAAAGAGTCGGTATCAAGATTCATTTTGATATAGATTAGTTTTCACCAAATATTTTTTTTATCCACAGTGGGTCGGAAATGGTAAAATTGGGTTTTAGTTTGTAACTACATAAATATATTGAAAATATCCCGTCGTCTATGCTCATATTATGACGCCATAAGATCCGTTCATTAGCTTAGGCGAACATAGTTTAATACAATTTTAAATTAATACGGTTGATATCTCTATAAGTGTTCTGTAAATGTGTGTGTGTGTGTGTGTGTAAAATTCCATGACATTTGAGTTTCCTGTTGTTATATCTGATTTCGTTGTTATAGTTTCATATTTTAACTAATTGTTGTACTGAATAGACACCAAATTGAATATATGTAAAAGAACGCTGGACTAAATTAGAGGAGGTAGTTAAAGATTATCTGTGGCTTACGCGGCGAGTAGACTTACATTTTAAAAAAAATAAGACAATGCATTTTAATAAAAATAAAAACATTAAACGGTTTAAAACGCGAAATATATTCGTTAACTCTTGCATAAGTTTAGTCTTTAGTTTACGTTAGTAGGATACATATACATATTTGGCTTTGTTAACCGTTCGGTGTTCACTGCTGGACATAGGCCTCCCCCTATAGACTTCCAGTACAACCGTTGTAAACCGTTTAAGATGTTTAAATTATCCCACGTCTTAGCCATCACGCCAGCCTTCTTTTAATAAGGTGTAAACTATATCTTGGATATAATGACTTTGTTTTTCAATTTCTATTCACGTTTCATAAATCTATTTGTCGTGTCTGTTACATATTGATAGAGTTTAACGGGTTAAGAAATTAATGTTATAATCTTGTTGTAAACTATATCAGGAATAAAATATTTGTTCTCAATTGCTTTTATTTGTTCACATTATATTATGATGGTATTATATGTATAAGTCAAAACAAGTGAGGGTAGGTAAAAAAAATCATGTTTTCATCACTTGGAATTTATTAAACACAAACCCGGCGAATATGTGAGAATTGTTAGTAAATATCTGAATCGTTAAATTTCAATTTATGGGTTCGTACGCCACCAGTGCCTAGTTTGTGCAAAATAAAAATGGCGCCTGAGAGTGGCTCCCTCTTCAATTCATTGGCGTCCATGTTCCTCCGCGACGTTGTCACTATAAGTTCCTCAAGACTGTGACCAGCCCAGGTTACAGATGTGGTACGCGTCACAGGCAACTTGTACTTCTCCACCACTCTTCGTGCTTCAGGATCTATCCGAATAATCTGAAAGTAAGTGATATTCACTCAAATTTCGAAGGTAGGCAAAAAAAACAACCAACTTAATACCAAAATGTCTTTTGAAAACTATATTACTTTTTCACATAGAAAATTTTATCCCCCAAATAAATGGTTAGGGCAACCTAAGATTAAGCCTTAATCCCTTATCCTGCTTAAGCTCCCTCCAAACACTGAAATAGGCCAAGCAGTGTTTAGAAGTCTGATCAACCAATGTAAATAAAAATTAGGCTTACAGCTCCGCCGAACATCAGCGCGACCCACAGAAATCCGTCTCTATCAATGGTCATCCCATCCGGAATGGGCGCTGGGGCCGTTTTCATAAAGTTGTATTCGCCGATGTCTAATATTGTACGACGCTTACCTGCGCAAGAGGGAATGGCTTCATTTAATTGTGGATAGGTTTTCGAAAATGGGTTTTAAGTGATGCAATAAAAAAAACTGAATTCAAAATAAATAAATCGGCGGGAATTGTGACACATCTAAGACGCGTCTGTTCCGGTAGGCGAGATTTTTTTTTATATATTTTCAACCAGAACATTCAATAAAATCTGCGATAGATTACTGAAAATGTATCTCCGATATATGAAACTTGTAATTGGCAATAGAAAATTACGAATATTTCGTAGTTGTAATGGTAACAAAGTAATAATCAACGAGTCCTAGGTTCGATTCCTACTGGACCCAACATTTCTACTAAATTTATATTTTTTTTAATCCTCTGGAAAATCTAGATATCTGATAGTAAATGCCGTCCGGGGCACCAGCCACCGCCATGAAATCACAAAGGGAAGTCATGAAGTTTAAACGCGTTTTAGTCTGTGGTTTTGCGAATGTCAAAAGCCAAAATAGTTTGACAGCTGATCGTGTGTAGATGGCTATTATGTCTGGGGTAGGTTTACCTTCTACCAAGTGAGCATCCTGCTTGTCTGTCATAAACAAATATATATAGTACAATGAAGAGAAATAATGCACATTCTCACTAATTCTTCCTTTCGCCGCATCAAAATCAAACGCGTCTATGGTCCTCGTCGCCGAATCAATGTAAAACAGAACGCTATTGTTTAGAGACCAGGCGATGCCGTTTGATATGGAAACTGGCTTCAACTGAACTCGTGGTTCGAACATCGGCTGCTCCAAACTGTAGAGGGCTGCATGGTCTTCTAATACTACGTCACCGTGCTGTGGTCCTTTGGTACCTTAGAGACGCGAATATAAAAAAAAAATATTATGTAAGCAAGTTTTTAGGCGTTCTATAGGTATATTCACCACTAGCTGTGCCAGCGACTTCGTCCACGTCGAATAGTTATTTTGGGCATCAAGATTTGTTTTTGCAAACCTTCTCATCTTTATAAATTATAGCTGTTATTTCCTCCATCGCCCATTGGTCAATCTTAAAATAGTGACATACCCGTATGCTATTGGTCATTTATTTAGATCATTTACAGAGGAATCATTCTTTGATACATATTTTTGGGTATTTTTAACCGTTTTCGCAGCGTGCGCAATGAGCCCTCGAACAAGAATATTTTTCCCTGTTTTGGAAAATGTGGATCCCACTGTTGAGTTAGATCCTATTGGTAGCAGCGTGATGTTATACCTGCCATCACAATATTAATATTTTAATTCGAACCAAATAAATAATTTTCAGCTTTATGACCTATATTAATATTTAAAGGGTTTGTTTGTTTGTTTGTTGGAACGCGCTAATATCAGGAACTACTAGTTCGAATTGAGAAAAAAATATTTTTGTGTTACTTAGAACATTTATCGAGAAGTGCTATGAAACATCACACTGTGATTTAAATAAAACACTTTAACGGTTTAAAACGCGATATATTGGTAAAAATTATTTGAAAATGATTTTTAACTTCGGCCCGACGTTTCGGATGCTTTGCAGCAGCCGTGGTCACGGGGAGTTAACTCGCGTAAATAGATATATATAGCACTGTGACTTATAGGAGCGAAGAAGCACCAGGAAATGTAAAAAAAAAACGGGGTTAATCTTTGACCTCTGGGGGTTTCCGATGGGTACATTGCGAAAACGGTTCAAGATATCTAAAAAATATGTATAAAAGAATGATTTATTTTTTAATTCTCTAAAAAATCCGCGACGCTATATGTCTATCTTTAAGATTAACTTGCAAGAACGACGGGAAGCGACGCGACCGACGTCGTGATATAAAGCGAGGTGAAGCGGTTTGCAAAAACCAAATTTGGATGCCCAAAATATCTATTCTACGCGGACGAAGTCTAGAGCTAGTATTAGTATAGATTTAAGCAAAGAGGTTGAAAGCTGTCACTAAAACATACAAGTAAATAGGTTTTTTTTAAACACCTGCCCAAAATCTTCCCCGTACATCAGCTTTGCCTTCATTGAGGATGTTATTGGGGCTTCCCTGGTCTAACGCAGCAATAAACTTCAAATCCGTGGGGTTGGGCTCATCCCAGTCTAATAAATATACGAATGCTTGTACTCCTAAGAGCAGCCGTTTGCTACCTTCAATTGGTAGGACTATGTTTACTTCGCCCTTGCCTATTACAGAAATAAAGTTTTTAAAGAATTACTGGTATAAGCACATTTTAAACTTGATCAATGTATGTATTTCATATTGTCGGATCATTTGGAGCAATGTTGGATCTAACATGTTTCTCATCTATGTTTAATAAGAATTATATACTTTTATAAAACACTTTAACGGTTTAAAACGCGATATATTTTAGTTAAACTTGTTTGAAAATTATTTTTAAATACGGCCCGAAGTTTAGGATCACGGGGAGACATAATAATATATCGCGTTTTAAACCGTTAAAGTGTTTTTATTTTAATATGTACTACTCGTAAACTACAAACAGTATATAATTATATACTGCCTGGAAAATTTGGATATTTACTGACAGTAGGAATTTCGTTACTCCATTCATGGTACGAAGCGCTGTTTACAAAGAGCCGAGAAGTGTAATCGCGTTTCGGTTCAGTCTCTGCGTTTTGAATGCCCAAACCCAAAATAGGTCGTATCTTATTTGTAATTTATCTGCTATTAAACTTACTAAGAAACCTAAGCTGGTGTGTCCGATTTTTGTCATAAAATTAATGTGTTTTGGTAGCGTAACGTTACCATCGGGTGAGTAAGGGATCGTTCAAGTATTACGTAAGCACTATAGGGGGGTGGGGGGTCTGTGTTTTGCTTATTTTTGATAACATGGGGGGTAGGGGAGTCCAGATGATGATTACGTCATCCATATTTATTTACTTTTTTACACGAATGGCAACCACCACATTTTTTATTGAAAAATGTTTACGTAAGCACGGGGGGAGGGGGTAAAAGCTTTGCTTACTTTTGCTGACAAGGGGGGATGGGGGGGATAAATAATTGTAATAAATCTGCTTACGTAATACTTGAACGGCCCCTAAGTACACCGCGGACTGCGAAATCAACGAATTATTTGTATATACACTTATCACCTACAAGAATTATTCTTGCTATATAAGCAACTTAAGATGTGCTACTTACCTATGTGTTTTAGCCGATGTTGCTTCGATGTATAGTTAAGTGCATATACGTTTTGGTTTAAAACATCAACCCAATACAGTACGTTGTTGTCTCCGTCCCACACTGGGCTCTCAGCGTGAGTGAAGGGTAGCGTCGTGTAATCGTACGTTTCAAAATGATAGTGTAACTTGTGTTTCTGGGCTTGAATTTCGTTTTTCTAAAAAACGCAGGGTATTGCAAAATGAGATATCTGGTATCATTATTTTCATGCTATTGCATCGTCTGGCAAGAAATTATATTAATAGAACTTCGAATCACCTTATTATTTCACACAATTTCTGCGATATCAAAAAAGTTGTCTCACGTCCAAAGTTAAAACTTAGATCGACTATTAGCTTTAATTTCACTATCTACAATATGTTTTTATAAGAAGAAATTTTACCAAGATTATCGTCTATAGTCAATACCATAGCAAAGGGTTTATGTTAGGGTGTTAAGTTAAAAATGATGATAACTTTATAGATGCAATAATTATTCTTACACATCTTAGGAAAATTTAAGGCCTCAGTGACCCGCAAAAATAATAAGAGATTATTCTTTTTACTCTTAATAGTCAGTGTATCTACTATAATATTATAATAATTATATCTAAAACAAATATAAAGGAACTTACATTTACGTTCTTATTAATTTCACCGCGTAAAGCGTGCAAGAATGTAACAAAAAACACTATCTTTAAAGCATACATTGTATCCTTAAACCGACTTCGTTATGAAAAAGATATACCCGTGACGCCATTAAACAAGTTAATCGTTCATTTAATTAAGTCGATTGAGACGAAATAATCTCACCTCCGCCACGGTGTGTTAGTAATACAATGATTGATCACCATTTCGTTATATTTTAATAGCAATTTAGACTTCCACGAATCAATAATTATATATTCACACTTCTTTATTATATATCACAAGCTTACGCGAGTAGTACACGTTATAATACAACCTTTAAATCGAATTTAACTGCGAATAAAATTAAATTACACTAAGAATGGCAATTCCGGTGCTTTACAACACGGAAAACAACAAGGAAATAATTGAAGTAAAAGCGGTTTTATTTAAAAGTAACTATCCTATAATGGTGTGGCTATAAATAAAATTAAACCGTAAAAAAATAATTAATTAACTAATAAATATTTTCTATCAACTGGCAACACCGTTCAATAGTAATCTGCGTTGTCGTATCGGAAGGTGTGAGCGGGGACTCCCCTGCTACCAGTGCCTCGGATGGTAAAGATGGCGCCGGCTAATGGTTCGCTGTCGTCATTTTTGTCTCGACCGGATGTGACGAATAACTCGTCGAGGTTCGGGCCGCCCCAGCAAAGTGAGGTAGTCCGGGATACTGGTAATTTGTACCCATATACAACTTGTCTAGAATCAGGATCTATATGCAAGACCTGGGAACAAAAACATAGATTAGAATCTCCTCTACATGGGGGATGTCCTTCTTCTTTCTGTTGCAGAGCTAAAATCAAGCGGATTTGTTTTTAGTTTGAGGTGGAAGGTAGACAAACAAACACTATGTTTTTAGTATAGATTTTACGGTTACGTTCATAGTACTGTGTAAAGCCTATTAACATATTCAAGCTTCATTTTCAGAGATAAATATTGAAACCAATATTAACATGTTCATGTTTTAAAATATAAGTAATATTATTATTACTGTTACCGAATGTATAAATACGTTTCAGTATTCACGCTTTTCAGCAGCCGTGGTCACGCGCGCAACAAAGGATATTGGGTGTCCCTGATATTTTATTTATCTATTGGAATACCTATTATAATTATATAAATGTCAAGATTTTGTTTGTTTGTTTAATCGCGCTAATCTCAGGCACTACTGGTTTGTGTTGGATCGAGAAATTTAATTTTAATTATTTGTTAGTAAGGTCTTAACAGAATTATATTAATGTCGTAAACTTTAAAACAACGTTTACCGGATCATCTAGCAGCTAAATGTCCAGATAATGATTAAAAAATATGACACAAGACTTTAATTGGCATAAATTGTTAAACAAGTGACTTACGGTTCCACCGAACATAAGAGCGACCCACAAGTGGCCGTCGCTGTCGATCGTCATGCCATCTGGAATCGCATCTTCATAGCCGTATTGGGATATGTCCAGAATAACTCGTCTCCCAGCTAAAATAAATCCATATGATAATACAAAAGAGTAACTAGAAGAATAATTAAATGTTTTTCAATAATATGTCAGCGGAACATAAACTGCTGTGTGCCTGCACAGCTGAGACTCGTACCGATTACCATTTCTTATTTAATATCTTTGCATAAATTCAGTCTTCGACTTTATAGTTATATATGTGACTTTGAATTGAATATTTGATTCATATCAGATGCCAGAAAAATACTTTTTCCTACAACCCTACAGCTATAAAGGACTAACCCGCTAAAAATTGTATTAATTAAAGCATCGAACAACAGATGGCACCACACATTATTTAATCACTTTATCTTTCTGATGAAAGATACAGTTAAGAATATGTGAAATTTATTAGACTCACTGATTTCTCCCCTCACTGGGTCGTAATCAAAAGCCTCAATTTTCTGTGTGGGCGAATCGATGTAGTACATTACAGTGTTGTTTAAGGAGAATGTCAGTCCATTGGAGATGGAAACGGGCCTTAACACTGCGCGTGAGTGTACATAACCTTCATGATCAGGTTCGAATCTGTAGAGTGTAGCTTTGTCTGGATGAACGTCGTCACCAAGCTGAGGTCCTTTTGTACCTGCACAAAGAAAGGCTCTGTATAACATAAAACTCTGAAATAAATCTTTAAAGGGAATGGAGTAAAGTTTTTTATTATTTACATATATGTATACGGGATATATCCCGAACTGCAGTAACAATACATAATATGTTTTAACAATCAGAAATACTTTTAAATTATTGTAACACACTGTTTATAGTTTACGCGAATAGTACACATTTAAATAAAACACTTTAACGGTTTATAACGCGATATATTAGTTAAACTTATTTGAAAATGATTTCTAACTTCGGCCCGACGTTTCAGATGCTTTGCAGCAGCCGTGGTCACGGGGAGACCACGTTGAAAAATCATTTTCAAATAAGTTTAACTAATATATCGTGTTTTAACCCGTTAAAGTGTTTTATCTAAATTTTGTAACACAATTCTGCTTCAAATTTCAATGGGGCATCACTGAAATCGTCTTGTGGCTACTTCCAGGTAACAACAAAATCTGAGTGGTGTCCCTCGGTATACATCTATTTTAGTATTTTTTTTTTACTTTGTTATACTTTGACTATTTTTGTAATACTTTATTCTGATTTTATTACCTCTGTGGATTAATGTTTAAATTCACTAAAGTGTGCTAAGCATAAAAGATTCCTAACCCATGTAAATATAAACGTTTCAATTGTGCTGGAAACATGTCTGATCAACTACAAGCCTTAAAAAACAATCAGATCCAAAATTTTTACGTTACTTCTGAAATTGTATCCATTTAATTCCCTTGTCTCAATTGGTATGTGTTTGTGTTATATTTTAACCTATATTTTTGGTTTTACCTGCCCAAAATCTCCCTTCAGAATCTGGTTTCCCTTCATTAATAAGATTGTCAGGTAGACCCTCGTCAACGGAGCTGAGTAGCCTTATAGAGGCATCACCAGGCACGTCCCAATCCAGCAGGTAGAGCGCAGACCTCACAGCCACTAACAATCTGTGAGACCCAGATACTAGCGCGACGACGTTAACTTGACCATAATCTAAGAAATAAAGAGAAGGAAGTGTGTTTGTCATTTGATATTTCGCTTAGCATACGCTAGGCTTTTGGTTTAAGGCTACTATATACATATACGATTTTTTTCGTCACTTTTGAAATCATTTATGTTTGATTACGACGATTTTCTTGTACCACCAACCTACGCGATATGTGTAATTATTTCACAATTTTTTTTTGATAGCGAAAGACAGAGATGCTTTCGTTCCATTGATAGATGGTGAAAATATTCCAACCATATAACATGTCAACGTAAGATGCGACTTATCGACCTAAATTTGGCTTTGTATATTCATTTATTCTTATTTATTTATTTATTATTCCTTCTTTCATATCTCTTTTGTCATTATCTTATATCCCACGCATAATAAGCACCTATTAAAAATATCAGAGGTCACAAACCTATATGTTTAGTATGTATTTTCCCAGACGAGTAATCCAGCCTGTGCACATTCTGCTTATGCGCATCGACGAAATACAAAGATTGTGAGTCGACGTTCCATACAGGACTCTCCGCGTGCTTAAATAAGGCTGGCTTCTCCGGCCTATCGGTGGATGAAACCTGTGTTATGTTTTAGATATACATATTTTCATTTATAGTTTAAACATTATTAATTACTCGCTATATAGCGTATTATTTATTTCTGAAATATATTATAGCTGGTTCCCACGACGTCCTCCGCGTTGCGTCTTTCGTGTGTGTTAGTCTTAAAAATAAATATATAGTACCCCGGTCATTTTTAGACCTTTTAAATAAGAATCATTCTTTAGTACATTTCTTTTTTGGTTTCCAAAACCGCATCGAAGCGCACGCAACGGTAGCCTACAATGAGGAATATTTTTTTCCGCTTTTTCCACGTTTACCATTCAATATTGATCGCAGCAAGATGTTTTATAGCCAAAAGCTTTCCCTTTTTAATGATCGGTAGTTCCTGAGATTAGCGCGTTCAAATAGAGGAACTCTTCAGCGTTATAATATAAGTATAGATTTATGTATTTTACCAGCAGTGGACTAAAGAGCTATTGATATAAAATTCGACGGCCTCGTTGGTTTAATGATAGCAATGTATTGTATTGATTCGATCAACAACGGGTCCCACGTGTTTTTAATTTATATATTTTCTCAAACATGGTTGGACTTTGGAAATCTGAGTATTAAATGGGGGGAAGGAATATCGAAATTCCGCCCGGGTCACAAACCACCGTCCACAGATGAAAAACACCACCACCACACCACCATAGGTGTTCCACCTACCGTCAAGTGAAACACCATGCTTGGCTGTCTTCCTCTAACATTAAAAAAATAAAAGAATACATACCATAGAAATCTTGTAGTACTGTGCGGTCTGTGACGTCATCGTCGCAAGAAGAAGCAAATAGTGACAATTTATCCGAAACATGTCTAACAAGCAGTCGAACTGAATATCGTTTAACGTTAGACAGGTGGTCTGAACTCGAACAATAGTAAAAAATAATGAATGAACTCGACATTCTCCTTTTATGAGCGGACAATGGTATGGGTGAATTTAAAAAATGAACGATAAACTTCGAAATAACATCACTGTCGTAAATTGCTTTTTCATTTCATACCACAGTCAGGGCCGCATTGCTGTGATAGACGGACATGAGTCTATTTTTACGTAATTATTTTGACTTAAAAGGGGAATATAGATTAAATATCAAAAATACTTTTAAACAATACTCGTCTAGGGCAGGAATTGAACCGACATCGTTCGTGCTACCAACTCATCGTTAAATTTTTTAACTTATTGATACAATATGTACCTCTCGCGCAAATATTTACACTTTATTTTTGATATTAAATCTATATAGTGCCATCAAGTGCAAAACATGTAAAAAATTGGTTGGCGGCCCATCTTGATTAGATGGCTGGGGTATTCCGCCTTCTATCAAGTTGTCCTGTCGATAAAATCTAAACACTTACCCTAAACAGTAATGACAATAGAAAAAATTAAAATAGTGCGCGTTTTCTATAAAACAAAAATATCGAGCTATCTATTCCATTGAAAAGATATAAAACAAATGCAAATATTAGACAATACAGGAAGTATTTTCAATGCAAATTAATTTATTATAATTCAATTTGACCTCCCGACTTTGTTATATGAACTACTTAAATAGCATGTGATTTGTTATAACATTTAAAAAAACGTATAAGAAGTACTGTCTGTAGTTTACCCGAGTAGTACACATTTAAATAAAACACTTCAACGGTTTAAAACGCGATGTATACAGGTGTCCCAAGAAGTAGTGTCAAGCGGAAGTCCCAAGATAGAACACCCCTTGGAGCATCCGAAACACCCCCATGTATGTTCTGCGATTATTTATAGTTTTCGAGTTACGAATTTTTTTCTAAAATTTTGAGAATTATAACAGAAATGCGTTTGATCAGTTACAAGAAAACTTTTTTACGAGGTGCAGAATTAGTATTGAGCAAGAAGGGAGAGATTTTGAAAACTTTTTATAATAAATAATGTATTACAGTTTTTTTGTTTGTCAGTTGTCAAGAATGCAAAGAAAACAATCACGTTGCCAAATGGCTATTTATTATATTTTTACGCCTATCTGTCTTTGAGGTCCGGTATTAGCAAAAGTAGCGTATTATGTAGTCCTTTTTTTTTAACGATAATGAAAGCTGAGAGTCTGGCGCAGTTTTTAAACTAACTTATGAGCTACAAAGCTACCTATTAATATTTTAAATTTAAAGTTGAAATTTTACGACCCAATTCACGGCTTGTAACTATTTCACTTTGAACCATCATATTTTTAACTTCAGTTAAGGTTACGAAGACTAATGGTTTAATTATTAATATACAACTCATGCTTGTTGAGCTGTAAAATAAATCTAGAAAAAGTCTTATCACCTTTTGTCAATTAGCGTTTAAGTTGTTTAGGTCAAAATTTCTTAAAAATTTAGAAAAAGATTCGTAACTCGAAAACTATAAATAATCGCAGAACATACATGGGGGCGTTCCCACCGGTGTTCTATCTTGGGACTGCCGCTTGACACTACTTCTTGGGACATCCTATATATATATGAGTTAAACTTATTTAAAAAATATTTTAACTGCGGTCAGCAGCAGTGGTCACTGGGGGACCTGCAAAGCATCCAAAACATTTTTCAAATAAGTTTAACTTATATATTTATCACGTTTTAAACCGTTCAAGTGTTATATTCAAATAATATATAACGGTTAAATATCAAAATTAGAACGGAATAAGTAGTTTCAAGTGTTTCTTTTCGCTTTGGTCATATAACACGATTTTTTACAATCGCTACTCAACGCGTTAATTAGAGGTAAACTTAGACGATTTGTAACGAACATGATTAAATTAGACTGGAGTTTGATTTGCCGTACTGCTATATTATTGATCGAAAATTCTACCTCATCGTTTATAAAATCCAACTGATTACAAATTGAAATAGAAATTTCAAGTAATTGTATAAACAGGATAATCAAATAAGGTAAGGTAGGTAAGGAATTTATTCGTTTGAAAACTTTAATATTTTTGACACATGATGAGTATGACAAAATTTCTCCTCTACATTTAATGTTTTCATAGAGTATAATACATTGAACCTAAATGCGTAAGTGTTAAGGTTGAAATTTCATTGTTTGAGAGGTGCCTGTACTAAAAAGTTCAAAGATAACGTGTAGGACACGTTATCTCAATTGGTTAGAACAGCAGCACGGAATGCTGTGGATTTCGGTTCAAGTCTCGCTCACGTAATCTTTTTCGATCGAAATAGAATTTTAATTTAAAGTATTCGCTTGTTTTAAAGTAAAAAACCAAGATGCACTAATAATAATAGTTTATTAAAGTAGTGAAAAATTAAATATAGACAATTATAATAATAATTCAAATAACTTTAAATGCTAAAAATGTATTCCTTACACATAATCGCACAGATCTTATAATTATTAAGCCAAAGTAATCTCTAATCCTATACGCTTAGGGGTGATGATGCGGTGTAGCTTGGTGCGGTGGCGGTTCTTGGCCAGGGTCTGTGGGTGGGGCGCCCACTGCACCCACCACTCCCGAAACCACACCAGGTACTCCCACGCCTGGTACCCCGGGTACAGGCACTCCTACGCCTACGGGTGCACCTCCGCTCTCAGCTTGTAACCTGAATAATCAGAATAGTTCATTTGACTCTGTAGGGCTAACTAGAAACAAGTGGAAGTATCGTAATTATATTTTGATCAAGTATCCTGCCCGAGTCGAAAAAAAATATTTTTTTTTTTCAATTTCTTTTTGATTTTTAAATTGATTTTATATAGTTATCCCACAACATTGATTTCACAACCAACACGTATATATTAGACATAGTACTCACCTTTGAATGGCATGATTTCTGGCGCGAAACTCCGCCGCTTTCAACTGTTCCAGGTGGAACTGTTGCCGTTCTTGGATTAACTGCTGCCGTTGATATTCAAGACCTGAAATTTCCATCATGAGCCCTTCTGTATTCATAGACGAGAGAAGCTAGTTGTGCAAGAAGTACCAATTGTTCACGTGATAAATTTGTGAAGCACAAAGTTTTGATTTCTGATGAAGTCAAAAAAAATCAATAAAAGTTCGCGTTAACAATCCCCTGAGTATTTATAGATAACATATCTGGATAACAGTTTTTTTCATTGTTGTTATCAGTATCCAGGACATTGACTGTCACTTACCTTCTCTTTCCCGCTCCATTGTAGCCTCGAGTTCTTCAAAGTGACGAAGCTTAATTTCCAATTTCTTCATCTGCGTCTCAACGAGAAGTGCGACCAGCGATTTTATTTTTCGCTCCTCAACACCAGCTAAATGTTTTGCCTTCACAGCGGCCGCTGCTAGAGCTGCTGCAGCTGCTGATTGCAATTTGGCATCTACCGCTGCTGGCGGATCTGCAAAACATTACGGGTTATTTCGGGAAAAGAAAGTGTTTTTTTTTGAGAGTAGATAAAAATTAACTACTTCCACTAACAAAAAATATTACCTTGTGTAGGTTGTGCGTCTTCCTCTTTGACCTCCTTCTCCTCGCTTGAGCTGGCGCTCTCTCCCCCCTCCTCCTTCACCTTCCCCTCGCCCTCACCTTCCACTTCCATCGGCTCTGCCTTAACTTCACCGCTGCCTTCTTTTTTTTCTACATTAGAACAAATATGTCACTACAAAAAGATCCCAGCTAGGTCAACGAAAAGTAGGTGCTCAGGTCAAGAGAAAACTAAAAAAGCTAAATATAAAATTAATAGCATAGAAGAGCGGCTGGCCTGAACCCAAATGAGCGACCATTGGAAATGAAAAGTCAAATCACGCTATCGGTCGTGGATTCAATTCTCGTCAGTGCATTTTTTTAAGCTAGACACTTCCTTATGTAATTAAGTGTTTGAATACCTGGTGGGTGCTCCGGTGCTGTGCCCGCTATGCCGGTGCTGGCAAGAGCAGCTTGCGGCCCCAGAGCACCAGCTGCACGCACATGCGCTTCCATCATGGCCGCCGGCACTTCATCCTGTGTAGAAATTGTTTTGGAATATAAATTCAAAAAGGTCCACTGTGTACAAACACTGCCGTAGCTCAATATGTCGTGAGAACTTGGATTAGAATTAACGAAACAATACACATTTTTTTTATTTAACTTATGAACATACGTAGATTAACTAATTTCATATAAATCGATGAGTTCCACCATCTCCCAATTAGGAGAACGGAATTTCAAATAGAAGGAATTAAATAATAGGAATAATACCTTTATAGCAGCAAATTCATCCATTGCAGCCTTGGTTGCCTTCGACGCAATGCGCGGGTCAACAACGGAGGCGAGGAAAGCGACCGTACTCATCACGGGGTTTCCGGTCTTGCTGAACGGCACCGGTTGGTAAGCGAGCGGGCCCAACACTCCACCTTGGGTTGACAAATTATAAGATTAATCAGCGGTATATGTAACAGTGTACCTTCACTCAATCTGGTAAATCGGTGAATGTACATTTTTAGTGCTGATTTTCAAATAGATTTTACCATTTGGCACACATTCAATGTTCTTTTCTAGAAACATAGGCCTGTTAGCTCAAAAGAACGAGGTAACTTGGATTTAACTATAGTCAGATTTTTGTTGTACCAATATTCAAGGAGGGTCATGAATAAGATCATGTCAGAATGAAAAATAAAGGAATTAACTCTACCGCTCAATTATTAAGTATAAACAATATTGCATACTGTCATTCAGATATGGATCCTCAATGGGCAGCCTCAAGAAGTGCAAGATGCACTCGTCGTGAGTCCTGGTACCGACGTGAGCAGCAACCCTGTTCCAATCATCGCGATGCAACTCCAAAGCTTCCAAAAGCAGAAGTGTTTCTTGTTCCGTCCATTCTCGTCCGCGGGTACCACCTCGGTACTGACAAAAACACATTTTTTTAAATAAAATAAGCTAGGGGTCAAGGAAATTTCATTAAGCCGGAATAATAGATCATTTCAGTCAGTACTTGTTTGAAAAAGATATAATGTTTCACGTCTAATAAGATTAACAATTATGAGTTTACATTCATTCTCTTTAAGCTTAACGTGGTTACAAATTCGAATTGTATGTGTTAATTTATTAAACATATATTACCTGATCCATTTTTAGCCCTGGTGCATTGATGATCTGATCTAATGACGGAGGCTCATTTTTGACGTTCGGCTCTGTCTTGATGGGAGCGCCAGCCTCCGTTCCATTCGGAAGACCAGCCTCAATTTTAGGAACCGCTGCGTTTTCTACTATGAAGATATATAGCTTTTAGGTTTAATACAAGCTGATACGTTTACGGGTGTCAAATAATACATACTTATTCGAAGGTCGAAACACAACATAATAAACACAGGTTTGTAGACAAATAATATTTTTCCAATATCTTTTGAATTAGTTTAAAAATGTATAAGATTATGTATTTAAAGACGCTGATTTAACATAAGTATAATGCAACAATTTTAAATTACCTGGCCTCACGTTAGGCTGCGCTGGGCGTGGTTGCAGGGGTTGCAAACCTGAGGGCGTGTCCGACAATACGTGGAAGTGTGACGTCGGAGGTGGACCCATGGCCGTCGGGCGGACATCTGCCTCCACCTAACAATACATAATATGTCGTACTAATTAATTAAAAGAGAAACATCATTATACAACATATCTATAAATTTTAAGAATTTCTTCATAAGAATTACCTTGAATGTTTTCTTTGCTAAATTTACCTTTTAACGTGAATAAAAATAAGTTCTAACCTGATAGTTGATCAAGCCCCACTGCTCCAGGAAACCATGAACACGCATAATAGCACAGACGTCTCCGGCCAAATTTCGTCTACACGCAGTGCTCGTCAAATACTCAGTCGGGTTCAGCCGGTATGTGTCGATCATGAAGTTTCTGGAATAAACAATTACTTTTTAATGACTAATTTAAAAGTGAAGATATTGTTTTTTTGTTAGTTTAAAGTTAGAAGAAAATATGTAATCTTTCTGGCATATGATAATTATTTACACATGCTGATACAGACATTTAAATATTATACAATGTTGTCCTTCTATATATTATATACTTGAAAACTTTTATATTTTTCACATTTTGCACATGATAACACTTTAAAAATAAAAAATCAATAAGTTGAATAAAAATAAATCAATCTATACATTGCGCAAGAGGTGTATGTATTAATATGTTGAAAAGTTCGACGATGACGCGTAGGACACGGTAGCTCAATTAGTTAGAGCATGGCGCGGAACGCTGTGGATGCTGTGGTTCAAATCCTGCCTGTGTCGTAATTTTTTTAATCTATAATCCTATAACCTTTTTATGAATATAAACAGCCTCACAAGAACTCACCTATAAGCTAAATATATTTCAGGAGTCTTAGACTTGTTCTTCACGTTAAAGAATTCAGGCAGCGCGCGTTTTTCGATAGTATGAATCGAATTGTAGTCAAACCACGCAGAGTAGGATGGAACTACTATATGGTGAGTCTGATCTGTCACGTTATCTTCCAGTTCTTCCTTTATTATCGTCTCCTAGAAAAAATCAAGTCGATATTAAGCAAAAAAGAACCGGAAAGAGTAGTAACCAATTCTCCTATAAAGGGGGGCAGACATATATCTGCATCCGTTTTATCAATTAGATATTATTAAACTAAGTATTGTTAACCAATATTACAACATTATAGTTAAGGTTGAATAGGTTCCGTCTATAAGCGTGTTTGCTGTCCTTACTACACGCACGAAACAAATCCACATGTAAAGTGTACAGTTAGTTCACTAGATAGATAGCTACAAATAACATACGCTGAACTAAACCAGATACGTCCTATTTTGGCTTTGGATATTCGAAAGTCAAAAGTCTAACAAACGATTATACTTCACCTTTTTCATTTTGAACAGTGGTTCTGCTCGATTAAATTTTCTACCACCCATTCATTTTTTCCTCTTTGAGAACGCGACACAGTTAAAATTTGGAAGTTTCTGCAAATTAGGAATTGGGACACAAAAACAAACCGTCTCGATAATTTAAATCTTAATCTTCTAAATGATTATTTCGCTGATCCCTCTTACACAATTAATAGTACGCCAAGTCAAGTACTCTAATTTTCTTTCATCAGTTCCAATTCCTACATCATTGCCTTCAACTTCTCTCCTTTCACTGATTGTGACGTTAAGAAGAGCATTATTGCCAACACGTCGAAGGCTGTCGGCAGTGACACATTAGTCTAATATGATTCTCCCTATTATTGATATCCTCGTTCCCATAATTAGTCACATTTTCAATTTCTGCATATATTCTTGTACCTTTCCTGAAACCTGGAAGGAAGCTAATATCATTCCTATTCCTAAGAAATCCCATCCTCAATCCTTTTCTACTATAGACCAATTTCAATCTTGCCTTTCCTGTCCAAAATCCTGGAACGCTTAGTTCTAATCAGCTATGTGTCTATCTTAACAAGTCTAGTTCCTTAATCCCTTCCAATCTGGTTTCCGACCTGGTCATAGTACGACTACTGCTCTTGTCAAAGTCACAGAAGATGTACGGCCAGCATGGACCGTCACAAGTCACCATTTTGACTCTTCTTGACTTCATAAGCTTTTTGCACTGTCGATTTTGATATCATGCTGAGCCTTTTGCGTACCATTAACTATCTCCAAAGTGATTGGCTGGTTTCAAAGCTATTTATATGGAGTCGGCAGAGGATTCATGTTAATGATCATAATCTGCTTGGCGTTTACTTACACTGGTGTTCCCCAGGGCGGTGTGCTTTCTCCTCTTCTGTTTTCTATCTTTATTAATTCTATCTCTAAAAAACTTTCTTCTCTTTACCATATTACCAGACGACCTTCAGATATACACACACTTAGCCTTGACAATCTATCTACGGCTATCTCGACTACCAACAATGATTTACAACTATCTAGATTGGGTTATAGTTATGGCTTAAAAGTCAATCCTGCTAAGTCTCAATGCATCATTGTTGGTAGTTACCATCTGATGAATCGGGTTGATTTACGTAACATTCCACCTGTTGTAATAGAATCAACCATAATCCCTTACAGTAAGTCTGTCAAGAGTCTGGGGATCTTTATTGATCATAATTATCCTGGCGCCACAGCTCAAAGAGCTCAGTAAGAAAATTTATGCGGCCTCGCATTCCTTAAAACGTCTTCAAAATTTTCTCCCTATACCACTAAAATCTATCTCTCATTCTCTACTCCTTTCTATCCTTGACTACGCCGATGTCTCTATTGATATAACAGAAGAGCAACTAATAAACTTGAGGACTACAAATGCGTGTATCCGTTTTATCTTTGGGTTACGTAAATATGATCACGTATCCAATATCGCCGTAAACTTAACTGGCTTCCGATCCGCTCGCGTCGGAACCTTCATGTCCTTGTTCTCCTTTATCGTATCCTTTTCGACCCTAAATCCCCGGCCTATTTAAAAGAAAACTTTCTTCCTTTAAGCTCACATAATTTGAATTTCGCTCATTCATAATCTTTTATTATTTATTCCTCGCATAAGACTTCCTTCTTTAACAACTCCTTCACTATTAAAGCCATTAATCTCTGGAACTCTCTTCCCTTAGAAATCAGAAAAGCTCAATCTCTCCGTACTTTTAAAGTCTCAGTTATCAAATTTTATCTTTCCAACTGTTAATTGCCTTTCTTTTTCATGATCCTTTCTAGCACCTACCTATAGTCCTTTTATTTTATTTTTTGTTTTTCCCTTCACTTCAGGTTGCCTGGAAGAGATCGCTGTTTAGCGATAAGGCCGCCTTTTAGTTATAACCTAGTACATAAGAATTTATTGTTGTAAACCATTTCTGTGGTGTTTGTAAATAATAAAGTTAATAATAATAAATAAATTATTATCCAAATTCCGGACGAACACTACTATTACAGTAATGGGCACGTCACAGGGTCGCGGGCAATTGATGTTAAATGACGTCATAAATTGTTATAATACCTGCGTATTGGAATCGCTGTGCTTTCCTTGCGAATCGTCGTGTTCGATAGGTGGCGCGGGAGTGGCCGGAGCATCCCCAGCTGACGTTGAAGCTGATGGCTCCGGAGGACCAGCCGACGTGGAAGCGGCCGTAGATGGGGTCGCCGGTGCCGCTAATAACAAGATAATAACACAAGTTTATCTTTTTGTTCTCCGCAAAAGTGGGACTCGAATCTATGCGGCGTGCCCTAGTTGAGATGATAATATCGATATGTGATATCATTTTACTGGTGTGTTTTTTTCACGTTAGTTTAATTTTGTAGCTTATATTACTTGTATAGACCAATTATTCTATTGACTTTATTTTCAATTGGTTAAATTTCGTTAGGACAAAGAATATATAATCGATTGTTTCGTTACCTCTAAGACTATGCAAAACAATATCAAATTACTCACGTTCAGTAGGTCTTTCGACTTCAGGCGTCGGCGCTACGTCAGTATTGTCCCTGGACGCGTTGTCTTCCTCCTCGTCAACGTCATTTTCCCGTCTTTTAGCTCCACGGCTGAAAACAAAAAGATCAAAGATTATAGTATAACTTAAATATTTATATGACTCAGATAATAATGAACTTGGAAGATATATAAATTAAAAATTAATTTTAGAAGCATAAAACTTCCCAGGTAGGGAAATGACACAGTACGCTATTAGTCGTTAGAGCCCTAAATTTTAGTTTTTTTTTTTAATTTTCAAATTACCTCTTTCTCTTGCTGTGCTTTTGTGGTGGTGGTGATGGAGAGCGCTTTCTTTTTCCTTTCTTGCTTTTGGATGATGGCTCGCTACCGGGAATGAGATCGTCCACTGATAAACGCAACTTGTGCACCTGAATTTTATAAAACATTATGTAGCTTACATTACTTTAGTAAGTACAACAAAAAACATGATTGAAATAAAAAGTTCCTACGTTGATTTTGAAGAAAAAAAAACACTTCTAATAAAACAATAAGACAAAAGAGATTAACCTTCTTCTTGCCATGGGAGTCAACTTCATAGTCTTCCTCGTTCATCCACTCGTTGTAATGCGGCACGTCCAGCACCCAGGTGGCTGTTACACGGTATGGGTCAGATCTCGTGCACTCCCAGTTCGCTGTCTCCGGTACATCCACCTGCAAGAAGCTTTCTTATTACCAAGGCCCTGAAAACCCAAAAAAACATGCCAAAGAGGGCTACTGAGTAGTGGGTAGTTACAATCTCTGCATTACATAGGTTAAATCATGATTTTTTGGTATTCTATTTACTTTTTTAATAAAACCCTGTAACCCTGTAACGGTTTAAACCCCGATATATATTAGTTCAACTTATTAGAAAATTATTTTTATTACGGCCCGACGTTTCAGTCAAATAAGTTTCATTAACGGTTTAAGGTCATATGTTTTTTCAATTAACCTTAAGAAACATAAGGCAACGCTTATGTTATATGCCCTATCAATATTTTGCTATTTACCGGCAAGTCAGCTTGAGCCCAGGTATCATGGCTGTCTGGGAAGTAGTACCAATGGATAAGCACGTTGTTCCCGCGACGAAACACGGGTCGAGCGTATTCCTCCTCCAGCGGGTCTACCACTGGGTAGATTATGTGTGTTGCATCTTCTTCGTCTTCTGTTAAACATGTGAGGGATTAATCATTAAATGCTAAGTAAAAGTAATTTTAAGTGCACAAAAATAGAAATTCCACAGTTACAATAAGGATCATTACATCACAGCAATTTTAATTTAGAGTTTTTTCTACATTTTAATTAGTTACCAAAAGTAGTTTTATATAACGCTACTTCAAAAGTTAAGCACTATATTTTTATAGGTTTAGATAAATGATTCGAATGCCTAGAAATCATTGGAGCTTAAACTAACGCCTAGAGAAAAAAAATAGTAAGAAATGTAAAATCATATTTATATCTCTCTAATTCAATCAATGATTTAACAAGTGCATCTTCGCTCCGAGTACAGAGTAAAACTCACCACAAATTTCAACCTGATGGTTACTGATTATGTCTTTGATTTTGTTAGCGGTCGCTTTGTCTACATCTGGGCGTATGTAGATACAGGGTAAACGGATAATTTCGGCTGTAAGCAGCGCCGACTCAATTTCCATCATCATTTGAACGTTAAGGTCTTTGCGCGATGGATTCTGAAAAGGACATTTAGGGAAGGGGAAGAGAAAAGACTAATTAATTTGTTATCTATTTACGTTAAGTATAGTTGCAATAGGAAACAAACAAAAGTAAATTTGAAAAAACCAGTCAACACAAACGTTGTATAACACGTTGGTCCTTCGAGCCGGGTCAAGGCGTATAAACATTTAGAAGGGATCGACTTGTGAGAAACTATTAACAAAAACATGCACACATGGGTGAGACACTGTATTTATTCAACACTCCCAGATTAGTGACAAAAACACAACATACAAATATGTATTTTCCACAGATATATACTTATTTACATTCTAACACAAACATCGTCAACCACCATTGAATGACCCTTGCATGAAATGAAATAGTAAAGAGTATACGACGAAGAATTATGTGTTTTTGTCATATCTACGTAAAAAATTTCCAAAACTAGAAAAAAGGATCTCATGTGATTCTAATACTGAACTTTGTATCTGGTGTAACTATAGTGTGTTTGAAAAATGTAATTGTTAATTCATACCGTTAAGTCGTGCTATTGAAATGGAAAACACGACACTCGTAACAGACTACACGCTAATTAGAAACAATTACAGATAAAGCAAATTACCGGTTTAAAATGTTTCGGTCGAAGATACTAAAAGCTAATAACCAATGGACACAGAAAGGAGATGCCGAACTTTTATTATTAAAGCCTTTAATATAATATGATTTAATAAAAAATAAAAAAATCTCATTTCTTCTGTGTTAAGCAAGAACATTCTTGATTTATATGACAGCTTTTATTTAATAATATATGTAAATATTTTTTGTTCTTCGAAATTCATGGCTAGAAACTTAATTTTAAATGAATGGCTCAAATTGTGCATAGTTCGTACGAGTGTCGCGTAGAATGCTTTGTTAGGGCCTGTGTCAGGACCGGGGAGGTTCTGCGAGCGGCGCGGGCGGCGTGAGAGGCAGCGTGCGAACGGGTGCATACCTTACCGACCTGGAAGTCGAACTTGCGCCACCGCTGCTCCGACTTGAAGCGGAACATGGTCGCAAGCACTGTGCACAGCGAACCGCCGGGCTTCATGTCCATGAACACTTTCATCTGAGAAAAAAATAAAGCTACAGTTGCACTGCTATGAGGCTGCTAAAGGCAGAGTGGCCTAATAACACGATTTTCAATAAGGAGAAAAATAAAAATGCGTAATTATTAAGGCGAAAATGAATTTGTACTATTATTTGTGTGAGAGTTATGTTAACAATTTCCGGTCAATTTTGTGCTCTTGTAGATTAACATTTTAGTCTATGAAAAGATAAATAACTCTTGAGTACTCATACAATTGCAGTTAGGCTGCTCTGCCTCTAGCGGCCTCATATCTTTGTAACCACTGTGATGCATTTTTTTGGTATTTGGTGAAGGGGTGATGAGTGAGGGGGGCTGGAGGCTCCCAAGTTTAACGACATGTGGCATCTACTTAATTATAATTACAAACAAGACCTAAGGCCTCTAAGGAGGCTCGTGTCTCATAAGTTGGAGTTGTAAGTCGTTGTCGCTAACAAAGTAATCACAGCCGAAATAAGGACTTTTATATCACATATACGCAAAGGCTTTATGAATGCCTCTTTTAAGAACTAATTAACATTAGTTATTCTACTAATACATATTTTAAGAACAATGTAATAACCAAGCAACTCTGCCTTATGTCAATTGACTTTCGTTAATGTTAATTTACTTAAAATCGATATTCGAAAATCACAACCCTGTAAACTACTCTAACGTGACTTCCGTTTAGATTTCAGGGTTCAAGGTTCTAAACAAAGGCGTTTTAAAAAGACGTATAAGACTTAATAGGTCAGAAGGGATATTAAGCGCTACCAAACAAGTCTCAAATCGTTCTGCAAACAGGCCATTGCCATTTCAGAACTGAGATAATATATCAACTATTGTTCAATTGTCGATAAATAATATTGCATTTCAATTGCTATAGTAAATTAGGTGTACACACGGTATTTCGTCACAAACAGGAGTTTGGTTTTTCCAGGCATTTGGTGAATTTTATATGTATGTGTATTAGATATATGCGGAATCCAAATAGATTTGCATAAAATATGTAACAAATAAATGTATCGTCTTATAATCAACTGCGTAAAGCGATATACTAGTGTTACGAACAAAAGTCAAAACTATTAATGTTTAATCCAAAACCCAAAAAGGCAACAAGAAATGCCTTTTTTTCCAAATTTGTTAAGAAATATTTATAAAATAATTTATATCGTAAAATATGGAAAGGTTCAAAGTCAAGGAGATATTTAATAAAATGTGAAAGTGAAATCCCGTTTCCCTTGTGGGGTATGGGGCGTACGCTTTTCTGTGTCCGTTTTACTGATCAAGTTTTCACACAAGCAAGTTGTTGTTATACAGGCAAACTGATAAAACTTGTGTGTCGTGCCCGAACGAAATTATTAATTTATATATTACTAACACAGGACCTCGATTCAATATTATAATTCTTTTGAAAATATACGCTGTTGCGAAGACAAGTGTAAATATTGACACACGAGAAAATTAAGGAACACTAATTAAACCGGTTTTTTGTATAGTAATCGAGTTACTGTATTATCTTATTTTGGATAACAAGTGGACCGGTATTTTTGTAAATATAGTAATCGAGTTACGTCACTCTATTTAACGACAAACTCTCTTAGCGTCGAAATTTTTTTTTTTTTGTATTATCTTATTTTTGATAACAATGTCTTCCATTTAACGACAGGTACTCTGTTCGCCATAAAAGCACAGTCCCTTCAGGCTATATAGAGTTAAACTGTATATAAGTATAAAAACTGTAATAGTTTTCACATGTTATTGCACATGATATCACAATGATGTCCCAGTTGTACAATTGGTTAATGCAACAGCATGGAACGCTAACGATACCGGTTCAAGGCTTGTCCGAGTCGTAAATTTTTTTCAATTTATTTTGATTTAAAAATATATTTTTTACCGGAGCTAGTAAAATGTGTAAGCTTGATGAAATAGGGTGCATGCCCGCTTTTCTTATTGTTCTAGACGACGCAGGGATTAGTCGGTCACCGATGATGATCACCGAACTAAGAGACACACTAACAATGTAATTTTACGTTGAAGAAACAATTGAATTTCCATAAAAACAACAGATGCCACGGAAGACCTATCGCAATAAAGGACGAGGTCAATTTACAGCCGTGCTTAGCAAACCGTTTCAAAGCGTTGTCACTCCATCTATATCAAGTAGATCCTACATAAAACATTTCTAACGTTTTGAAACCCGAAATACATTAAGTTATTTTTTAAATAAAACCCGACCCGACACTACATCTGATATTTATTCTCCCCGTCGTTGTAGATTTAGATAGAGATTGGCAACGTATTGAGATAAAATTTCATTTTATTAGATAATTGAAGTGTACATATATCAATTTGATTGACATATACTCTTTCGGTAACTTTATTTATCTTATTAATTCTTACGTAAAATAAAATTGAATATATAGATGTATTTAAATAAAACACTTTAACGGTTTAAAACACGGGGAGACCCGTGACCACGGCTGCTGCAAAGCATCCGAAACGTCGGGCCGAAGTTAAAAATCATTTTCAAATACCTAAGCTTAACTAATATATCGCGTTTTAAACCGTTAAAGTGTTTTATTTAAATGTGTACTACTCGCGTAAACTATAGACAGTATTAATATAGATGTAACCACGACCTTTATTTTTTTTTATATTGAAAAATTAATATCCTGTCATATTTGAGGAGGGATAAGACATAAGACATATTTATTCGGAATTTAACAATTATTTTCCTTAAGCAACAACTCAATATATTGTATACCTAAATCCCATAATTACATGGCTTATTGCATTGCATAAAAGTTGAATGGGTTGATTTCTCAACTCACAAATAACTTGACCGTGGAATTCAATCTCACTGCGTCGCTTAGTTCGCTAGTCTCTTTATAATATAGGAAGACAGTGGACGTGTCTTAAAATAAAAAACTTTAATAATGGAGACACATATAAAGATAGCTTCCTCTATACTGTTTTTATTGTGTCTCCAATATGCTCAAGGATATAAATCTGCGACGCCTTTAATAAAAAACGTAAGTTTCACATATTTATGACAATCCGACAACTATTACATTTAAGGTTAGTATTTATAAAGTATAGATATAATAATTATGCACAAGTTTATTTCTTTCTTAAATGTTATAGTTATGTCCCAGAAAGGTTAAGAATTAACACAGATAAAAATGTTATATAAGATCTATATGTTATGTTAACGGACGTGGGTTCGAGTCGCCTGTATCTTTTTTTCTTTTTAATTTAAAACACTCTTAACGTCTAGATCCTTTTTAACGAATAGTTTTTGGGCGCTTCTTTAGTCGTACCGATAGTGGAACAGACATAGAAATATGTTGGCCCTATTCCCCGTGTAGGGGACACGTAGATTTCGCTTTTGACAATATATATGAGTTGTTGTTTTTGTTGTCTTTACATCGATTTGCATCGATCATCGATAGGTCAAAAATGTCATAATCTTTGATCTCTAAGGGATACTTTAGTTTAATGACAAGCGCATCTTGTTTAGTTGTTATATGGCTGGACTGTTTCAGCTACCATCAAGGGAACCCTACGCTTGTATGTTCTCCTCTATAATAAAAATCAGTTGTATACTAGAATGTTTGAATTCCTTAGGTAGTTCGCGGCGGAATCCACTTCGAAGGTCCCCATTGGGCTGATAACGAAAATGCCTTATATTGGAGTGATATAGTTGACCAGAGAGTTTATAGACTAGACGTCGATTCTGGTAACGTAACATCGAGGAGAATAGGTAAGTGTGACTATTATTTTCTATAAAAAAATAAACGTAACTATAATTCTTGTACATAGCTGCATTAATTATCCGATGTAATCATTGTTTACAGTAATTTCCTTCCTCTTTTATCGCAAATTTATACATACTGTCTTTAGTTTACGCGAGTAGTACACTTTTAAACCGTTAAAAACCGTCGCGTTTTAAATTTATACATTGCAATATATTATTATATTGGGTCTTTTTATGCATAAAGAGAACAAAATATAATGCTTTATATTTGCAAAAGAAAACTGATTACAATATTATTATTACTTATATTTATGGAAATGAAAGTAATGATTACGTATATAGAATAGGAAGACCAAGTCATAATAATTGTTACTTTCAGAATATGGCCCAGTCTCATTAGTGGTAACAGTAAAGGACTATCCTAAGTTATTGGTAATTTCATCTCGCGCTGAACTCTACTTGTTATCCTGGGATGCGCAAGAGGGTGATAGCGCTTTGAGATTATTGACAGCGGTCGATCTAGGAAAGCCCGATAACCGAATAAACGATGGAAAAGTGGACACTAAAGGACGGCTGTGGTTTGGTAAATTAAGCATTTCAATACTTCATTGATTACTGTTGCGGTCATGTTCATCTCTAATAATATTATAAAGTTTGAATGCGCTAATCTCGGGGGATACATCGGATTATTTTTTTTTGTGTTCGTTAGAGCATTTATTGAGGAAGGCTTTAGGCTATTAAACATGATGCTGACCAATAAGAGCTAAGAATCTTTGAGGGTTGCCGTTACGTTAGTTTTAGCGGTTTCAGATATATGTACACAAGAATGATCCCTTTAAATGATCTAAAAATATCCGTGACAGTATATATCTATTTATTACGATTAACTTGCAATAACGTAACAGTTATAATTTAAAAAGTTGGGATGGAGATTTACAGATTTTAATTCTCAAAATAACTACGCGGACGTTACTGAGAACCTAGTCATATATGTTTTTAGTTTTAAACATGTTTTGAATCGTTTTAATATGCAGGAACCATTGGCAAAGAAGACGAGAGAGGGGTGGAAAAGGACCAGGCCTCCCTTTATATGATGACGAAGGACAATTTCATTAACCCTGAAGAGAAATTAGTTCCAGTATCAATATCCAACGGCATAGCTTGGACGTCTGACAATCTATTCATGTTTTATATAGATTCTGTTCTGCGAAGTGTTCAAGCATTTGATTATGACATAGACACGGGTGCTATTCGTAAGTTGGTTTTTTAACTTATGTGTGTGTCACTAAATTTGTATATATACATATACGTATTATGATAAAATGTCACAGAAAGATAACTAAAACTATCTATATCCATCTCAAAATTTAAAAAAAAATTATTTATGTGCTTGAATAAATAGTAATACTTACATACATCAAAGGTCTAGCGACTTCTCGGTGTAATTGTTCATAAATTAATTAATTATATTTACACAAAAGGTAATAGAAGGACTCTATTCAGTTTCCAAGCAAACAATTTGACTGGAGTTCCCGATGGTATGACAATTGACACAGATGGAAACCTATGGGTTGCATGCTATGATGGAGGAAAGGTAAACAGTAAAATTACCATATACTTTAAATAACTAGGTCAGTTAAGCTGAGACATTTCAATGATTAAGTGTAGCTTTCCTAATACATTTAAATCTTTAATAAAAAAAATAATGAATAATTAATTTATAAAATACATTACATTTCCACAGGTAATCAAAATAGATTCAAGAGCAGGGAAGCTACTTGAGCAACACAAAATGCCAGCAACAAAAGTTACATCTGTGGCTTGGGGCGGACACAACTTTGCCACTTTATATGTTACAACGAGTAAAAGAGGGCTCAATTTAGTTCAGTTAGCACAAGAACCTGAAGCCGGATCACTGTTCGCCATAGAAAATACTGGTGCTAAGGGCTACCCTAGTAATAGTTTTTTATTTCCAAATGCAGATGTCTATTAATGCTTTTCGTACTATAAAGTTAGGTGCTCATAAGTATTTGATGTTTTATTTATTTCTAATCCTTCTAGAATCTTAAGCTTTCTGATTCGTTTATAAAGCTATGCACACTATGTTATGTGTCTTGTAGTTAGTAGTACTAAAAGTGAAACCTTCTAGTAGTAGGCTATCACACCATAATCTAGCTGCACTCCTTATCAATTCTATCGCCCTGGTAAAATTCAAGTGCACTGGACAGTTAAGAGTAAGACATGTGATGATATGATAAAAGAAGTCATCAGCTGCAGTTGATCCTCGTAATGAACAATCAACTGTTATTATCTTGCATTCATATCCTTAAAATTTTATATTGATCTCTAAAAGATAAACTCACCGGAATCCTCAAAAAGGGTGGATCTGTTGCATTCTTTCCTAATTTATTCTCTTGATATTGTAGCAATTGGATGACCAACTGGGCCAAACCCTCTTTAGTTGGTGGTTCGGTTTGTACATGCTGTAATGATAAATAATCCAAACTTTTAATAAATCAAGCAATGTACCAATGAGTTAATTTTTGCACTGTTATCTAAATATACTGGACTCATTTTACTCAAATTAAGTTTTCCTCTTATAATTAAGCGAGACAACATCTGTACTACAGTTCTAACTGGACAAACATGTCTTTAACTAAAGTGATTGGATAATTTTATTAGTTCGCATGGAATGTACCTATCGTATTTAAATGCAATGCATATTTAAACATTTTACGAAACACTTTTTAGCTAGGGAGATGAGAATTTCATAAAAAATATTGAATAATATAGTAAGAAAAGGAGTAATTAGAAAAAGGCATAGTTAGTGTTTTAGCAAGTAGCGATTAATAAAAATTGTAACATAACATTGAAATATGTAAATAGTAGTATAATAAAGTGTTAGAATAAGCGTTATTTACCTTTTTGCAGTTCTTCTGCAACCACACACGGATTTGATCAAACTGAGACAAGCTTTCCGGTGCTTGAAAGAATTCCACATTCGGACCCCCATCTTTCTTGGGACCTAAAGTCGTCATCGCCACAAATTGAAACTCGATTAACTATTCGAGCAAGTATTCACTATTTTAATTTAAAACAAGAGAACGAAAGCCACAAATATACAATCCAAAGTATTAAAACACGAAAGCGTCGTTTGCGGTAAGTGATTTTGACATTGACATATGTCATGTTGATATTTTTAAGTTGTCAATTACCACTTATGACATTTTTATTTAATAGAGATAATTTTCATAAATATAATTATCGTAAGCAATATTCAAACAAAAAGATTTAGCTCAGCAATGTTGAATGTAACTACAATTTTATAAGCACTTCTTAATTGCCTTGCAATACTAATATACAATTGACGATAATAACTAAAAGTTAAACCAAGTTGGAGAATAAATTTTTTTGTTTAATAAAATACTGTTTTTGTTTTACGTTGTTTATTAAACATCTAAATCTAGATCAATTTCTTTCAATGCCTAACTGCAGCAACATAACTTGAACTGTATTCCATTTAATTTATAGTCTATAAAACTGCTAGATAATATGGACATGGTCTTATGGAATTTATTAATTGACAAAATAGATACTATACATAACTAATACAGCCACATTTATTGTCTTTGATAACTAAAGAAAGATTCGCATTCATACCTACACCTTGAAAATAAGTTAGTTAATATGTTAAAATGCATTTAATGCTATTTTATAAAGGAATGTTGTAGTCGATATTGTTCAGGAATCGTTTTTCTTTGCGAATCTTTCTTCAACCCCCTAAGGGATAGGTCTATTTAAAATATTGGACATGTGTGCAAATCAGTTAATACAAGCAAATATAAGCATTTACAACGACTAGATGTAACACTTTTAAATATTGATATACATCAATATACATATTAAACCTTGTTTGAATTTGAACTTGTTTCACTAAGATAGAAATTGACTTGAAGAATTGCCATATACATACCGTACCAATGTTAAACATTAAACAGTAATACATAATATAAACGAGATTCTACAAAACAGCTGGTTATTTATAACATGAAACATTGGTGACAATTTGAAAATTAAATTTTCAATTGTCATGCTAAACCTGTAAGCAAAAGTATTAATAATATTGAATAAGTTAGTGTACAGATAACAACTTTAGTTTCCTAGCTATGTCACTACAGCCTGCTTCTAGTAACTCTGATTTATTTTGAAGAGGACTCCTTAATTGAAACAATGGTACTTCAGAGATGGATTATAAAATGCGACTATCGCTTTGAATTGGGATACATACACTACCACAACATCAAACATTCAAAGATTTATTGTCAACACCATAATTGAATTATTATATTTAGTACAATAATCGCGGAATAATAGCAATATGTCACAGATTCAAAATATTATAATAATGAACTGGCAATTTTGTTATAACCTATGCTTTTCAAACGTCTTGTAGTTGGCAATCAAGTAATACTCACATACAAATTTCATCACAAACAATTTGAGGGTAAAATATAGATTATAAATATTTTAGCTGCAACTTAAATATACACACGTTGAGTACCAGGTACTTTAAATATTAAGAAATAAACATAATATGGTAACAATATGTCGCGTTACAGATGTAAGGCCCATGAAATGAGAACTAATGCAAACAAAATGTTTGATGGTCTTCATATTCCATATAAGCCTATATATAAATACATAGGTTAATAGGATAAGGTTTCGTATCCTTATACATAGAATTTCAGTAAATTATAAAGTATGGCATACAAATTAAGCAAGTCAGTACCAGTTCAATGTTTGTGTCTCATTTCATTGACCATACTTTAATATTATTAAAATATCAACATTAACAGAGTAACAAGATAAGCTTTAATATCACTTCAACGCTTAAACTAAAATTTAAAATAAATTGAGCTAATTATAGTAATATTAATTAGACTATTTGACATGTTTTTATAAAAAGCATTTGTGAAAGAGTCGTTGAGTCAATGAAAGCTTTGTAAGAATCTATAAGAGTGCATAGTGAAAATTCTTCAAGAATAAATAAATTTTATATGCATACCTATAATAAGCACAGGGCACAATATTAAAATAATTTAAAAATATTTAACAAAACAACATGTATCAAAATAAATAAGACGTTAGACAAGAACAATCAAAATTTAAATAAATAAACATTTTGTGTAGCATTATTGTGACTTGTAAATTGCTGTGTTAAAAAAACTGGATATTTCATTTTATACGAATTAAATTCATTAAATAGCTGAAAGCTTTCGCGTAATACAAATTAATTTAAACTTGAAATGTTTTTTAGACCATTAAACAATATTTTTTCGTTTTACGATTTTTTTTTCTGATACAAAGCAAAAAATGTCATTATTTCATACATACACGTGTTACGACATAAGATGGCTTCTAGTTATTTTTATAAAATTTAAATTTGGAATAATTACTTTGTTTTAATATTGCCAATTTATTTTACATAACATCTTCTTTGAGTACATCGTAACACTGTATGATAATTAAATGCACTGTTAACTTAATAAAACTTAACGTTTTGTACTAGTGGCAGGTGCCCGTTTACTTGATGCCCAGATAGTTTTCAGCCAGACCCAGATAGTAGATCGTTTGCGCGATACCGAACAACGGCGCTATGACTATCATACGACAGGCACCGCCTTTGAAGAAGGCCGTTGGACCTTCGTATTTCATCGTTTTTCTGAAAAATGTTAAGTTAAAACATGTTACACTTAAAAAACCTCCCTCCCGTCTGTTTCTTAAAAACGTTCACTTCGTTTGCATGTGTTGCTTAATGTTTCTGGTTATTATTATTTTAATGTTATTACTCGTTGCAGATATAAAATCTTTAAAGATGTAACATCTGGTTTTAATTTCCACGTTGAACTCTATCTATCAATACCAAACCTCAAAAAGTTTCTTGCAATACTTTGACAGATTTTCGTGTTCAGAAGAGATATATTTTGTCCATCTTTTTACACTGGTCATTCTATAATTTTCGATTTTGATAAACGAATCCTATTATATGGTGTAGATAAATACATATACTCACGTGATACAGTCCAAGATTGAGGTGTACTGTCGTTCTCCGCTACCCTTAGTGAGTGTCTGCATCCGGGTCTTGACTACGTCGAAGGGATTGACGGCAAGAGCCGCCGTTGACCCTGCGGCACACCCTGATCCGAATGACCACCTGAATGTTAAAGGAAATATGTTTATGAAGAAGCAAACATAGAGACCCTAAACATAACATTATCTTTACCACAAACAATACCATATAAGGGATATGGGACCTTTAAAGGTCAAATGAAAGGTCAAGTTTAACACATAAACAAAAATGATTGATGAGCTTCAGTTATTTAGGATTCCACAGACTGAAACAAAAAAGGCCAGTCTCATATTGACCAAAGTCAAAAAAAGAAAAAATAAACACTCCCACAGTGATTTTTTAAATATTCCTTAAGCACCGTTAAAAGCAATTCTGTGAGAAAACTTAGTGATACCTTTAACATTTCAATTATGAATGAGGAATTATTTTTTATTCTATAGTTTGATTATAAAATTATAACAGTCGAAGTGAGGTTTTTCAACATAACTTTGACATTTACATAAAATGTTGAGTTGCCGATGTAGTGAATCTTACCAGAAGGGCGGTGAAAGAGCCCCGGGCTCCTTAGGTCCTAGATCATTCAAGGTCGCGAACAAGGGGAAGTAGACGATACTAAATGAGATGTCCCTCGCCGCAGTCGCAGTTATGCCCTTGTACAGACCGAAGATGCCCCGCTCCTTGATCAGCTTTCTCGTCAGTTGCATCGCCGTCACTCGCTCGATTTTGCGTCCCTCTGTAGGTGTTTAGTCAGTATCTATATTAAGTTTTTCATCGGAACGATATTACGGGGAAAATTATTAGTGGTTTAAAAATTATTGTGACGTCACCAAGGCGTCGGAAGTTGGTTAAACGAGGGGTCCTGTGTTTTAAACCCAGGGTAACAATAAATTGCTCCAGTCGATCAGGGCACAAAAGTCTGATCAAGTATTTGCCCCTTAAAAGAACGGATCAGTGAAACGAACACAGAAATGTGTTCGCCCCATGCCCCACTGGGAAAAATAAGATTTCGCACAATTGTATTGGCAATTTTGTTTTCATATTTTTAGCAGCCATGTAACATCTCAACAAAATGCGTTGTCGACCTATGTTAGCTTTGGATATTCGGACAAACGCAGACTGAAACTGAAACGCTTGACGGCTTTTTCATCTGTGGATGGTGGTTGGAGATCCGGACGGAATTTCTATATTCCGACCACCCATCTAATATCGAAATTTCCAGACAGAGTTTAACATAAAAAATTATAGAGTAAATATTGAGCATGACTGAGATTGGATCCACGACCTGTCGATTATTAGCAATTGCTAACATTAGACCAACAAGTCAAAATATGATTGATGGCCTCATGGTCATCATATTTTAACACCGACCAGCCTTTGCCTGCGCAGCAACTCTGCCGGCGTCTTGCATCTGAATCTTCAACAGCTCCATGGGAGTTGTTATCACAATTTGGCAAGCGCCCGCGCTGCCGCCGGCTATCATTTGCCGGAAGACCGGCAACGACCTGAAAATTGAATCAATCAATTAAAGATCGATTATAAATTAAAAAAAATTAAGCCTCAGGCAGGTCTTGAAACGGCATCCAGAGCGTTCAGTGCTGTTGCTCTTACGAATTCAGCAACCGTGTGGTACACGTCATCGTCGAGTTTTTTCAATCTATTTAAACATGCACCTTAACATTTGCGGATTAAGGTTCAATGTCCTATGCTTTACAGGTTAAGAAAATTATTGAAGATGAAATTACAATTTGAAAAGTTTAATATTTACAGCTTTATAGTCAAGTGTAGTAAATACACTAGGAATCATGTACTATTAAATCTAGTAGAAAAGTATAAATCTATTCTTTTATTGACTGAACTATACTGATTTTTACTAGTTAAGGCTTATCTTTATTATTCACTGAATGCAGCTCACACAACACATAAATAAGATAGCGTTTGAAATTGGCTAAGGTCTATCGTACACACAATATAAAATATTACTGTTTTGTATTATATTTGTTTAAAGTAGCGAGGCACTTTTCTAATGGTCATAACTGTACTCTAGCTAGCTTTTTACTAGTATATGTGTGTACATATGGGAGTCATCAAATACCAACTACGATAAAACAGATGGCGCTAGCGTAGCAGTTTTTACTTTGACACTAGGGACCTCTTTAGCCCACCCGTGACCACGGCTGCTGCAAAGCTTCCGATGCTTTGCAGCAGCCGTGGTCACGGGTACTTCAGATAGTAGTTAAAATAAATTGTAAATAACTTAACTAAAATATTTCGCGTTTTAAATCGTTAAGAAAAAAACTAGAAAAACATCACAATTAAAATATATGTAAGGCAATTAGATAAATATTTTGAGACACTCAAACCACTCAATAAATATTATATTTATACCATTTATGCGGTCGCTGTTTTAAATTGACTGATCATATTTACTCAAGAATTAATATAGAAAGCCTGTGTCATTTAAGATACTAGATGAAACAAGATTTTTAATTATATTTTAAGATATTTGTTTAAATACTTCAATAAAATACTTGTTATGTAATGCTCGCGAGAAATTCTTCGTTCAGATTCGATGAAAAAGAAAATATCTTATCTACTCGTTTGCCTCGTATTACAACTAATCCACGAGGCGGACATATTTATTATTACAATCATTACCAAATTTTGTTTTCTACATTTAACTGTTGCCTGTGGTATACAGGACATTTGTATAAATCACTTTTAGCGGCGTCAAACGCCAAATGTATTAGTTTATTTCAACCTGACGTATAACAATAATGAGTGTTTGATCTAAATTTGAGATATTTAAAAATTGTGTAATATTTTTTTTACATTTTAAAATATCGAATGGTTTAAATATAAGAATTTTAACGGATTAAAACGCGAAATATATGTTAACGAATTGTTAACCTATTTACAGTTTATTTTAACTACTGCTTGACGTTTCGGATGCCTCTCAGCAGTCGCGGTATTGTTGCTTACGACAGCATATTAATCCGTGATATAAGATTAAAGATAAAATTAGCGGGGCACTGGCCAACATACTACAGCAACTTTGAAACTATAAATAAACTGTCCCCATCGTATTACGCAGTAAAATTGATACCGATACTTCGCGCCTTACAAGCTATAGCTATAGCGATGTAAACTCGTAGGAATATCTTAAATATTAACGAAACATATGCGACAGACATACCTCTGTGGCTATTTTACCAATCGATTTAATAAGCAAATACGCTTCAGTATTCCGGCCAAAACAGTAATTTTACCACTATACGACTTTGAATATTCATGGAATGCATATTTTTTCCAACGTGGAAAAAAATTATATAAACCCCATTTTGGCATCTCATGTTGGTTGAATTTCAACAAATTTAAGAATCATTACAGCGCCTATATAATATAGATAAATATTTTTCTTTGAGACTACACGAATTCTTAAAACAGAGTACTATCATAACAGTTATGAATTGTATTTCATTATATAAATAAAAAAAGCGTCGAATTGCGAATTTCATTTTCTTTTTTTTATTTATCGGTGATATGTAAAATAAAATACATAAAGGCATTTTATAAAACTGAAAAACTTAACGTCTCAGCCCATCTTAAAATTGTCTATAATTGTGACTTTACTTGTTCACACCGCTATATCAGAGATGCCTAGATTAAGTGTTTATAATATAAACAGGTTAACCTTCATTTGTTGGTCTGTAACGATATAACATTATTTGAAACCTGATTTCAAATTTATAATGTGGTGCAACATAGATTATAATATGTATTTATGTAAAAGTAATTAAATTACTAGAAAACCAAATTTATTCACGATCATGGTACACACAAATAATTCTACGGCACGGAACGTTGTGTATGCCGGTTCAAGTTCTGACTGCAATTTATTCAGGCTAAAATCGACTTTTAATTTAAGAATCATTTATTCCTACATATTTTTGCGTTTTTTTAACCCCTTTTAGTAACGCACGCAGGGGAAACTAAATATGAATAATTTTCGCATTTTTTTCTTACATTTCTCTCTGTTTCATAGCTCGTATTGGACGCAGCGTATTGGTGTTTTGTAGCCCTAAGCCTTCTTTAATAAATGTAACGAATTTCTCAATTCGAACCATTAGTTCCCGAGATTAGCGCGTTCAAACAAGTAAAAAAACAAACTACAGATATTAAGTTATCATTGGCGTAACTAGCCGTACAGTGAGGAAACAAGGCCTTGCTTTTATAATAGTGAAAAGATGAGATATAAAACTCTTACCCATCAGGTAATGTCAGATAAAAACGAAACATATCGTTGGCGGCAAGTTTGATGGCTTTCTCCGGAGTGATAAGGATGATGTTGACAGCAGAGCCTCTGTACATACCGAAGTAACCTTCTGCTGCATATGTTTTTCGGAAGCAATCCAACCTGTGGTAATCAATAGTAGTTAAAAATACTTTGTCTTCGATGCAAGGCATGAACTTTGTAATAACCCACGAAAGATAAAACTGTATAGATTTATTGTTCTGTATTTCATATTAATAGGTCAATAGACACAATTAATTGAAGCTGTTAAGTTCTCCAAATGTAAAAAAATATTGAACACCTTACTTACTATACTTCATGTATATATCTATCAGTGAAACTTCAGCCCTGTGCACTAAGAAGTCTTCTATAGGAGATAGATGCTGGTGAGATTGAAAATAAGGCACTTACATGTTCTTATACTGTCTCTCTCCATTTGGTCCAATAGTTTGATTCTGAAGCCGAGTTTTTACTAAGTCCAACGGGAACACCACTGATACACCAATTATGCCAGCGATGCCACCATTTATTATCTTTGGGATTGGGCTAAGAATAATATTATCTGTATTATTATAACTCATAAAACAATAATCGAAAAAAAAACTATTTTATACATTCATTGATACAGATAAAATATACCAAATTTAAAGGTACATAATATTATCAATAGTCAATACTAAGTTTTAGAAACTATATTACAGCAACATTTGAACAATCTATAGAAATACAAAATTTACTAAATGGCATGACCTTCCCAATTAAATTAAATTATTCATGGTGAGTACTTCAATAATCATTGTTAGAAATATGAGAAACATTAACATTATGTCATAACTATAACAGTGACTCCATAATCCAAAAACACAATAAGTGGCTTTATATCTATAATATAATAACTTGAGTCTATTCGGTACAATAGTTTCAACATACATGTGTACATAAATATAAATTTCACAATATTTTACAACTTGGTATCATATAGATAGTGGATGAGATTTTTTAAAATCTAGTATAATTTTTACCATTCAACTTGACATATTTTTAGCAGACACTTTTCATATTGTTTTGCTAGTAAAAAAATATCACAAAGAGATTTAAAAACATTTCATTCCTCTACTGTTTAAGATAAGATAATAAAAAAAGATTAAAAAACTTTTCATCTGAATTGTTTCCAAGTGATGATATCTTAATTTTTGGTACTCACAAAGAAATATTATATATATTTATATAAATGTACTTATTATTTAAACATAATTTTTTTATTTATTTATTTTCTATCAGGGAAAACCCTTGGCAGGACAGGTGATCAGTCCACGTTGTCCGCTGACCATTTCACCCATTTCCCCATTGCTCATTATTTAAACATTACTAAGAATAAATATAATTATTTGAGTTTTATTATTTTAAAGGTAATTTCAATTAATATGTTTTTATTTATTCATTATTATTCATGTAGAACACCCACCCACCCATATTATTTACATCTATAAATACTCTTCACCCATTCCCCTCTGCAGAGACACATTAAATTATAACTTACTTGAATTGTGCTGGTGGAGGAGAAGCCTGTTTACTCATTGTTTTATTTGTTTTTAAACCTGGCAGAAAAAAACACATAACAATTATAATATGTTCACTGGAAACCACACCCTTGTTCTATGTATACCAAATGCTATAATCTACTTTATGGTGTCTGTTTTAAAGGGATAATATATATTAATAATATTCATATATCGTTGTCACAATTTGGCATCCTTAGGGTAATAATTTAAATTTTAAGTAGTTTACAGTAATTAAAATTTGAAAAAATTAAGTTCTTTTGTCGGATATATAGAACTGTGGTTTGTATGAGTTTAAAAATATTGTAAAAAAATTGAAATAACGATAATTAAATATAAATATTAAATTTATAACAATTCGTCTTTTATTAAGAGTAATATATTTTATTTTGTCTTAAATAATACACGCTAAATTAAATAAGAAAAGGATGAGAGGATTATTACGCCTACCTTAGTGCCTAATTTAAACGAAATTTTAATTGTAATTTAAACCCAAATCGGGCTGATATGGAGGTTTAACATTTAATGTTAATATTATTATTTGTGAAAAATTCTTTTACGTAATATTTAATCGATGTTACTTGCCTGTGTGCGATTTTTTACAATAGAAAATTCAGGACACTTAATAAATTTTGAAATCAATAAGAACTCATTGCAATTATTGTAGAAAAGTCAAGAAAAACCGAAATTAAAATCAACTGGTTTTACACGGGTGACCGGAAGAATTTTAGATTTTTGGTCTTTGACAGTTCGATCAGAGTGACATCTTTTGACATATAAAAATTGACATCTTATTGACATTATTGAAACATTTTTTTTTACATGACAATGGATGCTAGTCTTTTAGACGTATTTTTTATAAGTAGAGTGGAGCGTCGATTATCCGAAAGTCGCTTAACGGAATGACCGCTTATCCGAACAGTAGTAAACCGCGGGGTTAACGATCCCCGACCTAAATGATAGATATGCTAAAAAATATCGATTGACACGAATGCGATGAAGGTTCAACAATGGCTGGATTTCGGAAATTTTGACCTCATGACTAATGTGGCTGACCCCACCGCTAGCACCACATCAACTACAAGTTCAGATAATGAAGATGAAAACGTAGTGAGTGCTTCTGAAGCATTTACTGGCTAAGATATTGCCTTGCGTTGGTTTGAAACACAGGATGAAAGCGACTAGTATCAAATATCTGTTTTAAAAAAAGTACGTGATCTGGTCGCTCGTAAGCGGGTAGGCATGCTTCGGCAGACGAAATTTCGAAATTTTTTTAAAGCTTTAATGGTACCTACCTAGTACACATGTTTTACTATAAGATTACATATATGCACCTTTTTTGTTTATTTCATATTTGTCATTAAAGATATATGTAAATGTAATCATGGTTTTCATTTACCTGTACGTAAATATGTATGTCTGAATCAATATACACCTATATGTATATTGATTCAGTTCAAGTATCCCAAAAATATCGGTTTTCCTAACACATACGTCGCCTAATTACTTCGGATAATCGACACTCTACTGTATTACATTTAAAATTTTATAACGTAGGCAATTAACAGACCTACAGATATTCTTAATAGTGATCATCATATTTTGCAATAATGCATATCATTTGAAAGCATCTAGCGAGGCTGTTCTTCTGCTTAATTTTTTTTTTTTTTGCTATTTACAAAAATATCATTTATTAGTAAAATTCTCCGAATATTGAACTTCAAATAAACACTGTTAACCACCAGGCCACCACGTCGGTCACATCCCTTTCCATCGTTCTTACATGTTAATCTTAAAAGAAGAACATCTTCATAGGGGACTTTTTAGATAATTTATAGAGAAATCGTTTTTGCAGCGTACGCCTCGGTAGCCCATAATAATGAATAATTTTCGCAACTTTTCTTACATTTCCCGCTATATCTTCGCTTGTGTTAGTCACAGGGCGATGCTTTTTTTTATCAAAATATGACCTTCCTGGATAAATGCTCAAACCAAAACAAAAATATTTTTTCAATTCAAACCCCTAGTTCTTGAGATTAGCGCGCTTAAACAAACAAACAAACTCTTCAGCTTTATATATGGTTTATAACATGCTTTGGTTTTAAGTACATTTTTATATTTTCATCTTGATTCACTGCGAAACACGCACTTTATAATTATATATAAATCGAAATACATTTAATTTTATTTGTATTGTTGATTTTGTTACCTCGGTAGGTTCGAATAAAAATAAACATAGGCTTATAGTTATTTAAAAAATGAATGACGGGTAAAGATTTATTTTGTACATTTTATGTAAGGTGGAAGTAAACGTAACAAAACATTGTTGAAAGGGATAGTGCTTGCAATAATAACATAAATGCTTTTTAATCATTTTCGTTATTATAGGTTCGAATTAAAGTAATTTTGGTTCATGTTAGGTACAACCCCTTCCTTCACTAACACTTCCGTATTTGATGATATAAAAGTTATCTTCATGATTCGTTCGATATCATTACACTCTAGTTTATTTGAACAGACGAATCCATATCAGAGGAATTAAGATGGGCTTTTTTAAGTTGGTAAGTTTTAAAAACACCTGCTTGAATTGATATATTTACGGTTTAAAACCTAAGACCTCGATATACTTGGCTTTATCAGTGACACGTTCGGGTTTAAACATTTTTGTAATATTCGTCATTCCGTTCCAGAGTTTGGCCGTTTGCGTTTTTGTCGCAGTAACACAGGGTAAGCAGAACGAGAAGAGAAGTGCATCTGGATGGGATGTAGCTGGTTTGATTCCCGTGGGCAGCTTAATTCATGTGTCCACTGCAAATGGGGTTGGACACAGCGTTAGTGGTAAGAACTTAATTGCGATTTATAAAATATTATACAATAATAGATTATATAAAATACCCTCTGTTATAAATTTAATACAGCCACTAGGTACTGTATACTGTTTTAATCCAAAAATGTAAAAAATGCTAAAAGTATAGGATGATCCGTGGTATACTTTTAAATTTGTAACGCCTAGTATCCTGACCTCTGCAATACATCCAAACATCTATCAAAGACAATTGCTATTATATAACAATAACGCATGATTCTACTTCCATTAGATCCGAGCTCAGATGTGGCGGGTGCTATTGCTGCAGCGAAAGCGGCAGCGTCCGCTGTCATGGCGGCACAGCGACAAGTCGCTGCTGCGAAACACGCAGCGTTGGAGCATCAAAGCTTCGCGAGTGCGAAGGAGGCTGAAGCGGCCCACGCTGCTCACAGAAGGTAAAGAAGTTATTTAATATTTAGGGACAATTAAAAATATATCTTAGCGTTAGGCACTGGTAATATAAATGTGTAATTATTTTCTTTCCTGTTTTAAAAGTATCCTTTAAATAAAACGCCTTAGCGGTTTAAAACGCTATATATATTAGTTAAATTTATTTAAAAAATATTTTAACTACGGCCCGACGTTTCAGATTAAAATTATCTTCCAAAGTCTTCGCAGTCTCTCGTGATATTTTTATTGACAAAGCAAGGACGCAATTATAATTGTCATTCTTTTTTTTTGCAGTGAAGAAGCTGCCCGCGTAGCTAGAGCTCACGCTCTCGAAGCAGCGCAGGCGGCAGTACATGCTCAAGCGCAACTGGCTTCGGCAAAGGCACGTGCTGCTACTGCACAGAAAATTGCTGCAGCACGCGAAGCAGCTGCCGCTAGAGCGATACAGCGCGCTGCTAACAATCAGGCGGCGAGGCTGCAAAGTGCCGGTAATAAGTAGCTTAAAAATAAAGTTTTTAAGACTATAACCAAGCTATGAATATAGTATGATATCTACTCGTTATCAGATGAAATATACTCACTATTATAGAATATTTATTCCATCCACTCTTTATACAAAGAAACTACGTCTTAGGGAAACTTTCCTCATTAAGACATTGTAAGTATCAAAGTAAAAATGTATAGCCATACCCAATCATAGATGTTTATTTTGTTTTTATTTTTGCAAAACGCATGGTCTTTCCTAATAGATCTTGAAGCACTGAAGCTTTCCGTGCTGCAAAGTTCAGGAGCTGCAGGTGCAGCTGGTGCAGCACAACATGCTGCTACATCTGCTGCTGCTGCTCTACGCCCATCATGGAACCCAGGCTGGCCGGCGGCTGATTGGACACCGACTTCTGGTCCTTGGGCGTGGTCTTAAATCGATTTATTCGCGACTCGTGTGAAAAATAGAATGGCATTGATAAACATAATCTGTTAAGTTTTAAGAAATTTGTATAGTTTAGGGATATAACTTTTTATATTGTTACTTTATAGATAAGTTACTTTTAGTTTTTGATATCATCTTTTGTATTGTTGATGTTAATAATAAAATGACACGAGCAGTATTTTATATTTTTCTTTATTAAATATTACGATTCACACAAAATATAACCAGAACATTTATAACGCTCAATAATTAGGAATGAAATATTCTAATCGATCCCATCCGAATATCCAAAGTCAAAAAGTAAGGATTCCTATATAAATAAATAAAAATAGGTGGAATCTTGCTCAGATGTTAGCTGGGGTAATTCGCCTTCCATCGAGGGCTTGTCTGTCGTTCTCTACCTATATTTAAAAAAAGTGGTACACGCCTTCCTATATACCTAAGGGTATATAACCAAGTGTGTCAAACAAAACAGCATCAACCACCATAATTATTACCTACGTGTAGCTATTTAGATAAAAAATATTCAAAATTATCAGTACGGAAAATATTAGGGCGTATTTGTTTAAAATATATGTATAGTTTAGGGATTGATTTATCCATCTACGCGTGCGTGGTTACCATAGCAACCTAAGATTGTGCTCCATCTACCGTTACACTTCAGCATCCCGCCTGTTTTTGTTACGTAAAAATCTCTGTTTTACTTTACAGTCAAATGTTTTTAAACTTACAAATGGGATTCGCAGTGTAGGATATAAGGAATCGTAAGTAAATTTTCAAATACTGGCTTATAATTTCCAAACATACTTAATATAAGTAAATGGGGCGGTAGCTGTTGACCATCTTTATTTATATAAAATAATAAAAAAATAATACATTCTTATAATTAAACAATTTTTATATTTAAATTTCGTTCATGCTTGTTCAACTCTCTTTTACATTTATAAAGTCTACGATACTTATTTTTTTATTACATATTTGTGATTTGTAGGTTTAAATGTGATATATTTATTAATGTAAACATTCTACTAACTCTACTACTGTACTACTTAAAATGAAAAACGGCGTTGTACTTACGTATAAGTATTGTATATTTGTATTTTTTTGTTTAATTATGTATGGTATCAATGATTGAATTAGATAAATAAGGTTTTTCAAAATCGAGGAGGATATACAGGCATGGGGTTTTCTTGTAATGTGAAATACCTCAGCCAAATACATCTCACCAAGATGCGCTGTCGGCCTATGGATATTTTGGCTGATGGCTATTTTGGATATTCGGAATTATATGGATTTTTTGTATTTTTAGATTTCATCATGTGGTCTCAACTAATGCTGGTGGTCTTTTGTTGGAGATTGGTGAACGCTGATATAGATAGACGTCGTAACTCAAACCCGACCTATTACAATGTCGGTGGAGTACTTTCAAGTAATGAGTCGATTGCTTTCTTCAAAGATACAATCTCGGTATGTTTAAACATAAGTATTGTCTATAGTTTACGTGAGCAATACACTTTTAAATAAAACACATTAAACAGTTTAAAACGTCAAACATTTTTATCTTTATATGTATATACATATTTTATAAGTTTAATTAAGTAGTTAATGTGTTTCGCGCATCTTGCACATTGTCTAGTCTATTAAGTTTCTTTCTACGGGTTGCCTGGAAGAGATCGCTTATATCGATAAGGCCGCCCGGTACACTATAGTTGTAAAATTTTATTATGTATCTTGTGTGTACCAAAGAGTAAAATAAATAGATATTTGTTAACTTATTTACAATATATTTTAAAATTGGTCACGAGGATGATGGAGAGTCGTTTTCTATTCCAAAACATCTGTTAAAATTCTAAATAAATTAACTCACATATTACACGTTTTAAACCGTTAAAGTGTTTAATTTAAAAGTTTAATACATTATAAATAACTTGTACCCACCTGGTATATATGAGTAAAATTAAATAAAAGTGGTAGTCAGATTTGCACACAAAAGGGTGTTATTGCTTACCAACACAAAATTCATATTGTAACCTTTTGTTAATCACAAGTGCCTACCTGTTACCATTTATAGACAGCGACAAAATTTACGATGTTTAAAATATTAAAATACAACAGAGTAAATACTGTCTGTAGTTTACGCGCGTAGTACATATTTATATTAAACACTTTATGCCGTGGTCACGGGCAAACGGCTGCTGTAAAGCATCCGAAACGACGGACTATAGTTAAAATAAATCTCGTGTTAATGTTATTTCCAGAATCTGAATTTCAAGGACAAGTACGTCCCACGTGGTGTCACATACCACGATTACTCAATTTTGATGGACCCTAATCCGATAATGACCGCTCTCAACGTTTGTAAGGATCTCATTGCTCATAGGGTAAGTAAAGAGTATGAGTATCACACAGTATCTAATTCACTTCGGTTTTGGGGCTTAATATATGGCTGTTGAAGTTTCGCCATCATAAGTGTATTATTCTAGGTTAGGAAACACTAGGGCACACTAGATTAGGTCATTATAAGAAGATGTTGCGTCAATATCGACTTAACGAAGACGAAACAGCTCGAAAATCTAAGTAGCTTTGTAAAACGTTACGAAAGCCTTACACAATGTATGTCGCAAATGTTAAGTAATAATAACGAAATAATAAGTAGTTATTTTATGACCTATACTTTTATTAACTTACTAGCTGTGTGAGCTACTTCGTCCGAACTGAAGTCGGGAGCGTAATGTTCTATAGTTTGGTTATCTTGAACCGTCACAGCGTAGGTACGCGACGGAAACACCGTCTTCCTGGATACATTTTTTAACCAACACAAAAAAAAATCGATTACGACCAGTAGTGCCTGAGATTAGCGCGTTCAAAGAAACGAACAAAGAAAAAATCTCTTCACCTATATTTAATAGTATAGATAATACCTTTTTATACTAAGTACATATTTCCTATTATAGGTTTACGCTGTTGTCGTATCCCATCCAATAACCGGTGACCTCTCACCTGCTGCTGTCTCCTACACCAGCGGGTTCTATCACATACCAGTGATTGGCATTTCTTCAAGAGATTCAGCATTCTCCGATAAGAATATTCACGTTTCGTTCCTCCGGACCGTACCGCCATATTCGCACCAAGCTGACGTATGGGTGGATGTACTGAAACATTTTAATTACATGAAAGTTATTGTGATTCATAGTTCTGATACAGATGGCAGAGCGATTTTGGGAAGGTAAATACTTTATCGAACTTTAGCCTTAGAAAATGTTAGTAAAGCAATTTTTCCACGCAAACGAAGTCGCGAGTCAAGGCAGCAACATGTTAATATATTAAAACCTCACAATTATATTCACAAAACTGGTATGGTGGAAAATGCAAGAAAAAGTTGATGGATTGGACGATACTAATAAATGACAATGATAAAAAATCCAATCCTAACACTTCTTCTGTATGAGAACCGTGTATAAAATAATATAAAATCTGCTTCTAGGTTTCAAACGACATCCCAAAGCGTTGACGAAGATGTAGATAGGAAGGTGGTGGTGGAACAGGTAATAGAATTTGAGCCAGGCTTGGATTCCTTCAACGAGAAACTTATAGACGTAAGAAGCGCGCAGGCGCGAGTTTTTCTAATGTATGCAAGGTAAGATGGAGTTTTGAAAATTCTAATATTTTTCACATGTTATTGCACATGATGGCACTATATAAATTAAAAACCGATTTCAATTGATCAAAATAATTTTTAATTGCTGAATATGGAGACGATAGCTCAATTGGTTTCAGGAACAACACGGTTAGCGGTCGATGCTGGTTCAAGTCCTGCCCGTGTCGTAAAATTTTTCAATCTAGGATCGATTTTGAAAGTAATTTTTGCATATATGCATTTGGCTTAACGTGGGCCGTGAACTAGTTCACTAGTTTATGGTATCTTCAGGAAATTTAAGCGTTTCTCTACGCATTAAAGACTGATGATTTTGACGACCTACACAATTACGATTGTCGAAGTATACATAACACCAAGTACCATTGTAACAATGGCCGCGAAAGCCTTACTACTACCTACACTAAATAACGTTTCTTATCGAGAGCCATAGGCTAGTACATAGCAAAACGAAGATAACAGATCTAATCAATTATTATCTTAACAGTAAAACAGACGCCGAGATAATATTTCGCGACGCAACTTACATGAATATGACTACAACAGGCTACGTATGGATGGTCACTGAACAGGCCTTGGATGCAGCCAATGCTCCTGAGGGACTTTTAGGACTCAGACTGGTTAACGCCACTAACGAACATGCCCACATACAGGATTCTATGTAAGAACTAATATTAGGCCCATAAAATCTTTCACTGACTGAATGAATAAGGACTATTAATTCAGGCAGAGTAAAACATTTGTAACCGTTTTAAATGTAATCTATTAGTCTCAAAAGAAATCACTACATATTGAAACCTCGAGAAAAAATAACTACGTGTTACAGTCCAATTGATTTAAATTATTTTTATTTACTATTGTAAAGCAATCTATAGCGCTGTATAACGCGACGTATGTGTTTAATATAATTACGCAATCATATTACATTTTTGTAATTTAGGTCGTATTAATTCATATTTTTTAAATTTAATTATTATTTTACAAAAAGTTTGCACAATTCACAATTCTCATTGGTTTATTAAAACCTTTCGAAACTTTAGCTAAAGGGAACAGACTGAAAAAGGTTGTGCGGTTTTCAGCATTTAGCTGAGTCTGAATCCCGATGTGCCATCAAAATTTAAGTCTTAGGAATTCAGCTTTACATGTAGGTACTGTTTGTTTTATTATTTTTTATTGCAACATGTGCTTTCTTGTTTCTAACTAAACTTAAAATAAGTTGTTTTCATCCTTCCTATTACTATTGGTTAAAGTTACTTTGCCTATAAAGAGAAGTCTCCGCTTCTTTCAGCTACGTTCTAGCCTCAGCCATTCGTGAAATGAATAAAACTGAGGAGATCAACGCTCCACCCTCTGATTGCGACAACTCTGGTTCCATCTGGCAGACGGGCCAGGTCCTTTTCGATTATATTAGGAAGCAACGGCTGGAGAGCGGAGCAACTGGCCATGTAGCTTTTGACGACCATGGTGATAGGGTACATGCTGAATACGACATGGTCAATGTCAGAGCCCAGGGCGAACACGTCGCTGTGGGGAAATATTTTTATTCTAAGGTTATATTTTAATTTAACCATTTCACGCTCAAGGGAAATATTTTTCCTTATAGAAAATCGTTATCGATTATTCAATTATTATTGATCCGATATTTTTTTGATGTCCCTGCTATGTTTTTCTAGTGATATTTTCTATCTTTATACCCAAAATAACTAAAATATTGTTATATGTTAATTATATGTATTAAATTTGTTATAAATATTGTTATATTATATGTGTTGTGTTCGCATATATAGACTCAGCCATTTTATGTTACTGTAAGGGTAAAGTTATGTATCTTAGTTACTCAAGAAACGGACAAGCGTGCTTTACTTGTAACAAATCTAAAACAATAATTAATTTTGAGATATATATTTCAATCTGCGATGTTATTACAGGAAACACAAAAAATGCGTTTGGAACTAAAAGAGCACGAAATAATATGGATGGGACGGAGTTCCTCAAAGCCTGAAGGTTTTATGATACCCACCCATTTAAAGGTAATAAGTTCATGAACATATTTTCTCTGCGATATAAAATAACATAGATTTTTGTATAGGTTCTAACTATAGAAGAAAAGCCATTTGTGTATGCACGTCGGGTTGAGGATATTTTTGATTGTACAACTGAAGAAATTCCATGTCCCCATTTCAATGTTAGTGACGAAGCGGGTAAGTTAAGCAGTGAATTACATAATTATGAGGGTGCTAGGGGGAGAGTGGCCTAATAAAAAACACGATTTCCAATAAGAAGGAAAATAATAATGCCCAATTAACTTAGGCGAAAATAAATTTGTATTATTATTTGTCGAAAAATAATGTTAACAGTTTTCTGTCACTGTGCTCTTGTAGATTAACATTTTACATTAAGGAATATAAATAATTCAAGTCTAAAAGGCTACTCTTCCTCTCATACAGATAATTAAATAGCTACTTAAATTCTTGTAAAAAAAACTGAATTGTGTTTTAAACAGTTACTTTTAAGTGTTTCCGTAAACATTCTTTTCTTTCATCTTGGGTTGCCTCGAAACAGATCGCTTGTTAGCGATACGCCCGCCCATTGCACTCAGTATTTTTAGTGTATACGTCTCGTTTGTATTTTTTTCTTTTGTGCAATAAAGTGTTAATAAATAAATAATTTAACGCATTTACAATTTGTTACAGATCAAATGTATTGTTGTAAAGGCTTCTGCATGGATCTGCTAACTTATTTATCGCGGGCAATAAATTTCACATTTTCATTAGCACTGTCACCAGATGGGCAGTTTGGTTCTTACGTGTTCAAGAATCTTTCTCAACCAGGCTCGAAAAAGGAATGGACTGGACTTATTGGTAATTTATTTCTATGGGTAATGGAATATCTAATCCCCGTTGTTAATAAAAACATGTTAAAAAAAGCCGGACAGAGTTTCTTGGGCGTTCTTCTCAGTTATGTATTGCTCTTTTGATGCGACAAACAGATAAACAAAAAAAAAAATTTTGACGAATCTAAATAATTTTTAAAATTTTAAAGAGAATAAAGTATATTTTATTTTATTTATTTTTATTTTTTTTTAAACTAATACCTTTAGCGCTAAACAGTAGGCATGCATATAAACAACTAACTGTTACCCACGACGTCGTCCGCATCCCGTTGTTGCAATTATATCGTAAAGATGGACGTATACTTTCGCGGACATTTTTTGAGGTCATTTAAAAGGAAATCATTTTTCATACAGAGTTTTTTTTTTGTTTCTTGAACCGTTTTTACAGCGCACACAACGAAGGCTCTCAAAATCTATTTTCCAATGTTTCTACGCTCCAGCCTAAAGTCATCCTCGATAAATGTTCTATGCAACACAAAATTTTCAATTCGAACCTGTACTTCCTGAGATTAGGGCGTTCAAACAAACAAACTCTTCTGTTTTATAATACTACGTATAGATTCGATCTTAATTTAGAATGATTCTATCCGTTACGTTACAGGTGAACTCGTCTACGAGCGAGCTGACATGATTGTGGCGCCATTAACTATAAACCCAGAAAGAGCTGAGTTTATTGAATTCAGTAAACCGTTCAAATACCAAGGCATTACGATTTTGGAAAAGAAAGTACGAATGTTACTAAAGCACTTAAAATACGATTATTAATATTAAATCAGTTTTGAAGCGATCAACTGTGCTTCTCAAGTGACCTGTCGCGTTTTACCAGTGTTTGATTTTTTTTAATGTTTCCTAAATTAATTTTTGTAAGCTGTACATCTATAAAAGCTAATCGAATGGAAGTTGCATAAATGCGTGAACACATTTCAGAATCCATTTCACTGATCGATTTTTATATACAGGCAAGTAGTTGATCAGTATACTGTGGTCTGCCCACCGAAACAATCTATTGATTTTCCGGGATTCGAACCTAGGACCTCTCTCGCTTTACGCAATGCTAGGCGGAGAAGGAACTTATGGAACGGAAGATGAATGTATTTTTAAGGGATTATAATAATAATAATTCTTTAATCAGGTACAAACCCACATCTTACAAATATGTCATATAAAAAATGAGAAAAATAATAATAATACTAATTAGTTAATATTACTGTTTATTTGCGGTTGCTGTCAGCGTGCACTTTTGCCCAGTTCCTTAAAATGGGATTGCTTAGGTACTCGGAGAAAGTTTGCACTATGAGATTCGGTGATGTGTTAACGCGACTCCAAAATGATGCGACCCTCGATCTTACGATCGCGTAAAAGTCCGATACCCTTGCCTCGGCGAACATGCCGGACGCACTGCAAAACCTCGGAAGCCCCATTAAAATACGAAAGGCATCATTATACTGAACTCATCACATCATTATACTGAATTATGTTATATAATTCATTCTTCTGTTTTCAGCCATCAAGATCTTCGACGCTGGTGTCTTTCTTGCAACCGTTCTCGAATACTCTTTGGATTCTAGTAATGGTGTCTGTACACGTTGTGGCGCTGGTTCTTTACCTGCTCGATAGGTTTTCTCCATTTGGCCGCTTTAAGTTGGCCAATATAGACGGGACTGAAGAAGATGCACTTAATTTGTCTAGCGCTATTTGGTTTGCTTGGGGAGTTCTACTTAACAGTGGTATCGGAGAAGGCAAGTATATTTTGATGTTTTCTAAATTACAACCATGCCTACTACAAGAGTCGGTCTTAGTGTAAGATAGGAATTAATAAATGGTGGATCCAGGGGAGGGAGGGAGGTTCATGATAGAGCTGAGCTCGTTTCAGAATAAATAAATATTTTTATCTACTGTAAAAGTGTTTAATAAAACACTTTACCGGTTTGAAATGCAAAATATATTAGTTAAACTAATTTACAAATTATTTTAACTACGGCGCGACGTTATGGATGCTTTGCAGCAACCGTGGTCATGGCGTCTAAATACTATATTTAGCGTATAAATCGTTAAGGTGTTTTATATGAATGTGTTCTACTTGCGTAATCTACAAACAGTATTTGTATCTATTGTCATCAATATTAAATAAGTTCTTGACTTGACCACGTCTATGTGACCCGACGCCAAAGCTGGATCCGCCCTTGGTATTAATCTTGTTTATAACTACTACTTACAATTAGAAACAATAATATTTTACAGCCAAATGAACGGTCACGAATTGTCAAAAAGTTAGTCCCTATACTATTTAATAACTGATTTTTATGGTTTTATAACAGGGACCCCTCGCAGTTTCTCAGCTCGAGTCTTAGGTATGGTGTGGGCTGGTTTTGCCATGATAATCGTCGCATCTTACACAGCTAACTTAGCTGCTTTTCTTGTGCTCGAAAGGCCGAAAACTAAGTTGAGCGGTATTAATGACGCAAGGGTAAGAGACAATTAGCTGTGATTAATTTTGTTGATCACACATCTATAAGCCGAACAGTTTGTTTGTTTGAACGCGCGAATCTCAGATACTACTGATCGGAATTGACAAATTAGTTCCGTGTTGGTAAGAACATATAACGAGGAAGGAATAACATCAAAGAATCAATGAGAAAATAAGAAAAAATATTCGTCTTTGTTTCCGTTGCGTACGCTGCGAAAATGGTTCAAGATACCCAAAAATATGTATGAAATAATTCCTCTTTAAATGATCTAAATAAATGTCTGCGACATTATATACATATCTTTTAAAAATAACCCGCAAGATCGACGGGACGCGACCAACGTCGTGGACAGTAGCATAAATTAATAAAGATGGAGAGGTTTGCAAAAACAAATTTGGATGCCCTAAATAACTATTCTACGCGGACAAAGTAGCTGACACAACTCCACATTTATTAAATAAAATACTTCTTTTTTAGCTTCGTAACACAATGGAGAATTTAACTTGCGCGACTGTAAAGGGATCGGCTGTGGATATGTACTTTCGGAGACAGGTTGAACTTTCTAACATGTACCGAACGATGGAAGCTAATAATTACGATAATGCCGAACAAGCGATACAGGATGTGAAGGACGGGTAAGAATTTCAAATAATAACAAGATTGCCGAAAGATATTCCATACGTTTTTCTTCATATAATACTTTGGCGTTACTAATTACTTCCACCAACTTCACGCTTGTCTTTTTATGATAGAGTAGGACAGCAAGCATGGGGTTCCCATGATGGCCGGCGAAATACCTTAGCTATATAACATCTAAACACGATGTGCCGTCGACCTATTTTGGCCTTGTTATATTTAGAAATCCAAAGACTGAAACCAAAACGCGATTTAACCGGACGACTTTCGATATTCCCACCACCAATATCCAGGTTCCCAGACAAAGTCCAACATGTTTAAGAAAAGTTGTAAATAAATTAGAAATATGTAAGGATATCGAACCCACGATCCGTTGTTTATTAGTCATACATTACTAAAGTTGTCCGTCTTCTCTTTGCGTAATTAATAATTAATATAATCTTTACGTTTCCAATTTGCAGAAAGTTAATGGCATTCATATGGGATTCCTCTCGACTAGAATTTGAGGCGGCTCAAGATTGTGAATTGGTCACCGCTGGGGAACTCTTTGGGAGATCTGGTTATGGTGTGGGCTTGCAGAAGGGATCTCCTTGGGCGGATTTGGTGACGCTGGCAATTCTAGACTTTCATGAAAGTAAGTCTTTAGAGTATATGAAATATAAAATATATGTTTTGAAAGTAGGAGGGGATTAAAAAATAATCTTTTGTTTCCAGGTGGCATAATGGAATCTTTCGATAACAAATGGATTCTACAAAACAACATGTTGAACTGCGAAGAAAACGAAAAAACTCCAAACACATTGGGCTTGAAGAACATGGCCGGCGTATTCATCTTAGTGTTAGCCGGCATTATAGGTGGGATAGTCCTGATCGTTATCGAGGTCGTCTACAAGAAGCACCAGATAAAGAAACAGAAGCGGATGGAGATAGCTCGCCACGCGGCAGACAGGTGGCGTGGCGCAGTCGAGGTAAATCGAACAAAACTCGGAGTCATATCAGTGGAGATAGACGCCGCCTTCGAAAAAACCCAACTCGAATCCAAAATCTGAACCGCGACCGACGTTTTGATATAAATACGCCAAATACATATATTCTTGTTACGATTTCACAATAAATTATCTATCACGTTCATTTAGTTTTTAATTTCATGTAGTAGACGCTGCTTAAGGACCATTTTCGTCAGACAGCTTCGTAAGTACACTGACGTATTTACAGTAAATGAAATAAACGTGGAATAACTTGTTTTTGTTTTTAGAAGCGGAAGACGTTGAGAGCGGCCATTTTACCGTCGCAGCGGCGAGCCAAGTCTAACGGTTTGAAGGAGGCCGGCACCATAAGCCTCGTCGTGGATAGAGGAGCGAGAAGAAGGGATGAGTTACCGCGTATACCCCGGTATAGTCCGGCCTACACCCCGGACGTGTCACATTTAGTGATTTAATTGTTATAACTAAATAACTACTCAAATGTTTCTGTAGATGTCCGTAGACACTAGCCGTGTTACTAAACTGCATAGTCTTGAATATAGATTATTAATAATTATAGTCATACACAAAAAATATTAAAAACTAAATTATTCTACATAACTGTTATGTCTAAGACTGGTGTGTATTAATGAGTATTGTCCATTATTTGTGCTCAATAGTTTCAGGCCTACTAAGTAGTTTATATTTCGTATTTAAATGTTATAAATAATTCCTAATACAAAGTTTTATCTAACTTGTATTGAGTGGCTACATTTTTATGTAGTTCTGTAGTTACCCAAAACAAACAATTACCTATTCTATGTGTGGTGCTTCAATAAAGAAAAGGATATCTATTATAAAAAGGATGTCTATTATAAGGATATATGTGTCAGTTGCGTTGTTGCTCTAGTATTTTTGAAGATTTGGTTATTTTATTTATAGTACAATTAAATTTGGTCCGATGTTTATTGTGTAAAAAAAAAAACTATTAAAATTGACATATACAAAATTACGTCTTTGCTTTTAACTTAGCATTCAATCCATTTTTTTCCTTTTTCACCAAAGTTAAAAGTTTTACTGCTTTTTATTTTGAGTAAGAATGCAATGGAAGAATCTCGATGTTGTTTTCTGTAACAAATGTGAGAGAACCTCGAGGGTACTTGCTTGAAGCCCTTGAACTGTTTAAAAAAAATGCACTGCAGTCTGCAGTAGTTTTAACGTAATCATCAGACACTCTGTAGTTGTCTGTGGCATGCGCTTTTGTATTGTCAATGTCAAAACTCTTTTTCATTATCTACAATAGATAAGACTTAAGAGATATACGTGATACTACCCTGATTACTTTCATATAAAAATTTATGATATCACTATCAAACATTTATTGAATGAGCAACTTACGGATTATGCTATATACGTATTATTTTAATAAATAATTTGAGCGCGAACGAATAAGACAATTACTAAAATGGGAATTAAACCTGTAACACATGTCCTTTTTGATATGGATGGACTTTTATTGAGTAAGATTATTTTCTTATAATCTTAAAAACAGTTAAGGCTACTGCTATAAAATTTAATCGATTGCAGACACTGAGGATCTATATACGGAGCTCTTTCAAAATATTGTGTCCAAGTATGGTAAAAACTATACTTTTGATTTGAAGATGAAATTAATGGGAAGCCAAGCCCATGAAACTGCTGAAATTATCACTTCTGAACTTGACCTTCCAATGACACCAGAAGAATTTCAGCAAGAGTGTCAGAAAGGGGAATCTCTATTTGCAAATTGCAAGCTTATGCCTGGTAATCTTTTACTTTTGCACCTCTGGCTTGATACCACATTGCTTATACATTTTCCTAAAATTGTATATAATATTGTTGTTTTTGTTTTACAGGAGCAAAAAGCCTAATTGAACATTTGCATAAACATAATGTACCCATGGCTTTAGCCACTAGTTCTGGTGAAGACAGTTACCATTTAAAAGTTGATAAGAACCATTCCGAAATATTTTCTTTGTTTCCTTACAAGACATTTGGATCATCAGATCCAACAGTGAAACAAGGGAAACCACATCCAGACATATTTTTAGTAACAGCTGCAAAATTTCCTGAAAGGCCAGCACCAGAAAAAGTATATAATATAATCTTGAATTCTTGTTATCAAATTAAGAACACAATAGTAATGATACGAAAAATATTATTTGCTAACTTCATAGCAATAAATAATTAATTAAATATTTAATAGCCATTAAGTTTTAATATATGGTTTACATTTTTGTTCGCTATGACACTTGTATTTAGTTATTTATTATAAAAATGTTATTCAAGAAAGCCCAACATTATTAAATTTGTAATTTAAACATATAATATTGGATGTTGTTTTTCTGAAGTAAAGTTTTCTTATCTTTCAGTGTTTAGTGCTAGAAGATGCAGTCAACGGTGTTAAATCGGCTGTGGCAGCTGGTATGCAGGTAGTGGTTGTTCCTGACACTCGGATAGACAAAGCTCTACTTACAGAGGCCACACAAATACTGAATTCTCTGGAAGAATTCAAGCCAGAACTTTTTGGTTTACCACCATTTGATGATTAAACATCATGGTATTCTAAAGCTAAAAGCATCCATGATATGATTCCTGTTACTGTTTAATGGAGACATTTTATAAATTTAAATAAGTAAATAAAATACTTTGTGTCTAGTCACAAATATTATTTAATAGACTATTTTGTAAACATGTACAAGTTATAATTTATATTAGAAATGTGTTTCTAATACAAAAAAGGTTGCTGTGATTTTTTAAGTAAAGTGCAAACTTTCCAGTATGACTTAAATAGAAACCAAAAGTTTTATCTAATAATATATATGTTTCATTTTTAATGTTTTATTTAAACTTTTAATGACAGACATCTTATTTCAAATCTATCAATAGTCCAGCTTTAAATATTGACATAAAATGTATGAAGTACTAGTTGTGCCCGCGACTTCGTCCGCGTGGAATGGTGACTTGGGGTAGAATTTTTAATTATGTAGGCGGTTTATTAATTTATGTAAGGGCACATTTAAGGCAGCCAATCTATGGTAAGTGCTACTTTGCCGCAACACTCACCTCACATCACTCACCTCACATCACTCCCACTCTCATTCCTACTTATTCCCAAAAAACCAAAGAAAAAAGTTTCATTGTTCTAGCTTCAAAAACCACGAATTTCCATACAAACTATCAACCCTTTTTTGGCATTAAAAGTCTATGTTATTTCTCAGGTTCTAAAATATATGTGTACCAAATTTCATTTAAATCAGTTCTGTAGTTTCTGAGTGAAAGCCGGACAGACAGACAGAGTTACTTTCGCATTTATAATATTAGTATAGATTATTATAGTACAAATTTTGAAAATGCTATTAGATAAAGAGAGATGTGTTTTTGTTACTACTAGTCCTAGTCTCAACATAGCATGAGGTTAATTATGAAACATACAAAATTTCAGTGTTGGGTATGGTACTATCTTAGTTTTTTAACTTTAGACTTAAGGATAGGAATCCTTCTAAACTTACGCTATGAAGTACCCTTTATAAACAGCCACCATGTATTAGTGTTAATTTTATACATCTGGAAACCTTTAATATTTTTTACATGTTATTGCACGTCATGAAGGCACTATATAATTTTAAAATTGAAAAAATTTTCGACTCGGGCACGGAAAGCACGGAACGCTGACGACGTCGGTTCAAGTCCTGCCCAAGTCGAAAACTTTTCAATTTTAAAATTATCTGGAAACCTATTAGGGTATTTTATAAATAAAACATGAATATTCAACACATCTATATATTTACATAAGAATTTTAACAGTGCTATAATTGAAACATACATACATAGTTATTGTACCTTAAATTATGAGCTATGGTGCTCAAATTTAAAAAGCAAGCCCAAAACAATTACATTGCCAGGAAGAAGGAATGTTTTGTACAACTGCAAGAATGACACTTGACACTACATTCCGCCCAGTCAAATCTTTATCTCAATTTGAGTGAACAGAGCATAGGATGCTGCCATCAAGCTCCATTCTTACAGTCATCATTTATTCCCTAAAAAAATCCCAGAGATGAGTACAGGTTTTAAAACTATATTCAGAAGAACGACCTATGAAGCATATACTTGTGCTTTAATACTGAAAATCGGATGATGTAACACCTATTTCAGAAACGTTATTCCCATACATGATCTATAAGACGGTAACATTTAAATATATTGTTTCAAAAATCCTATAAACTACATCCCCTAACATTACAATAGTGGGCTACTCGAATGAATTGTAGTAATAAAATATCTTAACCAGGAAAATTAGTGGAGGCGAAACTAATGTACCTTAGTCAATGTTGAGTGTAAAACCAGGCATCAGACAAATAGCATGATCACACATTTGATACATTTCTGGCGACTTAATCATCAATACATTCTGAACAGCAATAGTACGAATTATTAAAATATAATATTATTATTAATTAGGCAAAATAAAACACTTATTCGAATTCTACTAATGAAAGTTATAGGTTAGTAGTAACAAGTGTGTTGGGATTGACTTTCTAGTCAGAGAATTTACGGTTGGGGTTGCGGCCGAACAGGGCGGTACGGATCTCCGGCAGCAGCTGCTGAGCGATCAGCTCCAGTCGCGACTCCAGGGTGTTGGAGATCTGAAAGTTTCACGTAAGAATTTTGAGTCTAAAGTAAATAATCAGAAAAAAATATACTTGTCCAGTAAGCAAATACATATTTTATTACACTTAAAATAATAAAAATATTTATGTATTTTATCTATGGAAGTTGTGAGAAATAAGAATTGTTCACTTAGATGTAAAGGGAGGACTTTATAAGCACAACTAATTTTATATACCTGATTAGGTTATATAGTGAATCAATTTTATAATGGGCGAACTCACCTTAATACGACCCTTGGCAGCGATGAGTTCAATTCCACCGCATGTATCAGGTGGCAGGAAGTTCTCTGTGTCAAGTTTCAACTGAACATCCTTCTTGATCTTGTTCTTGTAGTCTTGCTGGGCTCGGCCAAACAGAGACTCCACTAGAGCCTTGTCTGCTTGTCTTACGCGGATGGTCACTGTTGGTTCTACCAGCTGTAGAGATTATTTATTTGAATTAAAATAATTTATATATAAAAAACCACCGTGAGTTGACCAGTTTATCTAATTTCCTATTTCCTTTATAAAGGAGGATGTTAGTTTTCTGACTTTCACTGTGTCTGCTCAATCCTTTCCGTTTTCAATACCTTACTAAAAAGACTAATAGTCGTCTTATAAATTTGATCTAAAATAATGTTACAGTTATCTCTTAAAAGCTATTATATTAACTGTAGAAAAGTTAGAAAACACATACTTGGAATAGGGCTTGAACCATGAGTGTGACAAGAAGGTCCGAGTATAGTTTGGTGTCATTGGGAACCTCAGCCAGGCGCTTGCGGGCTTCGTCCAGTACATTGCGTACGTGGTCTTCACGTACTTTGAGCACCTTGAGACGAGCTTGGTTCAGCATGTTCGATGACTGACTATAGGGAACAATATAGTGGATTAATATTTTTAATTTTATGTAGGATTTTATTTTACCTACGTGGGGCAGACATATTTTAACAATTGTTTTACTAATTGGTTTTATTTACAGGCTAGTAAAGAACTGTGTTTTACCGAAAGAGATAAATGATAGAAATGTTTTTTCATGATTAAATTCAACCTAGGTCAACCTGTGTTTTAAGTGTTTAGCTCTTAAAACCACTGGATTTGTAACTCTATTATAATCTAAAATAACTACCACTACCAGTCCTAATGCCTGAAGTTTTACTCAATTGTAAAAAATAATAAATTCATGTCTTTGGCGGAATCATAATAAAAGTAGAAAATACTTAGTAGCAGAGACACCTGCATATGGACAGTATAAGTAGAATACAAAGTTTTCAAAATTTTCTAAAATAACATTTCTATTTAGTGCCTTGTGAGATCTAAGATAACATTTTATCAATTAAGACCTTGAATCAGTGTGGCATATGGTGGTTTGAAATTAAAAATAAATAACAGGAATGTAAGACACATTAAAGGTTTGATTATCCAGGTCATAGTATTAGATGGCCTATAAGTAACTAAAAATATATCAATATTCAATTGTATGAACAGAGAGAATAAAGAAAAAGTTGCTCTACCTTATGATTGTTTTGGGAAAAATTTAAACATTTAAAGAAGATTAATAAAGGCGAATTATTCTTAAATTGCATGCCATTGTAATGTTAAAATTAGGTTAAATCAGTGTGTATCTACATTTTGTATAATAAAATATGTGTAATGTATCTAAATATGAACAGAAGGCTGCAAATATACAATAAATAGTGAGTTGGATCATCGGGTAAAGATATGGCACCAAAACATGTTACAGAAATTAGTTAAAGTACTACAACATGAGACAGAGTAGTATTAAAAGATAAGGAAAATATTAGTAATTATGGTGATTGTTCTTGGACTATCACATGACTTCCTTAATAACCTACATTTTTTTCTGGAGTTCAACTTGTTTCTCTTTCTTCTCATAGTATTCCATTATTTTAAGCCGCTGCTGCTGGACAAGGCGGCCCTTCTCAATGTTGAACTCCTCCTCTGCCTTAGCATCGATTTCTTCAGCCTTTTCATTGGCCTCTTGTTCGATGAAGGCCATCATATGCTTGATCTAATAAGAGAAGACCCATTATTACTGATTACAAATCCAGAACCGCAAGACTTCCAATTTAAGAAATACGTTTATATTCATTTCTTTTGTAAGTAAATACTCTAGTAAATATAATTTTCATTGAGTGTTATAATGAAACCAATGAAACATGTCATCATTAGCCTCAGATGCCCTGGATCAATCATCTTGACAAACGCCTTATATTGGGAATTACGTGTAGCAAATAACGTTGGATTCTAGGAAATTACCTGCTTTTGAACATCTGCATCGCTGAGCGCCATGGCTGATAGTTATTTTTTAAACACCACTAACACGTAAAACACCCGAAATTGAGCCCGAAAATTAAACACTGGCTAAAGAGATTTGACGACGCCTATCAGACGTGCTTCTCCATTGAAATATCATATGATCGCCGTGTTGCCATTTTCTTTAATTATTTGACCGTATGACTTTACATAGACAACTTCTGTTATAATTTTTGGAAATAATTCGATTTATTAAAAATTTTAAACTGTTTAATAAAGATTTTCTAAATAATAACGTAAATATAATAAGTTATGTGAATTGTATTAAATTCCGTTAATTACTAGTGTGATTTATTTCTGTGTGGAAAGTTTTATTTTTATTCTGTGGTTTCTGATACTGCAAAGATAATCTTAACATATAACTCGCATTTACATTATTAATTATCTATCACTACAATCTAAATATTTTGGTGTGGCAATCTTTGTACATGTTAAAACAATAGATATTCTAAATTGCAGTTATGATAACTATTACTAGAAAATTGAATTGAACGTTTATATTTATTACTACAAAGAATTTTCATATATTTTATGATATACTTTAAAAATAACACACTCATGCATTCGTGGATTTTTTAAGTAATGATAATTATAAGTAACTTAATAACTACATCCGGTCTAACAATATGGCCGCCAGTTGTTTAGGGTAATGTGGCGTTCGACAAATCTGAGTGAAATTGTTATAATAATAAATATTAAAGTAAAGATGTATAAAGTTTTTAGTGTTTTATAGCAGTGTTCCATGGAAAAACAACCCTGGATATTCTTTTTGTTGGTGCATAAAACTATAAATGCTTAAATTTTGAACAGTCAACAAACTTTTGTTTATTTCATTAAAGTGGAAAAAGTTGAATTTCTGGAAGTGTAGATGATTATGTACCATCCATACGGTTTTTAGAATAATAATTAAGGACTGACGTTGACACATTAGGTAATTATTTTATCAATTTATTTGATGGTGAACTGAAATTGGAACGTCTTCCAGGGTCGCCATTATTTGACAGGAGAAATAAATAACCATCTTGATCTACCTACGTATACTGACTATTTGTTGTTATTGACTTCTTATCATATAGTTTCTAATATATGCCAATTTCTTATTGCTGCATAGATGGATTGGCATAGTTTTTTATTTTATTTTTTTACGATTTACATTTATACGCTTTTTGCTACAATTATTTGATTTTCCATTGTCCCTGTCACAATTTACAATAAATGACAATAATTTGTTCATTTTTAAGCAACCATAAGTGATTTATACAGCTATCCTTCAAAAGTGTATTTCTTCATTTTGGTATGTTGTTGGTTGTTGCTTTTGATAATTTATGATGAATATTTCGTCTAGAAATTGTTAAGTGCTATCAGTCATACTTTGAGTAATGCTAACGGAACCTGAAGACACCAAGAAATAAGTTGGAATAAAAATAAAAATCTGTCAGTGCAATGTTAGTTAGTAATTCAGGTACATGAAGGTTTCGAGTATATTAAAGCAATGTATTTATTTACAGCATTTTATTAATCTTCTTTACGTAAATATGGTAGTATTAATAATATCTTTATTTGTCAATAGATAAGATGAACTTTGTTATTATAGGGTAGATTTAAAATCAGTCATATTATTTATATGCTTTCTTTTGAAATGTTAAAGCAATGTCATATGTTTATAAATTATTTTTATTATTTAGTTTAGTTACTAGTTATTATACTATACATTTCCGTTTAACACTTGAAAACTGTAGGGTGTAAAGAAGTGGCAAATCTTTTAGTTCATTTATGAGGGTAGCATTAAATTTAGTCCTCTTTCTCACATGTTAGCTCAGTTCCTGTACTGATTGCAAAAAAGTGTAACTGTAAATAATTAGTTTTCAACCAGTAAATAATTTTTTATAAGTTTCTTACAAATAATAAGCATAAGTTATGTCCACTGTTTAATTCTGACATAGTCATCTTCAAATAAATTAAGAATGAAATTACGGATATTTAGTCTTTTGTAATTTATAGTGTATTACTCTCATTTTGTTAGTTAAGTTGTCATATATTTATTTTATATGACTGTAAAATTGTAATGTTAATTATGTGTGTTGCAGGTTATGGCAAACTTGAATTACCAGCAAGCGCCTAGAAGCCTCGTAAGCGGAGGCGTCGGTGGTCGCGTCGGTTCAGGCCTAGTTAGCGGTGTCTCCGGCCATGTGACACCAACATTCGGTGGTCCTCTGTCACCCGGCCGGGGCAGTGGGACGGCAATGCCAGGGGGTGCACCGCCCTCCATGGCTTCCAGGTCGACACTTTTTGGACAGCGAGCGTTTGCTGACCGGAGGGTGCCCATGCCGACGCCGCTATCACAGGCTAACTCTAATTCTATGGTATGTGGGAGGCATATATTCATATACTTTTAATGCATATCAAGAGTCAATTAAAAAACTATAATTTATCAAAGAAATTCTAAAATACATCGAGTATGTATTGTACGATTAGTTTAAAAAAAAATCTTATTTTTCTAGGTGTAATAAAGTGTTTTTATTGCGTCGCTTTTCAGTCAAGTATGGCGAGTTTGTCTCGATTCAATGCGAGCAACAACTACCATTCGGTTTTTGGCGAAGGCGGGGACACATCGACGCCTCCGCTTTTAGATCTCAGCGAATTCCCTTCACTGACGGCGCGAGGGGCGGGCGACCAGGCCCCCACAGCTGCGCCGCCGCCACCTGGCTCTAAACCCTACGGTATGTATATACATTGCTATATATTAGTCTATTTAAGCTTCCAAGAATATTGTATGTGTCTTTAATGACTACAAAAATCGGCTCACAGACAGTAACGTAATGGTAAAGACTCTCAACTAGTATTTGAGCCTGCTTTCTATATCCTAAGTATTAATGATAAGAAATAACAACAACAAGAAACAAGATAGCAACAGTTATCGTAAACGGCTGTTTGTTATATAAGTTTTGGTTAAGTTCCTATGAGAAATTGCCAATTATAATATTCTAGTGGGTATGGTGAAGCAGCCAACGGCGGAACAGTCAGAATTCACGATGTCGTCAGAAGACTTCCCTGCGCTGCCGGGCACCTCTAGTGGTGGTGGCGGAGCGCCCGCGCCGCCGCCCGCTGCGCTCGAGTTTAACCATACGCCCGATTCTAAACCCACACGGAAAGGCATACAGACCTCGCCTGAAGGTAACCATAACTCTATACAACGTAATGTAGCTTATCTTCATTTATTATGATGACACCAAAAATAACAAATAAATAATTAACACAATACCTTGATCAGATGTAACGATTTAAAATGCGATATAGTAGTAATATATAAGAAGCATCCGAAATGTCAAGTAAGTCGCGTTTTAAACCGTTCAGTTTTATTAAAATGGGTGCCACTTGAGTAAACTACGGCCAGTCTTGAAAAACTACATTTTCCAATTTATAAATGGTTTTTTACAGCTACATTTTTAAACAACTTTATATTGAGTGTGTGCTGCTTTTATTACGTATAACTATTCCAAATAAATGCTTTAAGTAAGTCTAATTTAGAAAACATGGTGCCAGAAAGGCAGGAAAATATTAAAGAAGGTACTAATAACCTATGTCTCCCATCCAATAGTGACAGAAACGTGTTGACATGCAGAATAGAACATTCGAGAATGTTCAAGGTATAGCTGTCGAAAAACCATTGATGAATGGAACAATTGCTAGGTTCATTTTTGACCATACTGTTTCATAGATGCCTACATCCCAACTTTTTTGTCATATTTCAGCTCAATCCATTCAGCAGTTTGATTATAATGAAAGTGAGTGATTTGAATATTGAATTTGAGTATGACTGTAGACAAATTTGTTAAGCTTAGGATTCTTATTACTATCAAAAGTCAGCATTCTTAGTGGGAATTATGTCATCTCGTAATATTTTGGAATTGCCCATTTCTAAACTAGATTTTATAGAACAATGGAAAAAAACTGTTTTTAACAATAATCAGAACTCCTAAGTAATAAGTCAATTATTACATACAATGGGTGTTTTGTAAAACATAAAGCTTAGTCGTATTTATAATTAACAAGAAGAATAAGCTGTTTGTACCGTAGAATATGATTATTTGCATGCTTCTAGAAGGTTCTAACATTATATGATATAAACCCTTTCTCTTCCCTTAAGTTGTCAATCAAGGAGCACATTCGGAATTTTATGGTGTGTATAATAAATTTTGGGAAGATGTTAAGTTGTTTTAAGTTGCGTATCGATTGCACTTCTGACCTAGAGAGTGCATTTCGCGAATAGGTTTCACGAAAAGGCAATGTTTGACCCATCTTTATATATATATATAGAACCAACGGATTTCTATTCTCCCAAGTATTTGGTTATCCATAATAGGAAGCATACACATAAAATAAAGACTAAAGTTATCTCAACGGAACGGACCCTGCGCGCACGCATTAGATCGCCTTCAAAATAGATAGAGCAGATAATGTTCAATCACGTTATCGATACGCAACTTGAAAGTAGGAAATTGAGAAATTTATTTCAATATTCTTGATGGGTATATTGCTTAAATCATTTGGATCGGTTCCTGTTATTTTACGCCATTTTTTCTGTACGGATTTTTTGTGGGTAGTTGTTTTTTGGGTTGATGTTGGGTAGTTTTGTTGATAATTATGGAGCATGCATTTTCTTTATGCAGTTGTAAACGATTTTGCTTTATATTTATAAACCATATAGTCATGTATTAAGTATTCAACGAAATCTCAACATGTTTATTTTGGATATTTAAAATTCAACTGTGATTCTTTTATGAGTAAATTTGGTATTCATATACTATCCATATATACCTTTGAATCCCCTCCAATCATAAATATACTTTTATTTTCAGTATATAACGTGAAATTAATATAGCTGTATACAAATATATATATAACATGTAATTAATTAATTTTCCCTTTTATAAATGTATCGTTAAATGTTTATATTTATTGTATGTGCGCTTAGTAGTTGCAGAGAGTACAGAATAATATTTTTCTCACGCACCGTCATATTTCCAGGTAAAGTGACGAATATACCCGAGACGATGATCCCCAACCAGTTCGGCATCGTCGGGCTGTTGACGTTCATTCGGGCGGCAGAGTCGGACCCCAGTCTCGTGTCCCTGGCGCTGGGGCAGGACCTGACGGCGCTCGGCCTCAACTTAAACTCGCCGGATAACCTATACTTAACGTTCGCAGGACCATGGGCGGATACGCCCTGTAGGTTAGTCACAAAGTTACAGTTTGCAAAACTTGTGAATTTTATTGACACCTGGTGCTTCTCCAGCATAAGCCTTGACCTGACGTAGGCCATTCTGTTGTTCTTGCATATTAATTTTAAAATATAGACTTATATAGCGTCGGGGTCATTTATTTAGAACATTCAAAGAGGAATAATTCTTTCATACACATCTTGAACCGTTTTCGCAGCGTATGCATCGTAAACCCACAGAGATTAATAAATTTTTCACGTTTTTTTTTCACATTTCCCGCCGTTTCATTGCTCCTATTAGTCGCAGCGCAATGTTTGTATGTTACCTTCCTCGACAAACGAAAGAATTTTACTAGTTTCTGATATAAGTGCAGTCATACAAACTCTTCAGCTGTATACATTAGTATACTTTACTATAGGATAAATCATTTTATATATAACATATTCATTAAGACAGAAACAATAAAAAGAATATGAAAGTTCCAGCGAAAACTAATTTTATGTTATAGATGCATTATTTTTTTCTGAAACAGAATAAAAAATGTTTAATGGCAATGATAATTTCAGACCGCAAGACATGGACTATAACGTACCTCCCGAATACCTAATAAACGGTTCGATTAGAGAAAAACTAGCTCCCTTACGGCTCAGTAGATATAAGGAGGATTTGCTTTTCTACTTATTTTACTGTTTCGTCGGAGATGTACTGCAAATTGCTGCTGCCGCGGAATTGTAAGTTACATTTAAAATAATTATGATAATATAACTAATAAAAAATATAAGTTAGTGATTTTTTTTTCTAATTACCTGGGTAACTGCCGATCATTACACATTATTAAGGTAAAATGATTGAGGAATTATATCTATTGGAATCATTTGTAGTCATAAAAGTCATATTTAACTGTTAAATTGAAGATATAACCGTGAGTGGCGATATCACATGGAGGAAAAGGTGTGGATCTCGCAGGCGCCGGGCATGCCGATGGTGGAGAAGACCTCCACATATGAACGGGGCACCTACTACTTCTTTGACGCGCATAATTGGCGAAAGGTAAAGGCGTATGCCCAAAACATGCTTACAACTCTTTCGCGTGTTCGATTCATTTTAAATAATATAATTTTATAGTAATATGTATTACCATAGAATAAGACATTAACTACTCGTGATAAAATTTAAAGGTCTATGGTAAATATCATATTACATTTAAATAAAATACTTTAACGGTTGAAAACGTGGTATATATTGGTTATAATAATATTTAACTACGTTTAAGTAATATTTATTGCATTTTAAACCGTTAAAGTGTTTTATTCAAATGTGTACCACTCGCGTAAACTACAGACAGTATGTCAACGTTAACTAAGCAATCAAAATGTAATGTTTTCAATGTAACAATTGCCGAGATTCAAACTCGGCTCTAAATTACAATCTAGCCACGAAGTGATCGAAAACACTTAGAAATAATAGAGATTTTAAAGTCAAATAATTATCTCCTTCACCAATACTGCATAGTTATGTATATAATTTTCTTAGCCTTATAATATTACTTACGAATTATTGGGTTGCAGGTGGCGAAAGAATTTCACCTGGACTACAGCAAGTTGGAGGGTCGGCCGCAGTTGCCACCGCATGTGCTCACGTAGCGGCCCGCGCCACTACACGCTATTTACGTAGTTTTGTTATATAAAAAAGTACAAGTTAACTACGAATTTTTATTTTCACCCGATTTGTTCAATGCCGGAGTGAGGCAGACTAATTATAATTTGAATGTCACTACTAGACCTATGTTCTATACAGTAGGGTCAATCCTAAGCGATATTTTAAACTGTTTTTAATTGATTATTTTGTATGTTGGCCTCTATTACTAACTGAACCTTTTGGCAAGATAAAGGATACTCTCACCGGGACATCAGCCTCGGCTTGAACCACTGCAATGTAGGAGGGTTTTAAAATGGACTAGTTCTCTGTGGTCGGTGGTAATTCTTGTTTATGAAGAAAGAAACAACCATAAGTAATTAGTTTAATCTTATTGAGTTTGTGTTAAATAGTACAGTGTGAAAATTCTAACATAAGTCTTCATAAACTGTATTAGGGAACTGAAAAATTTCTTAACATTACTTACTAGAAGCGCTTTAAGTAAGGCCTACTATACTTGAGAAACTTTGAAAAACGTTTTGTCTCAGTTACAGTATTTAAGAAAGGTAAGGCTTCACTTATGCTACGAAGTCTTAGTCTACATCATCTGTAGTGGAGTATATGGGCTCTTTCTCAGTATCAGCCTTATCATTTCCTGCCTGACTGCTGTTTTCCTTCATTGTTGGCTCTTCATCATTTTTTCCGGGTACCCACAGACCTGCGTCTACGCACCTCTTCATGTAGTAAATGGCTTCTTGTTCAGGCATCTTTGCTATGGTTGCTTGTAGCATTGGAACATCTTGCGCTTCAAAACATTTCTTCAGTTCCTGATATAGATAATAATTCACTTAAAATTAGATTGTTTAATGAAACCGGGTGGAAAAAATATTAACAAAGAACATTAAAAATGACTTTGATTTAAACATTTAGCCAATAAGTATTTTAACATCACAATCACAACAAATCATATGGATATAATTCTTTGTTGTTAAGCATTTTTTACTTACATCAGGCAGTTCTTCATAAACCTCCACGGGATCAAGACCACCAGGACCTAGCCGTGCCTTCTTTTCTTCCTCTTCTTGTTCACGGATGGCTTCTTGAATCTTCTCTGCAGCACGCTTCTTGATTCTTGTCTTGAACTGTTCCAATTCATCTTCAAATGAATCTTTGTATGCTTTTTCGGCGACTTGAATCCTGTTTAAAAAATCAAAAAATCAATCACCTATCCCCTCGTGGTTTATGAGTCAAACATATTTTTGTATTTGTTACACTGATATTTATAGGCAATTAGAGGATCAGATTTTGTACCTTGATACAATTTATTGTTTTCCTAGGATTTGAATGTACCTGTTGTACTTGAATGCTAGGCAATATGTTTAACCATTTACATATAGAGGTGGTCAATTGCATAGGTTTAAAAGCTTATAAGTACAGGAGAACTGTTATCATTATAGGTGCTGTGGATAAAAAAAAAAAGTTTTGTTGGCCTTAGTATCAGTATTAGGTAGTTCAGATAGTAAAGCAAAACTGTACCTTGCAAAGAAAGATCCAACACATGCTCGTGGGTCAACATCCAACTGTTTAGAGAGTTCCAATATAAACTGCATGCAAATTGTCTGGTGCGCCACATGAGCCATTAATTCATGTTTCTAGAAAAGACATTTTAGTAAGACACAATTCACAAAAACTAATATGGATTTATGTTATGCTATAGAAAATACATTAACGATTTATTTGATGTATGTAATGCTGTTACCGATGAGTAAAAATTTAAATATCATTAAAAAAATAGATCTACTTTTTTGTTGTGGACATAAACATGTCACTTCACTCTTAGTAGTATTAAAATAAAATGAAACAATTAAAATAATGTAAATAAATGCATTTACCTCTTCCATTTCCAAATTAATACACCAAATAACAAGATAATTAGCTGTCTCCTCACACACTAATTGGCTATGCTGTTGTAGAAATAGTTTTGAATCATCATACTTCCTTAACATTCCAAACTTCTTTAAAAGTTTCTCATTCTCGTTGATAAACATTTTCATTCTTGCCTCCTTTTCCTCTTCTGTAAGGTTTTCTTCTTTTTGCCTCATCGGTTTGGTATTGATCACTGTTTTGGTAAATCCTGGCTCACTAATTGTATCCACATTCCATGGTGTTGTCTTATCCTTCTTTCTCAGTTCTTCCTCTTTCTTTAGTATAGTTTTCTCTTCTTGTTCTAACTCGGCTAAAGATTTCTTTAAAGATTCTAAATCTGTGGTGTCTGGTGGTGCTTCTGCTATCTTTTTCTTGGTTGCATTGAGTTTTCTGATGTTTTCCGCCTTGCGTTGTTCATGTTCTTGTTTTTCTTTCTTCCGTTCTTCCATTCTTTCCACCCTGGCTTGGTGACGCCATCGGAATAAGGATGGCGTGTCGATGTTTGGGTGCGTCTCATCTTCATCATCAGAAATCTACGAGTTGAAAAGTTAGGTATTTATTGCTGCGATGGCAGTTAACTATTGTTTACATTAAAATTTAACAACTGACAACAAAATCGAAATTACCAACCTCAATATCCTTCCATTTGCTGTAATCGACCATTGTTTGTGCACGTTCGGTTAACTTTGTTGTGAACTGTGGGCTTCTAGAAATTATTAAGTGAATGAACGTTTAGAGCAACACGATATAAGAACGATCAATTACCGACCTAATGATCAATTTAGATATATTGTAAATCAAAATATCGCGAAGTTTCCGACGGTTGACACACAATTTTGATATGTGACACCTAGGGTATTGACAAAGTAAAAAAGTGACAATTTAAACATTCAACCGTCAAGCGATTTGACATTTTAACTTCATTCAAAAGCAAAAGTACCGACTACCGACATAATTATTGTTTACGTTTATGAACGTACATGTTTGTTATTAATTATAACTTTTCTCCTCTTTAACTTTGTAGTGAACCGTCTTAATACTTAATTGATTGTGTAGTGAAAATTAAAGAAATATTAATTCTAAATAGAATTTATTACTGTTATTTTGGCTTAATAATACAGTCATCAATTATTATTCTATTCTTATACAAAGTTTCTACATTAATTCTAATATTGTGCAAAATGTTTAGTATGAATGGATGTTTTTGGTCGCTCGACACCTCAGTCGCGACCAAAAATATAGAGTAAGTATGAGACGTAAGTGTCGTGCGAATTTTTGCGTCTGTTTTCCACAACCACAACACACAACAAGCTCGTAATAGATGATAATTTTTGATGTATTGACAGATGTATTTTTCCAAAAATCGAATCGAATCTATATTAAACTTGAGTTTAACGCAACGTGTACTGCGTTTCAGCTACAATTGTGAATGGTTATGATTTGGAACTTTCTGAGTGTTTAATTTTTCTTTCTCGTTTTAGCAAGTGTTGTTAGAATAGTGGCTACTGTAGTAATAACTGGTCCTTCACTATTTACAATTGTATTATTTTCAGTAGTCTCGTTCTCATCGTTTGGTATACTTTCATCTGGGATACTAATTTGAAACTGAAGTAGAACTACCAAGTAGGTAACCATTGTTGCCAGTAGCTGAAAATATTAAATATTGTTATTAAAGATTTATAGAGCTCGAAAGATCTATTACATAAAGAAGTATAATTTTTAACAACTAGTAATAAGTCAATAAGATTTAGGGTCGTAGGTAGGTTGAAAAAAGGGTCAACGTATAATTCTATTAAAACTTGAATTTGGCTTAAGTAAGTCTATTGTCTATCTAAGCAAGTATCTATAAAATTGTATAATCTACAGTGCTGATTTAACGCTTAATTTTATTTTAAACATTAGTCTGTATTATATAATAAATTAATTCTTTTAAAAAAATAACACGAACTATGTTTGCAAATTAAATATGACTCGAAGTACTTACTCTGTAATAAATCATTTACCTGGCATTTTACCTAATCAATATGAGAGTTATAGTAGAGTTTCTTACGGATTTAAATAAATGTCGGTTGACATCAAAGAAACCTCCTAGGCTAATTTGCGATGGGTTCATCTCTGTAGCCCTCAGAAACATGTTGACTTCTGTTTGGGCGTCGGTGTTCATCCAAGATAGTTCCACCATAAGCAGTTTCTTTTGGAAATTCGTACGCACCTTCAACATAATAATGGTAATACGTCCGCTATATAGAAATTTATTAAAAATAACAGTTTTATGGGACTCGTTTTAATTATGTAATATTTTAGTATTTCTTCCATTTTATAGGAATATGGCATCTTAGAAACATTTTCACATTTTCTAAAAATCGGCCTAGCTGTTGAGTGAAACGGAGGTCTTTTGTAGATATTACTATCTATCTATCTATTTATCTATCTATCCCAGTATGTGTATTAATGAAATTTAATTCATAACAATATGACATGTTGTTTAATTTATTGCCGTTTAGGCCCGAATCAGGCTAAATTAAACAATGCTCCAAAGTTATAGCGATAATACATACATTATGTGACGCGTAATGAGCCTCATCACAGATGAAGAACAGCAAAAATATACTGCAGCAGGCCGTGAGAGCTAAACCAATATCCTTTGTCCCAAAACCCTCGGATATTTGACTCAGCAGTCCGTAAATAGACAGAGTTATAATTAGAAAGAGGTAAAGATTGACAAAAGTGAAGGTGTAACAGTTTGCCAGGCCGGTGTCGCGAGCTAGTTTACTCAGACGAAGCCAGAGGGCGCGGTATTGGGCCACTTTTCCCGCTGGACCGATGTGGCGTAAAGCCTGAAATGGTATACTTTAAAAACTGGCATCTACTGAAATAATACAACTTCGTCAAAACAAACGTAATCTAAAAAAACAATTTAAAATGTCTTTAAAGAATTAGGCAATTCTCACAATAAACGGGCCGTGGGTTCCATCACCACATGCTGCAATATGTTTTTAATCTATTAATAATTCTCCTGAATTATGTTGGACTTCGTGTGGATGGTAGGAATATTGAAATTCCGTCCGGGTCACGAGCCACCCACGGATGGAAAAGCCGTGAAATATAATCACATTTTGGTTTCAGTCTGGGGATTTCCGAGTATCCAAAACCAAAATAGATCGGAACGTATCTTGTGAACCCCGTGCTTTGTCTACCTCGACCATAAAACAATAATCAAGACGTATATTACACATTTAAATATGGACTTATTACTATACTACAGACTGAGTGTCGACTGGTATCATCAATATATTATATTTGATGTTTTAAAACAATAGATACTATTTCTAAAATAATTTCAAAGCCAAAATAGGTTGAAGACATTGGTAGGTATATTATACTACAGCAAGTTAGAGATACGGTTATCTGTTCTGCTCTGTCATAAAAGAATCATTCTATTTTATCTCTATATTATTTGAGTAGTATATTATTAAAATTATAAATAAAGTATGCACCAGTTGAAAATCCTCTGCCAAAATATTAGCGCACGCACTCAGTGACTCGCAAAGAAGGTACCAATAGCCTCCCAAAATGTATGTCAATATTTCTAAAAATATATATGGCAACATTTGCGACATCTTGAAGTGGCCCATTGTCACATGGGTTATTATAACCGAAGTGGTCGACAGTATGGGAATAATAAATGCGATTGCTAGCGCTTTCTTGTATAGTTTGATGGGTAAGATACGGCCGGATAAAGTTTTGTACGCCAACTGCAATTAAAGATGCAAGAATATATTATCTGTTATGTTTTATAAATACTCCATGTTTTATATATCTGTAATTACAATTCATGAATATCACGTATAATAAGTATCCTTGAAATTATGTATGCTAGATTAAACCACAGACAAATCTTAATTTATATTGCAATGTAAAATGATTATCTGTTCTTCAATATTATTTCTTATCAAACTCAAACTCAAACCATTTATTTCACAAGACAGAATAAATAACTTAAATATAAGCTTAAATAACTAACATTTATAAAAAAAAGTGAAAGAAGAAAAACAAACAAAAAAATAGAAACTTGGACGAGTGCTTGTGAAATGGAGAAAAGCACTCGGCATGTGCTTCACCAGTATCAGTGGTTGTTTGTAGAAAGAAATATATATTGACATATACAACGGGTCTTCTTCAACATTTTTGAATTCTACGTGGGTTTGGATCTGCAAACATTCCAGCTAACTTTGATTAGATGGAATATAGAAATAGACCGTAATAAAAGTACTTAGTTAAATTGTTTTTCTGTCATATATTTTAGAGGTTATATTATATTATTTTCACAAAATTCGTTAGCCAACGTTTTGTCTGAATTTCAAGAAGACAAATTAATAATATCTTCGAGATTTTATTAATTTGTCTTCATTAAGGTGCAACTTATTTCGATATTGTGTATGATTGACTTTTATCAAACTCGAAGAGAGAAATAATTTAGGCTTATTTAGGACTCTTAAAGGACTAGTACAGAACTCATACATACAATACAGAACTGTACAAATTCATTAATGGATGAAAAATAGAAAATATTTGTACAATTATGTTGTATGTTTGTATATTAATTTGAGGTCATTTAAATAATTCCGGCGACAAAGTTATATAGAAGTCGAGTTAGATTCTTGTTGAAATTGTTAAGGCAATTTGGTATTTAAATTATAGTCCTGGTTGTATTAAGTAGGTTTCGCGCAGGTGAATCGTACTTACCAGTTTCCTTACTAACTTCTCTGTGCCTTAATTAAAGGATTTACTTTGCAACATTTCTGCTTGAAGGAAGCACATATGGAAGCGACAGTTCTATTTTAGAGATGAAGTTTTATAATAGATGACATAAAATACGAGTTTGAGACTAAAGTTGAATTCTAGATACGGTATTACGATACCTACTGCACTTAATTATGAGAGCGTTTTTTATGTTATTAAAGTCTGTGAGCAATTAAAAAAAAATCAAAATAGGTCAATCATCTGCCAATGAAAATTAAAAAGGTCCATATCTGCATTAACTTTCGCTTTTATAAGATTTGTAGAATTAATGATGTTGCTTTTACCTTTTTTATCAATTATTAATAATTAACTGAGTTAAAGCCAATAGACAATACTTAACTTATGAGCTGTCGCGAAATTTTTAGTGTTATAAAACATATAAGTTCACACAACCTGCATCGTAATTCCTACGTTAATATATTAAATACCTTTAAAACTTATAATAATTATTGTTTAATTAAAACACTTTAACGGTTTAAAACGCGATATATTAGTTAAACTTATTTGAAAATGACTTTTAACTTCGGCCCGAAGTTTCGGAAGCTTTGCAGCACGGGGAGACAGTCTCCAGTTTTACTAATATATCGCGTTTCAAACCGTTAAAGTGTTTTATTTAAATGTGTACTACTCGCGTAAACTATAGACAGTATATAGTTGTTGTTTATATAAATAAAATTTCGTTGACAATTCCCGAGTTCATTTTTAACACAACTTTTGCTCTTAGATTTAACTTACCTCAAACGTCACCCATCCATTTAGAATATTAGCAATCTTCCGTGTCTCATACCACATTATTGGGATGACCAGCATCGGAAACAGATACACGGTGAAAAGGTATTCGATGACAGCTTCTTCGAATTTCCCCTCAGCCGTTCTCAGTATTTGTACCTTGTGTAATGAGAGATATAACACGTACCCAACTAAGCAGGAGTATACCACCAATGAATAGAGCATAGAAGGAGACGCTATAGAGAATTGGTTTAGACCAGGCGAAGGTCGGGTTAGCGGCAATAAACCCATCACGCGAAGCAGGATAAACACAGGTTTTATATTTTCATAGATTATATCCCTGTATATCTCTGGTATAATTAAGTTATCCTTTATCGGTGCTATTGAGTTCTTGGAAGCGGGTCTCATATAAGTTGAATGCGCCGGAGTAACGTCCAAAAAGATTATTTTACTCCTAGATTTATCTTCCATTTGTGACGCGAAGCCGTTGGATATATGCTTTGTTGGAAATGTATTACTGGCGTAAAGGGACATTTCGTTTGATTAAGTATCAGACTAGATATTATAAGGATTCTCTTTGTCAGACCTTTCGGATTGAATTGGCTGGAATGAATGTCGTCGCCACCTGGCTTAATCGGCCTACCCTCATATTTCATTGTTTGACAAGGTGATTGTAGCCACGTAAGCGTTTTTTCATCAAACTTTCATTGCGTTCTTCACCTTGAAACGAACCTTCAAGTCTAAGGTAAGGGTGGATTTATTTTTCATAAGTTCTTGTGGACATTGGCGTAGTTAAAAAGAAATTGGACCCTTCATGTATACGGAAAAACCTAAGGTTAATATGGGTAATACTAAAGTTAAATACTTGATTAGAAGACTTATATTTTTTTAAATTAATAGCCATTTTTACCAGATATATAGACCAAAACGAAACAAATGTTTACGTATCGGTAGATGACACATAATGTCAAATTTGTATGGTTATGGAACCGGTTTTCCTATGGTGGTTTCTTCGAAGATTACTTACTAGAATCGACATCTTACAGTAAATAAGTTTATAATATTCCCCCTTCTTCACTGCGGGATCCGTTAAGGGAACCATAAAGATTTATGCGCCAAGAATACTTCTGAATATCAAATAATCGAATATAAGCAAGCACTCCAATAAAACTGAAAAACGCAATAAAAACTTTATAACGGTTGTAACGCAAGAATAAAATATGAAGTTTTATATGACAGGTGTCGATGGTATTAGGGATCGTAGTAGGACAAATGAACGGCGGTGTACCACTTTATGGCTCGTAAAACCCAACGCTAGCCATAAATGAGACTACAGAACCGCGCACTGGACTCACTTAATCAGCTTTTAAATGTTTGTTCGAATCACAGCTGATAGCTTATACATGTTAGATTAAATAGAGTTTGGCTTAGAACGACTATGTAAAAGAAAAGATTCACATTTTATATATAAAAGAGGCTAAAATATAGAAGTTACTGTTCTAGAACTAATCCTTACGAATATATAAAGCTGAAGACTTTGTTTGTTTGTTTGTTTGAACGCGCTAATCTCAGGAACTACGAGTTTTAATTGAATTCTTTTATTGAAAATTGAAAAATTTCCGTGTTGGCTAGAGCAACGAGGAAGAATTTCTCTATAAAACATCGCCCTGTGACTAATAGGAGCAAAGATACAGCGAGAAATGTGAAAAACATTGGGAATATCAGGCATCGTTATGGGTTTCCGAGGCGTACGCTGCAAAAACGGTTCATGATACCCAAAAAAGATATACAGAATGATTTCTCTTTAAATGATCTAAAAAAAAGTCCCCGACGCGATATGTCTATTTTTTGAAATTGCCTTGCACGAACGACGGGAAGGTAACGTGACCGACGTCATGGGTAACAGCTTAAGTTTATAAAGATGAAGGGGTTTGCAAAAACGAATTTGGATGCCCAAAATAACGATTCTCGCGGACGAAGTCGCTGGCACAGCTAGTTATATGATTAATTTAAATACGTAATATGTTAAATCAAAACTATTTATAATAGATAGTTTATATTAAACACTGACTTGAATAGTCAGTTGTATTGAATCGTTAGCTGAAGTACATCGGTCACTAATACACTGATAATAGTGTATTAGTTGATCGATGCTGAAGTAACATATTTGTTCGAAAACGTTATTAATTTTTACATGTTATTGCACATGAAGGCACTACATATAATTTAAAAAATCGAAAATAAATTGAAAAAAATTTCGACTCGGGCAGGACTTGAACCAGCATCGTCAGCGTTCCGTGCTGTTGCTCTACCAATTGAGCTACCGAGTCTCGTCGTATCTTTAAAGATGTATACCAACAGAGCTTATTTCGCATACAACTATTATTATATTACCTAGCGTTCAGGTAGCTAATTAATATGAAACATTTCAAAGGCTTTGCCTTCTAGAACATAGATCAGTGAGATAAATGTATTTTAAATGCTATCACCAGGTAACGCTACGGGCTCTTTTAAACAGCTTGGAATTAAATTTTCTTGCTCCGCGCCAGCTTAATCGAAGGTTAAATGACAAGATGCAACCTAATGAAGACGTTTAGCGCGCTTCATCTAGAGGATAAACAAGGGTTTAATTGGAAGCACAATTAAAGTCGATTAAATATAATCGTGCATAAACGCGATGGAATTAAAAATCGATTATAATTTTAAATTTACAACACGGGCAGGAATCCACAGCGTTCCGTGCTGTTGCTTCAAAAAATTGAGCTACGGTGCCGATTTTTAATTTATATACTGCCATGTGCAATATATGTGAACAGTATTAAAAAGTTGTTAAGACGTGATTAAGTGATAAATAATTTTTAAGCAACATGTAACGCATGTTATATTATTATATATATATTTTTTATCTGTACCAGTAAACTAAAGACAATTGCTAATAAACTGACTAAAATAAAATGAATTATGGAAATACTGCCTGAATTTTAGTGCAACATAACAGTAATATCCAGTTTTCCGGCATGGGGCGATATATGTAAATTTCTGTATTCGTTTCATTTATATGTTTTCATCACAGTCAAGTATTTAACCAGGCCGCCTATTTCAGCCATTTCCTAAAAATGGCATTGTGAGAGAGACGATACACCGATTACCCCGGGATTCGAACCTAGAACCTCTCGTTCTTAACGCTTAATGCACCTAGCATTTTTAATCATTATTATACCTCATATATCAGTAAATGGTTACATTTAGATACAGAGGCGGTGGACCTGTATTTTGAAGTGAGTTGAATAAGAATAAATTAATATAGACAGAAATATTCGTCTTTTTTATTAATTAATTTATGAAACACAAGCTGTGCCCGCGACTTTGTCCGCGTGGAATAGTACTTGTGGTAGAATTTTTAATTATTTAGGCTGTTTATTAATTTATGTTGTAAGGTATAAAGTAATGTATGTAAACTCGCTAGAACGACGGGAACCAAACGACATGCGCGAGCGACGGGACGCGACCGATGATGTAGGTAAGTTTGTAAAAAACAATTTTGGATGCCCAAAATAACTATTCTACGCGGACGAAGTCGCTGCCTCTGCTAGTATTAAATATATTCAATTTATAAGATACTTTAATTAACCTATTTATTGTCACTTTGAGAGTGGTCGTGCAGTTAAGTCAAATAGATACTTATAGTTAAGTACTCTGTGGCTTTTAAGTTAACGCGAGCCGCAACTAGACGAAACTCCTTGCACACAATTAACTCGTGGCAAAGTTCTTGTATGGATTTGGACAATTTAATAATTAATAAAGTTTGTGTATGTGAATTTGTAGTCTCTTTAATTATACTAAGATGTTATTTGATGACTTGAGTTATTTTAGGACCATTATATTTATATATGTAAATCTAATAAATGTAAATGGATATTGTGACGGACTTTTGGGTGGTTCGTTCGATTTCGACCTGGTCCAATCTTTTTTAAAATAATTAACTTACTTGTAACATATTCAAAAATTCATCCAGTTAAAAATCGTGCATAGATGGAACACTTGTCGAGTATAAGTTTTAGTCCGTGAATTTCCGATGTGAGTTGTGTAATATTCTATGGAATATATATAGATTAAAATAAAAACACTGCTGATCTTATCTTATGTAGTTTAAGAAAAATATTTTGATAACATCACCTATGTAAATAAACATTATTTTTGCTTATACAAACGAAGCGTCTTCATGTAATTGTTCATTAAATATTCTTCACTTAAGATTTGTTAATGTTTGATGTTCATTATTGGTTTAAAAGTTAGCACAAATTTAATTAGAGTAGACGGCAGACGAAGTCCGATGAATATTCATCCGTTGCGCCAGCTATGCATTTCCTATTATCCACCAAACTCTCGACTCCACAGATTCACGTAAATTCTCAGCTGAACAGATTTATAATCTACATCTGTACTGTCGTGATATTGCGTTCTGTAATGCGCAACTCCGCTTTTTAGTTGGTTTCCAACTGTAACTTTAGTTAAGCTATATAGTATTAAATCATTGATGTTAACAGATATTTAAATATTCAAAGTAAATGAATCTAAACAAATTGACTAGTTGTTTCTTTAAATAAACACTTAACGGATTAAAACCTATTATTGGTTAAATTACTTGAAAGTTATTTTAATAGACCTAACGTTTCGATACTTTGCACACTGTGGTATGGAAGACAAATTTTCAAATAAGTTTAATAATACATTCCTATTAGCCCTTAAAGTGCTTATTTAAATAAAATCTTATAAACTACGAAGTAGTCTATTTTGTGACAGGGGAAGAACCTGAACATGAGGTTTACTTGACTGAAGATGGATTAAATCTAAATTATTAAAGTGGAAAGTAGCCAATTTTGCCTATGGTCATTAAGAAATTTAAAGACGTAACCAAGACGTCACGGCTTTTCAGTCAGTAAACGTGATCAGGGCTGAATTTTGATGTTTCTACTATACAATTATAATATTGTAAATTTTTAATTTGATATTAAAAACATGTTAGACTCTGTAGGATTCAAACCCGTTGATATAAGCCTTAAATTGCTACGATTACGTTTTATTTAAATGTGTACAAGTAACTTATAAAATGGTATGTAAGAAGTAGTTGATTGAAATAAAAATTCTATTAACGGTTTAATATGCGAAACATATCTATAGTTAAGTTAGGGTAGTTAACATAACTTAAAGTAAGCGAATATATTTCGTATTTAAACTACAAACAATACTTAAGCTTAGTATAAAACCAAGCGGATAGAGGGTGTTATCGAAGTAATATTTTATTTTTATATCCAATAATAGGACCCACGACCTTTTGGACCAGTCAAAATCGTGACAAAAATCGCAATTAAATTATTATTCAATTCTTCCTTATGTCCTTTTCAATATAATTAGTAAGTATTCATCGATGTATAAAACGTATGGTGTAACGAGAAATGAATGTATATTGATATCAAAGGATGCTCTATTTAGTATTCAGTACAGGATCGTCCATTGATCTCTGGCGACCTTCAAACGTCCTTTTCGTCTACGTGACATGTTTTCTTCATCAACACTTTAATTTACACATAGAATTGATGCAATGGACTTGAAATTTCAGAACCTACGGTGACCAATATATTTTGTAACTACCCGCATAGAAAATGTACGACATAACTTACATTCGCACTAGACAATAATTAGAAGACACAAGAAACTCTACGATACTATTTTTGCCTTGTTTATACGAGGCCGCTAGAGGCAGAGTAGCTTCACTGCAATTTTATGACTTTACAATTTTTTTCATAGACGAAAAATTGTCTCAAATAAATGTATGAAATCTAAGAACTACATACGAATCCTAGGGAGTTTATACAAATTTGTAGCTATTTAGAAAATGTATACAAACAAAGATTTTTGTATTAAACACGCTGTTCCCGTATTTAACGAATTATATAAAGCACTTTACAAGGTTACAAGACAGTACTTGTACACATTTAAATGAAACTTTTAACGGTGTAAAACTAAAATTATTTTTAAATGTTTACAAATTACTTAAATAAGCCAATGTTTCGAAATGACAGCCTTGTCATCAGATGACGCTTAGATTTTCTAGAAGACAATTTACAAGAAATTTTTTGGGAATCGAATGAGTAAAATGACGGATTTCTTCGAAATTTCAAAATGTAAAACTTTAAGGGTAAAGACAGAAAAAATGGTTTAAGCATTTTATTATCGCACGAATGGTGAAATTACAAAACTTTATCTGTTAAAACATTTTATTGCAATACTGATACCTACAATTATTACAAAGTACATATTTATACTAGAATAAAATTTATATCGCATTGTTACATAACTATTTTTAAATTGGCCTGATTCATTATTTAAGTGAGAATAGCTATCATACCAAACAATAAATAAAGGCAGACATTAAAGATAATGAATAAGATGTCTGAATATTTATATAAAATTATATTGTAATCATAAATAGCAAAGATAAATAAATAGAATTATTTATTAGTGTATTCAGAGTTTATCTGCAGTTTACACAAATAGTACACAATTAAACAAAACATTTTTAACGTCGGGTCGTAGTCGAAATAAATTAAAAATAAGATAACGAATATATTTCAAGTTTAAAACCATTAAAAGTGTTTCAAATAAATATTGTTAGTTTGTTCAAAGGATTGAATTAAACTGATAAACGTCACAATCCTTTGTTTTTTAAAATTACATAATTTTACAGTAGAACATCACTATTATGAAAAGACCCATTCAAATAATAAATAAATAAAATAATAATAGTACGGTGGTATACCTGCTATGGATTTGTGTCGTGTAAAACTTCAACTATATTCAAAGATTTCAATTACTACGTTTATCTTCCGATCTAAACTGTAGTACACTTACTAAAGAGTCCTTAATTCCAACACCTTATGGGATGGAATATTAGCTCGGTGTTTGGAATTTTCCTATAAAAATTTCGATTACCAGTTCCAGACCAGTGAGGTAGTGGTCGTGGATTTAAGCTCATAAACCTTCTCCTCTATGAAGGAAGAGCAATGTGCCAAGCTGTGGTGGATAATAAATCATCGTTACAACCTCACAAGACCAATTCTATTAAGATCATTCAATATTTCACAAATTGTTTGTGTGAAACGTTTTTCCGCATTCACTTTATCAGTTGTATCTTTACTCTTAACCAAAGTCTGATCTTCTAACCCATACCATAGAGCGAATGCCATGACTGCCATAATAACACAATTCTCAGCGACTACTTTTAAATCGTGTTGGAAATCTACTACTATTCTTTGTGTATCGATATTGTGTTCTATTAGTATACTATCGAGACTTTTTATATAAGCTGAGATAAAATTTTCGTAGTTTTCCATCCTCGTTTTAGTGTCTACGCTCACTAGAAGGAATGTCAGGAAATCTTGCGACGCACTCATCAGCTGCACCATTTGGTAGTCCAAAATACACGCTTGAGTTGGTTTTTCATTCTAGAAACAAATAGAAAAAATCTATACATAAACAATTTATGCCACTGTGCTTTTACAAAATCAGATAAAAGTGAGAGTTGCTTTAGCTTTAACGGATACTAAATTAAAACGTTTATTTTAATAAAACATCTTATTGTATAACGGGCGTAATTAGTCTTTTCAACAGTTAAAGTTTAATAGAATCTTTTAAACTCCTATCAGAGTGTTATGTCAATTATCTTACTCTGATAGTGGTCAGCAACAATTCCTTATGTGCTGAGTGCAATGAAGAGGAAACGAGCATCGATCTACTGAATGCTCAAAGTACTCAAAACTGAGATATACGTATAAGGGAACCGACAGCGTAGCATTGGAGATCAAATAACTAAAGATAGAACGAATTTGTAAAGACATCAGAAGGTTTGAAGGAGACGCAGTGAAAGTTGGATAACCCGAAATTCTTCGCAACAGTGAAGAGAAATGTCCAACGATTTGGACTGATCACCCGTCCTTCTATCGGTGTGCCCAAAAGAAAATAATAATGACAAAAAAAATATACATATCATTTAATCAACTTTAAATTTACTTAAACAAAGAATACATTGAACTAGTAAGTTCGGTACTTACCACATATTTAAAAAGGATATTTTCTTTCCAGTAGTCTCCGTGTCCAAACACAATCAGTTTGGATTTATTAAAGCTGTCAACGCGAATATTGTTATACCTCTCTGCGAGGGATCGTAGAAACTTCTCACATTTTTCACCTTTTAGAAGCTGGCTGTGACTCTCTAGGCACAATTTTAAAGCAATATTTAATTCTACAGGATGAGTGTCTGTATATGGTTTAACAAAATCATTTTCGGTAGAGATCTTTCCGCTTTCAATTGAAATTAGGGATAGAGAGTGGTATTTAGCGAGTGATTTTAAAGCTACAATTGCGTGGTGATAATCCAGAAATCTATTTGGATACCGCATGAAACCACTAAAGGTCATGTTTTGTAGAACTATAACTTCGTGTCCTGGTTGCATGTCAGCGTAAAAACACTTAGGAGAAATATCGTCCACGTTTAATTGGCAACTTCCAAACAGTGGAAACAAACGCGTGTATACATAATGTTCCGTGTCGTATAAATATTTCAGCACTAATTTCATTCTATCCTCAGCGGTTTCAGGTTTTAACTTCAGCAATAAGTGTAGTTCTTCTTCCGATTCATTTCTTCGACCAGTAACTGTCAGAGGTACCAATATCCCAAAATAGTTTTCAATCGTTTTTATGTTTTCGTGTCGTTTGAACTTCCAATTTTCCAAATCACAACTTTTCGCCACATTTTCAGCTATTTTGTTTAAAAAATCGTCTTCAAGAATGTTCATTGTTAAGCTTTAGGAATAAATATTTTTTTAATTATGTTATTTTATTGTATTAGATAAGAAAACTATTCGAACGATGTTTAGCACCACGTCGCGCTAACAAGGCCTTTTCCAAATGAACGAGTCCGCAAGTATCAAGTGATATATTGAATTTAGATTCATGTCGAGATTTATTACTACTAGTTTCATACAAATTATTCACTTAGAATTCTCCCCCTCCGCTATGTATATAGCTTGTGCCACAGTATAATCAAAACAGTAAGACAAAATGTGTATTCGTTATTTGACAACATACAGAAACTTTGAAACCCTGCACCAAAAGCACATTTAAAAGTTGTTAAGTTCCTTAAAAATGTATAAGGTTGTAACTATTATCATAATGCAGTATTCTTTACACACTTATATCCAAGACATACCTATTCTGTGAATACGGCTTACATTGCAAGCTCGTGGGGTATAGAGAAGATATCATAGTTATAATCTGTAAATACTGCTTATACATTTTACACTGTGCCTCCAAATTTGGACATTTGAACATTGATCAATTCATGAACAACCTTTTTTTTTATTAAAATAAACAATTATTTAATTAACTAAATCGAATAATACCCTATTTCAGGCAATAGAGGCTTTGTGCAACATATTTGATCTAGATAAGTATTGCATTGTGTGATAACAAACGCATAAATAGTCATGTTAATATTGTACACAAACAACTTATGATGATTAAATTATATCTTGATAAGATAGCTAACATTTACTGTCGTAAATCATTTACCGTAAATATTATTAACGACATAGGTAAATGCTATAAGATTTTTATATATTTGATAGTTTTATTTCTTTTTAGGTACTGATAAACTTCTATTGTCTGAATTTATTATAGATTTTCCTATAAGTTCTTTAAAACTTTTTTACTACGTCGTAGAACCTAAAACTATGTGTCATATATAACGTAAAACAGCTTTTAATAGGTACATAGTCTTTGTAAGAATAAATCATTTGCCATAAACGCAATGTCAGCTGAGTTTGATAGATTAACAGCCAATGACAGACGCGGCTGAATAATATGAATTTGACATCTTTTTTGACACATTTTTATGTCAAAAAGTTTTAGCATGCAAAACAAAATTCTAATACAGTGTCTGATAAAGATAGTAATATAATTTAAATAAATTATAAGTATTTCTTTAACGGTAAAATTAAGTAGAATGTCTCAAATCAGTGAGGAATATTTAAATAAAGTACTGAGTAAAGTGGCATCACTTTGCGGTTTCGAGAAGTGGACTTATGAGAGAGAAACTTTCGAAAACATAGCGCAGAACTATTTTGGAGTTATTATACCGTTTGTTTTGAATGGAGAAAAACATGGGGCGAATGAAAGCTTACGAATCGTGTTTAAATTGGCTCCCAATGACGAAAGATACCGAGTAAGCGGTGCTGTTACACATTTCTTTGCGAGAGAGATTTTTGTTTACTCAAATATTTTACCGAAATATCGGGAGATACAAAGTGGATTTAGCAGTCTTAAAGAATTTATTGTACCACATTGTTATTATTTAAATAAATCGTATTGTGAAGAAGCTATTGCAATTCAAAATATGTGTAGCATAGGGTATTTTCCTTTTATCGATGAATCTGTTTTAAATATTGAACATATTACTGTATCTTTAAAATCACTGGCAGAATTTCATGCATTATCATTTTTATTAAAAGCACAAGATCCAAAGTTATATGAAGTAGCTCAAACAACATGTATTCCCTTATCAACGACTGCTAATGAACGGTTTATGATTATCTTACTAGACAGATTGTACAAAGCTTTAGACAAATTCTCTAATACTGACTACACACTGATTTTGAAACAATTTGAGAGAAACTGTGATAATCATGTTAATGCTCTTTTCACATCTGTGAATGCTACAGTCTTATGCCATGGAGATATTTGGAAGGAAAATTTGCTTTTTAAGTACAAGGGAATTTTAATACTTTTAAATAAAAAACCTTTACGGTTTAAATAAAAAAACTTTTCGGGGTTTAAAACGGGGTTTTTTTTTTTAAAATTTTTTTAAAAATTTTTTTTTCCCCCCCCCCCGGCGGGGGGGGGGGGGGGGGGGGGGGGGGGGGGGGGGGGGAGGGGGGGGGGGGGGCCGCCGCGCAAAAAAAAGAAGGGCCCCCCCCCCCCCCCCCCCCGCGGGGGGGGGGGGGGGGGGGGGCGCGCGGGGGGGGGCCCCCGGGGGGGGGGGGGGGGGGGGGGGGGGGGGGGGGGGGGGGTGTTTTGGGGGGTTTTTTTTTTTTTTTGGGGGGGTGGTTTTTTTTTCTTTTAGCCGTCTCCTATTGAAATTTCGTGTTTTTTGATTTCAATTGCTTCGCGTACCAATCTTGGAAAAAATCGACTCTCTTTGCGAGGATTTTTGGTTGGTCAAAGCGAATGTAGTGATTGGGCCCTTCTGATGAGTGTTGGCATACCGCAGATTTGGAGAGACGTTTATGTTTTATATCCGCGACGTGTTCTTTAATTCTGTTTGAGATGCTACGCTTTGTTTGGCCGATGTAGGATAGGCCACAATCACAATCCAGTCTGTAAACGCCTCTCTTGTAAAGGGATAGTACACTTGCTTGGTTTCAGGAATTGCTGAACTTCTTTCTTGAAAATTGTGTCAATAGAAGCTCGATTAGGACTCTCTAATTCTATCTGTAACTCCTTCACAATGGTAGGTGGCGGGCTGACGTTTGACTGTGGGTGGCTTGTTCCTGTTCCTGGGATGCTGCGGAGGGACTCTCAGCTTGTTCTTGCATAGGACCTGCTGACTGCTGTAACTCCTCATTTAAGTGGGCACATCACAGAGACGGCGGGCTCTCTGAAACAAAGATACTCCGACAGAACTAAGTTGGCTGGGGTGGTGATTAGTCACCGTTCAAATACCTATCTGTATGGGTTGTTTTTCTAAAGACGGTATGCCCAATATTACCGTGTTCATCACGAATTACTAAAATGTCTAAGAAAGGTAGTGTGTTATTGTCCTCCTGTTCCATTGTAAACTTAATGTTATTGTGAATTGAGTTAAGGTGTGTAAGAAATGCTCTTTCTTTGGGTAAGATGGTGAAGGTATCATCTACGTATCGCTTGTAAAGCTTAGGTTTAACCGGGGAAGAAGCAAGGGCTCTCTCCTCAAAGTCTTCCATAAAAATGTCAGCAACTAAGGGTGAAACTGGAGAACCCATGGCTACCCCATCTACCTGAACATAGAAATCCCCATTCCAAAGTAGGTACCCGGTTGTCAAGCAATGTTCTAAGATATCCGCATATTCTATAGGCATGTTGTGTTTAATAAGTTTGCTCTTAATAATTTTGATACAATCAGCTATAGGTAAGTTTGTAAAGAGTGATGTGATGTCAAAGCTTACCATAACCTCATTGTCCGCTACCTTTAGACCTTTAATAGTTTCTACAAACTGATACGAATCCCTGACGTGAGCATTTGTATTTCCCCTGAGGGGGGCAAGTGTTCTGGATAAGTGTTTTGCTAGTTTATAAGTGGGCGAATCTATTTGACTAACTATTGGACGTAAGGGATTGTTTAATTTATGAATTTTAGGTAACCCGTACATTTTAGGTGGCTTCGGGCAGGCTGTGATGAGATGTTTGGCGTCGAGGTTTAGAGTCGTTTTGTACTTGTTAATAAGTTCCGACGTCTTTTTCATTACTTTGGTTGTGGGGTCCTTTGCAACCTTGTTGTAAACCGCGTCGTCATCAAGTATTTCCGACATCTTTTGTTTATAGTCCGACGTATCCATCACGACCGTGGCGTTTCCCTTGTCAGCACGCAGTACTATAATATCTTCATTCGCTCTTAGTTGTTTGAGAGCAGTCGACTCCGCTAGGGAAAGATTGTGTTTAGGCGGCTTGCTGGAGCGTAGGATACAGGATATATCCTGCCGTATTGCTTCCGCATCTTCCTTAGGGATGACATTTTTGAAGATGCTTTCCTCGACGTAGCTGATTATCTCTTCGCAAGGTATTTTTCGCGGCGCCGGAGCAAAATTTAGTCCTTTGTTTAATACTTGAACGGTGTTTTCATCTAAATTGACTTTTGAAGATGAAAACACCGTTCAAGTATTAAACAAAGGACTAAATTTTGCTCCGGCGCCGCGAAAAATACCTTGCGAAGAGATAATCAGCTACGTCGAGGAAAGCATCTTCAAAAATGTCATCCCTAAGGAAGATGCGGAAGCAATACGGCAGGATATATCCTGTATCCTACGCTCCAGCAAGCCGCCTAAACACAATCTTTCCCTAGCGGAGTCGACTGCTCTCAAACAACTAAGAGCGAATGAAAGATATTATAGTACTGCGTCTGACAAGGAAACCCACGGTCGTGATGGATACGTCGGACTATAAACAAAAATGTCGGAAATACTTATGACGACCGGTTACAACAAGGTTGCAAAGGACCCCACAACCAAAGTAATGAAAAAGACGTCGGAACTTATTAACAAGTACAAAACGACTCTAAACCTCGACGCCAAACATCTCATCACAGCCTGCCCGAAGCCACCTAAAATGTACGGGTTACCTAAAATTCATAAATTAAACAATCCCTTACGTCCAATAGTTAGTCAAATAGATTCGCCCACTTATAAACTAGCAAAACACTTATCCAGAACACTTGCCCCCCTCAGGGGAAATACAAATGCTCACGTCAGGGATTCGTATCAGTTTGTAGAAACTATTAAAGGTCTAAAGGTAGCGGACAATGAGGTTATGGTAAGCTTTGACATCACATCACTCTTTACAAACTTACCTTTAGCTGATTGTATCAAAATTATTAAGAGCAAACTTATTAAACACAACATGCCTATAGAATATGCGGATATCTTAGAACATTGCTTGACAACCGGGTACCTACTTTGGAATGGGGATTTCTATGTTCAGGTAGATGGGGTAGCCATGGGTTCTCCAGTTTCACCCTTAGTTGCTGACATTTTTATGGAAGACTTTGAGGAGAGAGCCCTTGCTTCTTCCCCGGTTAAACCTAAGCTTTACAAGCGATACGTAGATGATACCTTCACCATCTTACCCAAAGCACAAGTATCTGCATTTCTTACACACCTTAACTCAATTCACAATAACATTAAGTTTACAATGGAACAGGAGGACAATAACACACTACCTTTCTTAGACATTTTAGTAATTCGTGATGAACACGGTAATATTGGGCATACCGTCTTTAGAAAAACACCCCATACAAAAAGGGTTTTGAACGGGGACCCCAACCCCCCCCCCCACCAATTTTATTCCTGCGGGAGTATTTTTTTTTGAGAGGGCCCCCCCCCCCGGGGGGGCCCCCCCAAAAAAAGGGGGATTACAACCTCCCTCAAGCAGGTCCTATCAAGAACAAGCTGAGAGTCCCTCCGCAGCATCCCAGGAACAGGAACAAGCCACCCACAGTCAAACGTCAGCCCGCCTACTAAAGTGAAGGGATTACAGATAATTAGCAGAGTCCTAATCGAGCTTCTTGACACAATTTTCAACCGCACAAGAAATTCAGCAATTCCTAACCCAATGTACTATCCCTTACAATGCAGGCTTCGCTGGTTGTGTTGTGGCCTTCCTCATCGGCCAACGTACTCTCAAACAGAATTAAAAACACTCATTAAAAATAAACGTCTCTCCAAATCTGCGGTATGCCAACACTCATCAGAAGGGCCCAACACACATCGCTTGACCAACAAAATCCTCGCAAAGAGAGTCGATTTTTTCCAAATTGTACGCGAAGCAATTGAAATCAAAAAAACCGAAATTTCAATAGGGAGGACGGCCTCAAACTATCAAACACCTGGGATCCCATATTAAAAACTCTGGATCCCAATAAACAGCATACCAGCAAACGCGAAGACACCGTTAGTCAATTCTGTAAGGACCCGGCCAGTTTCGCCAAATACCAACTTCGACGGAACAGATGGCGCTAGCGTAGCAATTCTTTACTTTGACGTCTGAGACATCCTCCATCTTTAGTCTCCCCGTGACCACGGCTGCTGCAAAGCATCCGAAACGTCGGGCCGAAGTTAAAAATCATTTTCAAATAAGTTTAACTAATATATCGCGTTTTAAACCGTTAAAGTGTTTTATTTAAATGTGTACTACTCGCGTAAACTATAGACAGTATTTACTTTAACGGTTTAAAACGCGATATATTAGTTAAACTTATTTGAAGTGACACACACACAGTCTCCCAGTGACCACGGCTGCTGCAAAGCATCCGAAACGTCAGGCCGAAGTTAGAAATCATTTTTAAATAAGTTTAACTAATATATCTCGTTTTAAACCGTTAAAGTGTTTTATTTAAATATGTAGGTACTACTCGCGTAAACTATAGACAGTATCTAATATTAATGCTGTATAGTTTTGTTTTTACTCAAAAATATATATTACAAGGTGCTTAGTATAGGTTCTCTGAATTGATACGTAAAGGTTTTTCAAAATTACTTTTCCGTTGATTGCATATAAAATTTCATTAGAGTAAATCTGGGAGGAATCTAAAACATTTAAATAAAAATAGATGTATCTGAAGATTCAAACATATACTACAGTTCTATAAGGCATAAAAATGTGCATCTAATTATTATTTGTTCTACAGGACGGTAGACCAATATCGGCTTGTATAATAGATTATCAAACAACAAGAATATCCAGTCCAGCATATGATGTTTTATATCTAATAATAACAAGTACAAGCTCACAGTTAAGGAAACAATATTATCATCAATTATTGGATATATACTTTACAACATTCAAAAATATCCTTTCCGAAGCACAGATGCCACTAGAATTGTATTCAAGGAGCATGTTTGATGAAGATTTGAAAACTGTTGCACCGGCTTGTACTATTATCGCTAACACAGCTATCTGGTTGTCCAGTGGACTACAACAGGAAGGCCATGTAAGAAGTAAAATTGTGTTAGAGACCGACAAACAATGGACTGAGGCTGTTCAAACTTATAAAAATAGAATTAGTTCCATTGTAGATGATCTCACAAGTTATGGATATTTTACTCATATGAAGTAATGTTTATAATGTATCGCTTATGCCTTAAATTATTATGTTTTAAATTGTATTTAACCATTTGTTTACAATATTTTAATAAAAACTTGGATGGTTGTTTGTTTGTTATCTGTTGTTTAAAAGGTCACTCATGACGAGAGTATTCTGATAGGAGTTTTATCAGAAACTATTTTTGTCATAATTAGAAAGAAATAAAGGTAGAGTTTTTTTCAGAACAGAAAGCTAGATGTGGGCAGAGTATCTTATCTGTACGAGACACAGCGCACTTTAGGTGACACAATGCAAGTTGAACCTTTAACTTAGAAACACTTTTTTTTTATTTATCAGGTTTTTGTTTCTGCGCGATTTGAACCCAGTTCCCCTGAAATACAAAGCGAGCTAATCGTTGAATTGCACGATGAACTCGTCGTTTATCCTTAAGCATCTTAAAAAAACAATAATAAATCTACGTTTAGTACATTAAAACACTTGGTACACAGCAATAAATCGTGAGCCGGCAGCGGTTTAATCTCTTGAATAGATAATGTAAATTCTCTTCTCTAGTTCTTCGCGAATTGCAAATTTGATGGCTACTTTTAGCTGTGAAATGTTAACTAGTTTTTAAGTAAGATAGAAGAAGGCAGGTGGGTCATTAAATATTTGGATTTTTTTATGGAAATCCGTCAGACCTACACCGTATAATTTAGATGAGCAGTCATTTTTATGTGTGTACGATAGTTAATGACTTGGAGGTAATTTCGAGCCATACTTAAAAATTAGAAAATCAAACGTAAGCTCGTAAGTCATTAGCTATGCCTACAGTGCTGCCAATTACTAGCCTTGAAATGTTATGAAACTAAAACAATAGCAATCACGTTTGATCTTATCTCGTCTTAGTTTACCTCGTAGGGTCAACGTCTGTTAATACTTGACAGAAAATGTGAAAATTATAATTATTTTTACCCGAGAGAGTTTTTACTAAAACAAGATTATATAACGATTATTCAATCCTTTTGTATTTATTGCTTCTAGATGTGGTCCGGTTTGAAATCACGATTAGATTGTGTGACACAATATCGAGATGTTTTTGAATTTTCGTCGCAACAAATTGCAAAAGTCAAGTAGTGCGGTCTCCCAGTGCTGTAGCATGTTCGTGGTTTTCAGTTCATTGTAAAAGTTTGAATTTGGAACTAGGGCGAACGAATGTACTGAGTTTATAGCAAGCATTAGTGCTTTGAAAACGTTTTTTTGTTTAGCTCTAACATACGAAATACGTGAACAGCGCTCTTGAGATTAACTGCTACGTAAAAGCTTTAGAATTAACGTCTTCCTGTTTGACAAAGCCCAACTCATTTTATGGTTATATACATATAGTAAATATTAACCAGTACTAACTGTTCGTATATGTCTTTTAAAATCGATTCACGAACTTTGTGTTCTATGATTTAATAAGTGGGACGTTTTTAATTGTTTATAATATGCTTACGTTAATTAAATTACATTACAATGAATTCACTTTATAATTTCAATTATAGGTTGTAAATAAGTCGCATTTACATATTATCTGTTGCTTCATATCTAATACATAAGCAGCACGCAGACAAAAACTTTAAATCGTATTTTAGAGTTACGGCCTATTCGTGCCCCGTAGAAGTTACCTAATTGCGCAACTAAACCGATTAAAAACTTGTTGCTTTAGATTTGAATATCAAGAACCATACTTGAAGTTTTAAGTTATTTCTCACGTATGCCCAGATTCAAATTCTACAACACATTTTAAATTTATTGTTGACGCGATAATAAACTGAAATGCACAATATTTTTATGCTTTTGACATTTATAGTTGTATAACCTGAACAGTAAACGTACTTTACAGAAAAGATAAATCCAATTATATGTTATAATAATGGTCTACTGAATAAAATGTATACATTTAAATCTCTTATTTAAACGTAAATATCTTGTCTTCTTTCTATCTTGTCGGGTTTAGAGGTACCCGCTCTAATAACAAAAAAGATGTAGTATACAAAGAACACGAATAATGTAAAATGAAATTTAACGATAAAAGAAGTCGCGGCGAGTTTCTTGCCAGTTCTTCTCGTTCGTTCTACCCTCTTGTCTATTTGAGAAATCGTAGTAAATGTAAATGTAGAGTCGTTATTTTTTAACTGATGTGACGTTCCTATATGAATAAATGACTGATGATATGACTTTTAAAGTTGTTCATAAGTGTACGTACCTATGTTACTTACTCAGTCAAAAAGTCAAAAAACGTAATGAATGTTATCTCAGTTATTCAAAGTTGTTTTACATTCACCACATACCCTTATCATAATAAAATCACGAGTTTAGCTCGCTAAGCTCTGAAAGTCTCGTGGAATGATAGAAATCCCAAAATAACACGGCTAACTAAGAAAGTTTTGCTCAAGGGATATCTAAACGTTTGTGGGATCGCCTTAGGGGAAGACTAGTTCGTATCGTAGATAAGTTAAGGGCAGTGTTTCACTAAAACATAGCTATTATTAAAATATAGCTTACTTATTACATTTCGTTAGTGGCGTACGCGTAAAAATTGAGATTGATGATGTTTGAACTGATAGCTCATTGCTTGCCAAACACGTTCTAGTTTTAGAATGGGCATCATTATTGTTTTCGTTTTGTATAGAACCTTATTTTCTTAAATATTTTCTTTCTCTGTCATCTATTAACTTAAAATTACGTGTAATTTCTGTATAAAATGTAAGTTTTTTTTATGTAACAGCTATGATAAAAAGAAATCTAAAGATAGCATCTAACGTTTTTCCCAGTTACAGCTATCCTATATAAAAAGACCAATGTGTGCAATATATTTGTATGTATGTAAATCATTAGATGAAGGTAAGAATAAAATAATTTCGTTGTTCTTGCTTAGAGAAAGCTTAAAATTTATAGCAATAAGAGCTTATTCAGTGGACGACTAACTTTATCTCTGGCTGCAGCTGGAACCTCTCGTTAAGCCTGACTTCAATTTGTATCCGACGTCATTACCTACACAGACGCTCAACGCTTGTCTTCCTCAATTCTTCTCTTGGGTCTAATCTAATAATACTTAAATTGTGTATTGGTTAACCGAAAACAACTTCTGTTAACCAAGGTTTTGTCTGTAGTTTACAAGTAACACACTTTTAATACTCTATTAACGGTATAAATGGGAAATATATTAGTTAACTTATTCACAAGCAGTCGTGGGTCATAGTTAAAATAGAAAATAAGTTATTTAATATATTTCTCGTTTCAATCCGTTAAAAGTGTGTTATTTAAATATTAACTAAAATTACACACTTTTACTAAGGAGGAAACCCACCTTGCTGCTTGAGTGCAGGTTAACGGAATTTAAATTTTTAGTAACGATATATATATTTAATACAAATATACTCACAGTGCTGTTTTAAGGTGACTTAAACCTGGTGCTCACCTTTACACTCTGGTATTAATAGTGAAATAATCTCTCCGGCCTTGTGCACAGAATATAGAAGAAGGCTGTATGCAAGTGATGTCAACTAACGATTATCCAATTACACGGCTGACCACTGTTCCTGCCTCGATTCACACGACCCCGTCTTGTTCAAGGTCGGGTCCAAGGCTTTGACCCCACGAGATGCCTAGCTAGTCTTATTCCCTGACTAGACTCGTCTCGCGTCAACCGACACCCTAGCAAACCCCTCAAATTCGGTTTGATTTTTTCATTGATGACTTTTTTCATTTATTTTTCAAATAAATGAAAAAAGTGGAATCTTGCCAATGGTCAAGAGCAACTAAAAAACAAATACATTTATTATTTACTAGCCGTGCCAGACTTCATCCGCGTAGAATAGTTATTTTGGGCGTCAAAATCTTTTTTGCAAAACTTCTCATCTTTATAGATCTAAGCTGTTATCCACGACGTCTATCGCGTCCCGTCGTTCTGGCAAGTGTATCTTAAAAGAATATACTGTAGTAAAATACTGTCTATAGTTTACGCGAGTAGTACATATTTAAATAAAACACTTTAACGGTTTGAAATGCGATATATTAGTGAAACTTATTTGGAAATTATTTTTAACTTCGGCCTGACGTTTCCGATGCTTTGCAATTTAATAGAAGTTAAAAATCATTTCCAAATAAGTTTAACTAATATATCGCGTTTTAAACTGTTAAAGTGTTTTATTTAAATATATACTGTAGTAGACATTTGTTTAGATCATTTTAAGAGGAATCGTTCTGTTATACATATTTCTTAGGTATCTTGAACATTTTTTTAGAGCGCATGCAACAAATACGTTCAAAGATCCTCAAAGAGTCCTTCCTACATTTTCTACTGTTCCTTAGCTCATATTGGGCACAGCGTGGTTTTATAGCCTTCCTCGATAAAAGCTCTAACAAACACGAAAAGAGTTCCTGGTTATAATATTAGTATAGATAATCACGTAAAATCAGAATGCAGAACAATAAAACAAGTAGAACAAATTCCCACCGTTTTTGCAACTTCTTCTGTATGTCTACTTTTTGACATCAAAGAGCGAAGTCGTACAACGCTCGACCCAAGTTCGTAACTCCTTTGAACAGCCCCATATTAGCTAGGAAAACATTATATCATTTATAATTCAGCTATTAAAAATGTATTGATCTTTGAAAACATTAATATTTTTCACATGTTATTGCACATGAAGGCACTATATAATTTAAAGCGTTCCGTGCTGTTGCTCTGAACGCTGACGATGCCGGTTCAAGTCCTGCCAGAGTCGAAAATTTTTTCAATTTATTTTCGATTTTTAAATTATGTATTGATCTGTCAATCCGTCGCCTGATGGGTTATTGGTTGTAATTACCAGGCCGCTGCAGCCAGCTCCGCTAGGAAGTGATTCTGGCGCGATGCGGCACCTCCTATAATTGCTATTTTCCTGTGCCTCAGTTGAACCGTGGCCTAATTGAATTATTTCCTATTTGCACTGCCAACAGTAATTCAGGCGAGAGTCATTTGCTGATTTTAACGTGATTCCAAGATT